TGCCCGTATCTGTTAACAAGCATGAGCACAGTTGGCAGGAGAAGGAGGGAGAGGAAAGAAGAGCAGACATGCACAGTCAGGGAGGGGAAACATGCTCAGCAGACCTGTCGGGGCCGGAGTTTTCGGCAGTGCCAACCACGATACCTCCATGGACGTACTGGAGGGAAGGATGAGAGGCGGAAGGACGAGATCCTGCACTAGTACCCCAGCGCCATGCGCGAGACGACGGAAGCGATTCTGGTCTGTGCTCTCCACGGGCTGAAAGAGAAATGAGCGAGAAATAGAAGAGGAGGAGGGGAGAGGAGAGGAGAAGAGAGGAGAGGAGAGAGGGGGAGTGGAGAGGGCAGAGCAGATTAGAGGAGAGGAGACGAGACGAGACGAGAAAGAAAGGGGATGGATATAGCATGGCCTATGATCCATTACCTCGTCATTATTGTCTTCTTTGGAGGATGCCTTTCCAACGAACTCCTTCATCGTCTTTGCAGGATGTCAAAGACCCACCAAGTACCACAAGGTTGTCAAAGCACCTCCTTGGTATCGTCAAACATAGGAACGGGTAGACTTCCCGGTATTGGTACAGGTAGTTGTAGAGGTAGAGGTAGAGGTAGAGGTAGAGGGAGAGGGAGAGGTAGAGGTAGAGGTAGAGGTAGAGGTAGAGGGACCTGAGTAAGAATCATGATGTTTGCTTGAGACGATTTATCGAGATCGTTCATCAATCGCTCGATGTATCTGATTTCGTTGTCATGATAGACTAAATTCATATTATCATACCTTTGTCTCTTCTCACACTGCACAGCACAACCCAACACAAGTTCAACCAATTTCATGATCTGCACCCTTAAATCAACCATTTGAATTGACAGGTTCACAGCACCGCTTCAGCTTCTCCTCGAGCCACAGCATTAGCATCTATGCTGTTCACGTCCATCTCTTGTCGAAAAGTTTCTCGGTAGTAAGCATCCAGTTCCTTGAGCAGTCGCTTGATGTTGTTGGCCTACTCCAAGAGACTAAGCGTCAGCTTCGAAGCCAGCCAGACCCAGGACCTTCAGGATGACGTTGGAACCAACATCCAACTTGAGCGACTCCTCCAAGAAGCTTTCGGGAGCAATGTCTCGAAGGACTTCATGTCTGTCAATCATCATGAGTTGAAATCCTGTACATCGAGCAAAACTCACAGAATCAGTCCATCGGAAAGCTGGTCTAGGGAGGAAATCTATCGCATGATAGACCAGTGAGATCCACCCTTCGCTTCCCTTGCCTCCTTGCAGGACCTCCCCTCCCTCCCCATTCCTTTCTCCTCCCCTCTTCCTCCTTCCTCCTTTTCTTCCTCTCCTCGTCTCGTCTCTCGCGGCTTGCTCTCTTCTCTCTCGCAGCTCTCACCTTGTTCTCTTCCTTGTCTTCGAACGTGTTGATCCATTGGATCGCACTCGCCTCCATGCTCCCCTCCATGACTCCCAATGCTCTGAGGCAGCCCTCCGCAAATCTTTAGCAAGTAACGGAAATACCTGTCGTAACGGTTTATGCCCCTTCGCTCAATGGTGGGAGGGCGGTGGGTAGCGGCAGCAAGCGTCATGCTGCTTCTGCTGGTGATGTCTCAGGTCTCACCTCCCTCCGTCTCGCCCTCCTCTCTCCTCGCCCCCATCACCATTGACGGCTTTGCGACTGCAAACTCGCCGGCAGAAGCAGCCGAGGCAGCAGCTGCTCAAGTCGGGGTGGATGGCAAGGCGACGGGACCAGCTGACTGCAAGAACTGCGGGGAAAAGGAGGGGAATGATGGCAGCGAGAAAGTGAGGATCTCAACAGGCATGGAGGGAAACTATCAGCCTCTGGCTGTCCCCGTCTCTTCGCCATTCGCAGGGAACCCTGACACCCGCGAAGGAGTTCAGATCGCGCAGAAAGTCGCAGGCAGTTTTATCAATTCCTTCATACAACCACAGGCCTCCATGCCCGTTGTGTGGAAGCAGAGCCAAGGTCCGCAGGATAGATCTTGGGAGGGCTCAACACAGTTCACCCTTCCCAACATAGTGGGGCCAGGGAACTCAGTGAATCCTGTTCAAGTGAACGCCAAGATTGTCTTCCCAAAGCCCGAGACGAAAGACGAAACCATCATCAACCCTTGCGCCAAGGGTAGTGGTGTTGCATGTCCTAATGCTGTTTACACGGAACAGGATCTTCAGGTCTCTTTTGAGATTGTTGGAGATGCTCACGATTCTGAGAGCTATTTGCAGGTTCGACTCAACGCAGAAAGGAAACGAGTTGATGAAAGACTGGCAGATGAACGAAAATTGTGGGAAGAGAAGGTTGAAAGAGCTATAAGAAGGAGCAAGTCTGAAATGGCGCAGGTCTTAGCAACCAAACAGAGCTACAGGGAGCGGCTTCAGGTTGGCAGCTGCTCATCCTTGTTGCGTCAATGACGAAGAGAGCAGTCTCTTATTCAGAGGTCTGATGCCTTGGCGAACAAGATTCGACGACTAGAAGCAGGTGGCGGCGAACGGTTGGACTTGTCTAACTATGTGCGGATACGCAACCGGTGGGTGGTGCTCTCCTTGTTGCAAACGATTGGGTAATCCTCCAACAGTGTAGCTGGAATGTCCGATGCCGTGGCCAAGTTGATCGCTGATGAAAATTTGTTGCAAGAGCACATCAATCACGTCCTTGAGCATCCTGGGCCTAAGGGAAGAACGGGGCCTCCCGTAAGCATTTGCCCTGCCCGTTTCGTCACTGAACGAACTTGCCCAGGGGGAACAAGGAGCGAGAGGTTTGCCCGGAGAAGTGGGTCCGCCGGGTCCGCCGGGACAGGAGGGAAGAGACGGCTACGATGGCGTTCCGGGCAAGAATGGGCCTCCGGGTATGCCTGGCCCCCCCGGTCCTCAAGGGCGTCCGGGTGAAGCAGGGGTAGAGCTGTCCTCGTAGCAGCACTCGTTTGACTTGTCTTGTGTAACAGCAAGATGGTCTCGATGGACCTCCGGGCGTTGAGGGCAACGTGGGTGAGCAAGGTGATCCTGGCCCCACGGGCCCCCCCGGTCTGCCTGGACCTCCTGGCACCCCTGGCAAGGAAGGAATGAACGGACCACGAGGGCCTCCAGGACCTGCAGGTCATCAACCTGCTTGTCTGGCGATTCAGTTCTCACCCTCCTCCAGGCCTGGAAGGCAAAGATGGACGGGATGGTCAGATGGGAGAGGAAGGAGCGCCCGGTCCCGAAGGTCCCCCGGGCCAGCAGGGACGACCAGGTGCACCAGGACCAGCAGGAATGAACGGAGCGATGGGGCGCAGGGGACCTCCAGGACCCCCAGGACAGCAGGGAAGGCCAGGCATGGATGGACTCCCTGGCTTCATGGGCCCGATGGGTGACAAGGGTCCCAAGGGGGAGGATGGAGAGGTACGCTTCTCTTCTCTTCTTCCGCATCTCGTCTTGACCGCATCACAGCCTGGAGTGCCGGGTCAGGCAGGAATGCCGGGACCTCCCAGCCCTCCGGTCTATCCGATCATGCCACCCTCTCCTCCTCTTCCGGTGAGGCGGCTGACTTGGCCGAAGCTGCCCCTCATTTCTTGCAGGTGCCGGCGCCCCCAGGCGCTCCTGCTCCTGGGGTGCACCAGGAGGCAAGAGCTCCTCTTGCTTACACTCCTGGTGAGTTCGAGCCGCTTATCGCTGCGGCCATCGCCGAGGCCATGAAGGAAGACTGCAGCTGTGCCAAGCAGTCCTCTACGACTCAGGTCGGTCCAGCTTGAAGCGACTCAAGCGACATTGCCTGACCTTGTTCTAGTTGAGGATGCAGTGCCCGTGTGTGCAGCGGCAGATGATGGGGTTGAGGCGTCACGGCGCCGCCATAAAAGATTCGCTGCGGCAGATCGTCAACTCAGCGAAGCACGCGAGGTCTCAGCGATGAAGTCTCGTGTATGTCAATCAAACAGCTGTAAACAAGAGCAAACTGACTCCTTCAATCGAGCCGCGTGCCTCCTGTCCTCTCGTCGGATTTCCTTCGCCATCTTCCGCTTAAGCCTTTCTATCGCCTCCTCAGTTCGCGCTGTGATCTGGTTCCTTGCTCGGTCATACGAGTCGATCTGCTCGCTCACTGCTTGGATTACTTCCTCCTGAATGGAACTTCGTGCTTGTTGTGAAAGAGTGAGCAGCTTCGTCCGGATCAGAGCTACTGCCTCTTCTATCCCACCGCAGCCGCTGTCTTGCTCATCGTCCTCCTCGTCCTCCTCCTCGTCGAGCACTTCATGCTGCCCCCTTCCACCTTCCGCTTTCTCCACCTCCTGTTGCTGTTTCCCTATAGATCCTTGCGAAGGAGTCACATCATCATCGACGATAAGCTGAAGCAAATGTTGAAACACTTGCTCCTGATCGTCAGAATCCTTGTCTCTGTCACCTCCTTCTGAATGACTATCCGAGTTTGACCCCTCCCCTCTTCCCCCCTTTTCCCTTTCGCTCCCTGCTGTCTCCCCGTCTCGAATCTCATGCTGTGTCTGGCCCACTTCCTCTTCCCCTTTTCCTTCTTCGTTCTCTGCCGCCTCGTCGTTCTCTTCATGCTTGTCTGTGCATCCTTGTTGTCTGGAGTCACGAATCGAGATCAAGGCATCGGTCAGAAACTTGTCGGAGTCTCGAATGTCGCCGAGATCAGCAGCGGCTCTTCGCCACAGGCTGTTCCTGCTGGCGCTTGTGTGCGTCTTGCTTCCCTCCCAGCGGCTCGCAGGGGGCAGCTCGGACAGCAAACACTGAGCAGGGAGATGGCAAGGGGACGAGAAGAGGAGAAGAACCGATGGTACCTAGAGTATGAGTGAGAGGTGACTATCAACGCAGCTCAAGTCTTGACACCTCAACTTCGCCGCCACGACATGCTTCTTGCAGACTAGTTGCGAGCTCTCGCTTGGCTCGAAGATCACTCTCAATGTCTGAATGGAATGCTTGCAAGGAAGCAGATAGCGCCAACGCTAACTCAAGTTGCGAACATCCTTCCTGCTCCCGCTGCTTCGCTTCCTCCCGGAGGGTCAGCTGGACGCCTCTGCCCCTTGCGGCTTCTCTGCGTTCAACCTGACCGATGTATACAAGTCGCTTCTTCCTCGCACGCTCGTCTCCTCCCTCGCAACGGTCATCCTCCCTTGCCCTGCTCATAATCTGATGCTTCAGGCCCAGAAGCTTCTTTCGTGCTCCTACAGACAAGCCTCGCGACTTCATCTGCTCCTCTTCGAGGGACACCTGCCATCTCCCATAAGATCTACAACATAGAAATGACGAGCAAGAGGCCTGCTAGACTAGAAGGGAGGAGATGGGGGAAAGGATGCAAGAACAAGGGCGCGGGGAGCGAAGGGAAGGGTGAGGGGTAGGGCAGGGAGGGAGGTGAGGTCATTAAGGACATACCAGAGCTTGATCATCATCAGCGAACTTGAAGAGAAATTTACTGAAGCCAAGGGCCTCCAGTGCCTCGTGCACCCTCAGGTTGGGGTTCTCAGAGAGTGTCTGTAACTGCCCGTCAGGATCACTCCTTGTCCTGCCCACATCCTTGAAGTCTTCTGCTGCCCCGTGATCGTTGCAAGATGCGGACAAGCCCGCGGTAATGTTGCTGTCCTGAGACAAATGGCGTCATTTTAGGGTTTAGGGTTTAGGGTCAAAGTCATTTCAAATGAGCCAGTCTCAATTCATACCTGTATCATCACATCACAACAGTCGTTGACATGTTTTGTCCTTTCATCTTCGTCTACAAGTGACAAGTTTGCATTGCAGATCATGCATCTGACCTCTGCACTTGTTCCTGTACACCAAGTCATGCACTGGAACTCGCTTGTCTCCTCACCTGCACGCTCATCGACACAATCATTGACGTGCCGCTCCTGCTCGCTCAGGCACCAAGTGCTCATGTCCTTGCCGCAGATGATGCAGACGCCGTCCTCTGCTTCTTTCGACACTTGTAGAGTGGTGGATGGTGGCAGGTCATGAGGCACATGAGGCGCTCTCTTTCTGTGCATGGAATCGTTTGCCGTCACATTCGCGTCGATGTTCTCACACCTTTCATGTCCTTCACCCACGTTGAGGAATTCAGGTGAAGGTGTACAGACAATATGTTGCTCCTTTGATAATGATAGGTTCTTTCGTCTTCCTTTCATGCCTGCTGCCAGTCTGGGTACTTCCTCCCTCCTGTTCCCTCTCTTGCCTTGCCTTTGCTTCTATCGCTTCTCCATTTCTTTCGTTACTGAACCATTTAATTTCAGTCAACTTTCAGTGAATGTGCAGCCGGCTCAGTGCCGCCGGAGTCGGGCCGCTGGAGGCTCGGCAGGCCCGGGATCATCGATGGACCGGACGAGCGAGTCGGAGTCACTGGGGAAAGAAGAACATTTCATTGGGGTATCAATATCAAATCACATCCAAGTCATCTAGTAAGCTGCGCCCGTCAGTCTGCGAGCGAGCTGGATGGAGTAAATGAGCTTCTGCATAGCGGAGAATTACAAGCAGACTGCATCAGCCTCGTCCCGACGACACCGAAGCCATGCTCTCCTTCCTCTCGTTGCCGGTCGACAATCTTGACGGGAGAGCCTGGCTGACTTGCGCTAAATGCAGAAGATCTTCTGCGAGAGGCTACAGCCAACCTACATGAAGACAATGAGAATCATTTGAAAAGCCGGGGGGGTTGGAGAAAGAGGAAGGAAGGAGAGGAAGTGGAGGGAGTGGTAGATTCGGACCGCGAGAGGAGATTCTCGTGCACAGCCTGAGCCTCTAGGTTGCTGTCAAAGGAAGCCGTCGTCCACATCATCTTGTGCTCAGGACAAGAGTCTCGTCGACGAGAATCGCGTCCTCTCAGTCTCAGGTTTCCATCTTCTCGTCCTGCGCTGTTTTTCTTCTCGAGTCCGCTGCTGCTCTCGTCAGCCCCCGCGTCTCGACTCAGGTTCTTCCTCTGCAGGATCTGCGACACAGAAGGTTTTGTGATCACCCGAGGCTTGCGGGGGATGGGGGAGAGAGCCAGTAGCTGCGAGTCGGCAAGGCTCGAGTGCTTGCTACGGTATTCCTTCGGGCCAAGGAGTTTGACCTTCGCTTCTCCCTGCTCGGCTTCAGCTCCTTTCTCAGCTGCAGGACGCGAGGGAACGCTCCGAGACTTCTTGCTCTTTGACTTCACCCCGTCGCCAATCGCCTCGCTCCGAGCATACCTGTCAAGACCAGGACGTTGAGCCGGAGAGATGACGTCATCGTCTGAGCTGGTGTAGTCGTCGCTGCCAACTTCCGTCTCTCGCAGCTGCGAGGCCTCGTACAGGTAGTTGTTCACCGCCTCTTCATCACCCACGCAGTCGCTAAGAAGCAAGATGCCCTTGCACAAGTCATGTCCAAACAGCTCGAGGTCAGCTGGGCAGGCAAGTCAGGTGAAGCTCGCAAGGCAACAAGATGAACCTGTTCGAAAGTGATATCCTTGCATGCTACCTTGAGCTCGAGCGTTGGCACCGGCGAAGGAAGCTTCTACTGTGTAACTAAGATCGACTCCAAACTCTTTCCAAACAACGACGCGAGATGTCGAGTCCTTGGATCTTTGAACTTGAAAATGAGAATCGACGAAGCTGAAAGACTCCGACAGCTTGTGGAGAAGGAAGGGAAAAAGCTGTGCAAGCTTGGGGTGCTGGACCCCCAGGCAACGTTCTTTCTCTCCGGCTGACCTTCGATACTTTTGGTCGCATCCGTAGGCGAACACATTATTCTTTATCGAGTGGCCATGCAAATCGCAGTAGAGAAAGATAGACCTGTTGTTCTTGATAAGCGTGCGAATCAGCTGCTTGAAGTAGAACACAGTAGGATGTCGATAAGGACTCGGGTTTTTGTACCGTCTGTTGAGATCGTTTCCTGCTAGATTGCATCGATAGTTTCCATTGATCACGCCGTCCGGATTCAACATGGGGACGAGTCGAAAGTCGAACTTGTCGCGGAGACATTGCGCTTCCTCTGAGGATCCAGTCAAGAAGTCGATGATTCCTCGCATGATCCAGCTGGAGTTGCTCTCTCCCGGATGAACTCTTGCGGTCATGATGACTATTGGACGGTTCATGTTAGTTGCAGGATTGCTGGTGTCTGAGATTGAGAGGATCTCGCAAGGGTTTCCTGCAATCGTCTCGCAAAGATTTCTTCTCCTCAAGAATTTTTGCCTTGAAGCGTCAGCTTCCCAACTGTCAAGGTCTTTGAGCAGGTCACTGTACGTGTAGGGGTAACAGTGAGCGATGTAACTGCGGTTCAAATCATCAGTTAAGTAATCCCTACATCCCTCTCGACTCACCAGATTTCGCCAGCTTGTATTTCGAGTGAGAAGCTCAACGTGTGGCCGCGTTTCTTCCCTTGCCGTTTGTTGTTTTCATAGTACCGAACGTTCGTTCCCCGTCGTTCCCATCCCTTTTGACGGAGCGAGGAGTTGACCAGGGGTAGCAGGCCGTGTTTGTAGAGCGACTCTGCTTTGTTCATGTTGATGATTCGGAAGGTAAAGAGCTTTGCTTCATGATCTTTCTCCCTTTCCGGTCGTTCTACCGCGAAATAATACCATTGAGTATGACCTGAGGTGTAGAAATCAGGCCGCAAGACAAGGTCATAGGTATTTTCCTCAACTCGGATAGCACTTAGCAGATTTCCACTTTCAAACCTGGACTCAAAATTTAAGCTGCTAGAGAACCCTTCTTGATTATCGAAATCTTGCCCACAATTTCCCTGATCATTCCCCGGATCTCCATCTTTGTACAATTGCTTCTCCCCTTTGTTCGGCCCAAGAGTCCATCCGCTGTTAGTGGGAGCAAACAAGTTTGAAGGGAGCGCGTAACGGCTGTCACTGCTGAGGACAGTCTCGTCAATCCCGATCAAGAATCTTTCGCGCCATTTGCTCCAGTTTGGCTCTCTTGCATTAGCATCATAGACAGTCACAGGCTGTTCAAAGGCCTTGCACAGTCTGCCGGCCCCACCACCTGTGTCCTCACAGGGTTCGTTCATCACGGTCGGCTCGAGCTCAGGATGGCCCAGAGGGATGGCAGGAGCATGAATCAGCGTGCGATAAGTGCCAGTCTTGGGCATTCTGGTCCCCATGTCGTCGTTGGTGAAGTCATGTAACGGGCGAGGTTGTAGAAATCGTTTCAGGTTGTCAATGGCATACTCATCATCATACTCAGGAGCGTTCGGACAGTCCGTGTGATTGTTGAGCTGCTCATTGCCGAAGAGAGGTTCATCGTGCGTGTATCTGCAGCCATCGAAACCGCTGTCAGCGTCATGCTCCATGTCAACCTCGTGTCCTTCCTCATCACTCTCAACAGTGTCATCCTCCATCTCCGTCGAGTTCTCCCTCGACTGGCGGCCAGCCTCATCGCTGCTGATTGAAAGCAAGTGAGACAAGCAAGAGGAGAGCAGAAAGAGATGCCTGCGTTGCGACGGCAGACAAGAAATCTCCAACCTATCGTTAAGGTGCACACATTCGAATTCAAGGTCTTGAAAGAACTTGTCCTTCTCCTTTTGACTTCTGCCTTCTGCCTGACGTTGTAAATCCACTGGTGATAGCACGACAAACTTGTCATGCTCGGCTCGTGCTGCTTCTAGTGCATGCTGTAATTTTTTCATCGTATGCAGTTCTTTTGAGGACGCAACGCAAACCGATGAGATCGAGGTCAAGCAGAAGATATTGGCGGTACCGAAGAGGCTCTAGATCAAGACCATGAGAGGTGATACTTTCCGTCATGCCCATCACAACAGGACGAGCCCTCTTCCTCCCTGCGCAGCCTCCCTTTCCTCCTTCCTCTCACCCGCATCGCACTGTGGCTGACTTTTGACCTTTATCGGTTACACGGTTACAGACCGTTTCGAAAGGAGTTATAGCCTGCGTGACTGGCAGTGGCGATCCGCGCCCGGGGCTGCCGGGCAGCTGCCGGCCGGGCCTAGTACTAGACCGGCCGGCAGGTATGCCGGGCGGCCGTCGGCGGCCGTGAGCCCTGGCGACCCAGTCACGGAAGTGAGTGCTACTACGGTAGGCGTCAGTGATGCGGCTATGCTAGTCACTGAGGGCTAGTAGGTGATGCTGGGCTGAGCGGCTAGTAACGGTGAACGCTAATCAGGGACTACCGTAGATGATGCTAGTAGGTTGCCCGACGGTGCTAGTGGAAGCGTCAACTCAAGGCCATGGTCTCGTGAGGCTACTCGACATGCATGTGAGCTGCTCATCGATGCATCGGATCTTTATGTCTCCTCTTTCATGTCATCCGTCAATTCCTTGCGGAACTTCCAAGTTTGCTAGAAATCACATGAACTACATTTTCGACCAAGATTGAAGCAATTCGGGCGACTACACAACGCTGGTCTAGAGGGAGTGGAAGAAGAAGAAGTAAAAAAAGGACAAAAGATGATGCTACCTGCGAGCAAACGTGAGCCTTTTCCTATCCAGAGAGCATCTCCATCGAGTTTAAGGAACTGCCGTTGGTAAGATGCACCATGAAATCACATGTTCAATCAGTGCCAAGTGTTGTTCTCACGCTTCCTGCCGAAGTCGAGTCCAGTTCGCAATGCTGATGCAAAGTTATGCCACTTCTTAATGAGATGATGTCTGCCTGATCGTCCGAAAGCTTGAAGGTTTTCACACTGCCTGATCGTCCGAAAGCTTGAAGGTTTCACACCCTCGTCGCTTATTTTCTTTTCATGCTTCCAGTTATCCCAGGTTTACTGTACAGCAGCTTTTGCGTCTTCTTGTCCTTTCCCGCTGCACTCGCTCCTTTCAACCCCTTGCCATGCATCAACGAATATTCATCTGTCTCACAGTTTTTCCCTCCAAAACTCTTTATACTGCTCATTGGTGGCCCAGGATTGTAATGTTTGAATGTTGGAGGGCCAAGAGTTGAATAGCAGCTGCGAAACTTGTATCTTCGGAACCTCACGTACAGCAGCATGATCAGCAACAGGAGGATGCAGATCGCATTGAAAGAGAAGATCCATGTGTAGTGATGCAGCAACAAAGATCGCAGCGGTAACTCTGGAACAGTGATCAAGTTGAGTCCGATCATGAAGAGTTTCTCAGTCTTACCAGACAGGTCTTGGGACGCTTGTCCTAAGTAGAGGTTGATGGATTCTCTGTACGAGTACCATCCTATCCTTCCTGATTGCTCGTCCTCTCTCACAGTCGTCCTCCCTCGCAGCCATCGCTTCACGTCTGCCATACTCCTTGTACCCCCCTGTACCCCCCCGCTTTCAGGGTTTCACCCCCCCTTCCTCTTTCTGCTGTCCCACAAGGCACGCTATTGAATATCATAGGAGAAATTCGCTGCCTCTTGTCTTACACTGGTTCTTCGCTGAGGGGAGCTTGTTTTGTCCTGTCGCCATGCTGGGACGCATCGGTGGTACGAGGCAGAAGGTAGAGGAGGAGGGGGAGGAAAGATATGGAGGCGAATAGGGAGGAAGCGACGTGGGAGGTACGAAGTAAGATACCTTGCCCTGATCTGCATGCTTGGACTATGCGAGGACTTGCGCTTCTTCTCCTCGTGACCATCGCTGTCAACTTGTCGATACAAAGGGATGAGGCTACCACAAGGGTGACATGCTTGCGCCCTCCTCCCCTTCTGTATCTCCGGGGTGGCCAACAGGACAAAATGAAGGCGACAAGAGCAGGACTAGAGGAAGCGAAGAAACGATGGCAACAAAAGAAGGATCGACAGACAATGCAGGACGAGCAAGAGACCAAATCGCGTCATCATGCGTACGTATCTCAAGATGTGGGGCACCAATCCTCTTCATCATACAACGAATCAGCTCTCTTCAACTTAGAATCCATGCCATCCCACATCTCAGACAATGACAAGGCTGCCCAAGAGGTTGGAGGATGGGGCATGTTGGTTGGAGGACAGGAAGAGTTTGCTCTGCATGGCCTGAAGAACAAGTCTTCATCAAGGAGGAGCAACAAGGTGGACAAATATGAACACTTAGCATCTCTTGAAGAGAGCATCTCGCAAAGCGAGAAAGAGCTGCAGATGTTGAGAAAGAGGGTCACGAGTGTTAAGCCCAACCACCCACTAGCGGAGGCTTTAGATCTGAAAGAGAACAGCGAGGCAGAAGACGAAAGTTTTGATGATGAGGACCTGTTGAGGGACAGCGATATGTACGAGAAGGATGGCGATTACCTCCTTGTTAATGAAACAGACAACGAGGTCGTATCATCGATCTCAAATATCCAGATGGTAGAGGAGCTGTGCAGTGCCAGCCAACTGAAGGAGGGGCTGCCATATCAAGTAGTCTTAGACGAGCACTGGGGCCCATCAAAGGAGGACTCGGACCTTCTCTCATATGAAGCAGGAAGGTGAGCGAGCAAGCGATTAACCCGACAGATGGTGAAGTGAATTCATCAGGAGATGTTTCTCGTCGAACCTGCTCCACAGATTGATTGGGGACATGCCGCTTGAAGTTCAAATTATTGACTGCAACGAATCAGACGCCAACATTCTAGAAAGATTTCATGAGTGTCCGGATGTACTAGGCTAGATCTTGTTTCATCCTGATCCTCATTTGATTTCCCAGGTTTACATTGTTGGGCCCAAGAAATATCAAGTGAAGTTGGCATCATCATTGCCCAGGGGATTCCGCTTGATCTTTGTAGATAAGCATAAGACGGTCTTGACAAGAGTCCCTTCTCCGTCTCCTCCTCCTCTTGGTTCCCAGACCGTCTATCTCTCGCTGCAGAGCTGACTTGATGTGATCGCTCAGACAGTTCGGACAGTAAATCAGACTCAGGTGAACCAGAGCACGAGATGGAATCAAAGCTGATCAGGTCCACAAGGACTGCTGACGCCATGTACAAGAAAGGTGATACAACGAAGTGGGAGGGGCGATGGACTGAAAGATTCACTGACATCAATCAGGAAAACTGGGCCGTGAAGAGTACTTACAGAGAATGGAAAGGGGAATGAAGAGGTTGGAGAACTTGGCTGAATCGGGAAGGTAGCAGCCATCTTATTCATTTCTGGGCTGAAATTCGGTAGCTCTGTGGCATGCAGAGAACTAGGACAAAGGCTGATCAATGGAAACCGGACTCACCAAGACGTTGTAGATGGTTGTCGCTTTCTTATGAAGGCTGCGGCAAGCGGCGATTGCGAGTGTCAAACGGCGATTGCTCGATATTATGAACTTGGAGTGGGTCTGCCAAGAAATGATAAGATGGTGATTCTTACACAAACGTGTCTTACTGCACTATCTGCTCCTTCCGCTATGTCTGTTTGTCTGCACTGAATCTCCCTGCACTCCTATCGCCTCTTACAGATTAGTTAGGCCTTTGCTTGGTACAAGTTGGCTGCCAATGGTAATGTGAAGTTCCCTGAGGGAATATTGGAAGCGAAACACAATCTCGCTGTCTGTTATCAAGAGGTACACTCGTCTGCAATGTGTTCCTCCTCAGTTTCCCTTTGCAGGGTCAAGGCTGCAAACGAGACATTGTTTTGGCCTGCAAGTGGTTCAAGATCGCAGCGAAGTTTGTTTGCTTTGGCTTGTTTGCTGCATTGATAATTACACAGACAAGGTCTTCTCGAGTCACAGTATAATCTGGCATTATTGTACTCTATCGGATTAGGCGTACGGCGACACAACAAGAAAGCAGCATACTGGTTCTTGCAGGTCCCGGAGATCTTCATCCCTCCTCTTCCTTCTCCCTGGTCCTCTCCCGCTTCCTCCTTGCATAACTTGGTAGTTTATTCCAGGCAGCCAAGAGCGGTTGTGTCCACTCGCAACTGCAGATCGGAATCAGATATTGGAGCGGAATCGGGGTAACTGAAAATCGAAGCTCTGCTGTCTTGTGGTTCCGCAAAGCTGCAAAATCAAGCGAAGAAGCGAAGAAGGTCCTGAAGATGACATCGAGGCCTTAAGAGATTTGTTACATTCTTGACTCAGATTCTTGATTCCATCACATCAGGGGTCGATGTCACAGAGTATGTTCGAAGTCTCTTTCCAAAACCTCAGGAGAGCAAAGCAACGGAGTATGCGAAGAGTGGTGTGCAAAATGGAATTGATTGGGTGCGAAGGGACTTTGTCAAGACTTACGAGGATGTCCGCCACGAACTTGCTCAGCAGGTATCTCGAATCTTTTGGGGGTCTCGGATCAAACCATTCCTTGCTCCTCACCGATGCGTCGCAGTTGAACGCGAGCTTAAGGCACTCCGAGCACGTGCAAAGGAGAATGGTCTCAAAAGTCTTTCCTTTACGCCTCTGAGCAGGCGACTGCAGGAACAGAGCGGCCCCACGCTAAGTAACTTGTTGAAAGGCAGGCGGATGGGTAAGAGGTAATCTTAGCTCGTCCGACTTGTCGGCGCGAGTCTTGAGTCTCGTGACGCGTGTTGGATGCAGGTTTGCTCAGTCTCTCGGCGACGCACAGGTCTGCTTGATGCTTCTTGTTGCGCTCTTGACCGTAACCCCCTGCAGCTCGAGGCCTTTGAGACGCTCGCGCATGAGGGCATCGAGGTGCTCCTGACAGCATGAGCAGCACCTTCACTTTGACCTGCAGGTACGCGGCACCCCAAAGGATCAGAGCAGGAAGAAGGTCAGGGGCAAGCCGAGACGCTAGGTGAAAATATCTGCATCATTTGATGGGATTACGCTGACTGGTTTCACATTGCTTTTACTATAGTATCGTGAAAAGTTATACACCCAGCTACCATGTACGTTGCCAAGTATTACCTCTCTTCCTCCAATGTCATACGCTCTCAACGTCTCTCACCAATACCACACCACTCAATCTTCCAATTATACCGCTTTGCATAATTTTGCTGATTACTGTAAAGAGAAGCAAGGTGGACAGTAAAACCATTCTTATTGCTCTTGGAATAAGCTGCTGCTCCTGTTACCAATTCAATGTTGTTGTCCCCTCCAAGACTGGTCATGTAGATGACTTTGGCATTGGAATCATCGAAGTTGCAAGAGGTAGTATCCACGTCCTTCATCAGGTAGCCATTCATCACCTTCCATGTGCTGTCGGAAGTCCCACAGCAGATCTGAGCCTTGTTTGTCTTGACGACATTCTCCTCTATCAACCTCATTCCCTGACATGGAAACTCGTCCTGTCTGATCTCATGCTGAAGCAGTCGCATGTCCCCAGTGGGGAATGAGTCTCCAAAGAGGCAGAAACGAGGTTCAAGCGCGTCAGATTGACCTTTCCGCAGTCGCCAATTGCTCCATCCGTACACATTCCAAGGCTGGCCCCAATACGAATTGGAAGAATATGCCAGTGAGATGGCGACGTAGTAGCTACTAGCACCATTCACTGTTCCAGCGCTCATTCCAGTTAGCTTTTGGATGCCAGACTGTCTGAACCCTTCAACCGCTGTGATCCAGGTGGTTTTACTACCTCTGATGTCGCAAGCCTTTGCGTTTAGTGTCTTATCCCAAGTCCATCCATTATACCAATATGCTGAGTCTGTCCCGCAGCATCCCGTTGGAACTCGAGGACCGTTACTCTTCCCCACGCCACACCAACGTACTTTATATCGCCAAGCGTTTGCATACCAACCCCAGAGACTGATGTGACCAGTTTGAGTGTACAAGTAAAGTCTAAATCCTGTCGCAGTTGGATCGTAAATGTTCGAAATGCCAAAGAGTCTCTCTGTATAACTTGAACCCTGAAGTGTAGTGAAGTATCTCACATTTCCTGTAAATTTGCAACTTGAAGTGTCGATTCTCATTGTAGAGGAATCATAATACGAACTCCATGATGTGCGGGACAGGCCACAGCAAATCGATTCTCCGTCATTGGTTTGCAACCCTGTGCACTGCGGGGTTGGTGCTTGCTTGGCATCTTTTCCAGCCAGACCTTGAACTCCGATATTGCCTTGGCTGCCAGTACCACCAAGACTACCTGGAGGCCCTTGCTGACCTCGCTTGCCGATAGGACCAACCTGACCCGTCGGCCCTCGCACTCCACGGATTCCCCGGGGTCCCGGTGGTCCTTGCAAGGAGACGCCATTGCTACCTGCCATTTGCATTCATCACTTCATCGCCCAGCAGGCTCAAAGCTGCTCACCTGGAGCCCCTCGCAGGCCTGGCTGACCAGCAGGGCCGTTCTCTCCTTGATAGCCTGGGGGCCCTGTCTTTCCGCCGGGTCCCTCCCTGCCTTGCCGTCCTCTAGGGCCTGGAGGGCCCTCGATCCCCGGCACTCCCTGCCTGCCAGGCCTTCCAGCTTCCCCGGGAAAACCTCGGGGGCCTCTCGGGCCCATTCCTCCAGGAAGTCCAGGGTTGCCCATCACGCCTGCTCTCCCTTGTGGCCCGGTGTCGCCCGGATATCCTTGTGGACCCACAGCACCGCGATATCCACGAGGACCACGTCGTCCTGGTTCTCCTTGCGCCACTTCTATCATCGACTTCGTCGGCTTGTCAAGCTGCTGCTTGAACTTGTCTTGCATCTTCATCAGCTTTGTGAGCGCCTTGGAAAGCTTTTGTACTGTAAAACACTTCAGCTTGATCAAGTCGTTCGAGTACATTTCAAGCAATCTATATGGTTCTACCTTTGCTTACAAGTCCTTTGTCCTCGCTTTCATCACACCCAGAAAACAAGCAGTTGTATTTGTCGATGCGATTTGGATGATCATAATCTTCAATCTTGTTGTACTGTAACAAATCAACACAGGAAGCTTCCAGATTGCATTCTGGTTACCTTGTAGAGATTGTCTGGATCGAACGACTGTAAAACTTCAATACTTCTATCCGACCATGATCGGTCCCAACTGATCATGAAGGCACAGGCAATCCCGACAAGGAAAAGCGACGTCACTAGAAAAATGAATGGCAGAGTCTGCGAAGGTGTCAAGACCAGGCGTGAATGAAACATGGGCTCAACATCTGGGGAGATGCGCAAAAGACGAGTGAGAGAAGAGATAGACGAGTGCGAGGAGTACTGTTTCTTCGTGTTTCTCACCTGCTTCTTGGCCTTCCTTTCATTCTCCTTGTCTTGCCCCATCAGCGGCTCCGATACCCTCCCCATTGCCTCGCGTCTCTTCGCAACTCCTCCCGTACCCCTACTAAGGTACCCCTGCTGCTTCCCTGAACCCACCCCTGGTCTGTCCTTCCTCCTACCCCTGCTCGATACCTCACGCCTCTTTTCTTCTATCAGTAATCTACCCCCCCACCCCCAAGCCACCCCCACCCCACCCCCTCGTCCTGGTACAACATGACGACCCTTCGAATTGAAGCAATGGCACAGCTTTAAAACTTATTTTAACATGAGCTATGAGTAACTTCATTTACAATATATTTGGGATTATCTATTTTGGTACACCGATGTTTAACGGTAGTGGCAGTTGTACTCATATTGCATATTAATATTTTTTAGTTATTCAACTAAAAGTTCAAGTTCCTCTTTCACCGTTCAGCTGTCATGCATGCGAGCCATGCACGGGTAGGGAGCGGGGAAAGAGGAGGGGGAATGGGAGGAGGAGGAGGAGGAGGAGGAGGAGGAATGGGAGGTATAGTTTTGGGAGGAATAGGGGGTGGAATAGGAGGTGGAGTAGGAGTTGCAGGAGTAGGGGGAAGGGGAGGAACGGCAGGGGTGGGAGGAAGAGTCGTGGCAGTAGGTGCAGGAGTGGGAGGAAGAGGAGGAGTAGCAGTAGGTGGGAATGGAAGAGGTACAGTGGTCCGAGAGTTGCCAAGGGATGTCGGAGGACAGGTGCGTGAAGGGATGTACAGTTCAATGGGAAGCACAGGTCAGCATCTGGCTCAACAACAGCAGGCATGGAGTTACAGCTTCGGAATCGGACCTTCGGTTCTTGCTTCGGGGAAGAATCTGATGCAGCCAACGAATCTACACGCTTCGATCTCGCAAGCTCCTCAAGTCCGACCAATGCAGTGGCAACTCTATTCTCAGCAGCATTCGCAAGACTATCGAGACATGTACGCATCGAGACAAACTTTCACGAGTGTTCAATTCCCAAAGAAGGCTCCTGTGGACACGAGCCACGAATCGTTTGTGAAGAAAGCTCTTGACCTCAGTATTCCTGCCAAGTTCAGTCCAACTAAAAGCCCAAAGCACAACACAGCAAGCCCCACGAGCTCTCCAGTGATTTCAGCCAAAGAGTTCGGCGTACGCTCGTCAAGAGCCTCTCCAATGCAAGGATCGATGCCCTCACCGGAAGCTGTGCCGAGCATGTACCCACCAGGTGCTTCGCTCGAGTTGTACCTGGTCAGACATGGAGAGACCCCTGAGAACAAGAGCAGAACCATCGCAGGTCAGAACTCTTCTGGGCTTACACCCAACGGTTGTAAACAAGCACAACTTGTTGCTGAACGATTGAAAGAAATCGAATTTACCGCTGTGTATCTGAGCGATTTAAACAGAACAAAGCAAACAGCCGATTTCATTTTACGAGCCTTGCCCCCCGGAATTCCTGCCTTCACCGATAGCAGGTTGCGAGAAAAGGCTGCAGGGCAGTATGAAGGATATCAGATTGGTTACATTGAGCACATGACAAGAATCTCGGGAATGCCTCACAGAAAATTTAGACCTCCAGGAGGAGAAAATTGGGAAGATGTACGATTTCGAGCAAGATCCTTCATGAAGGAACTTTTGCACAAGTATGCTTTGCCCAGTTTCAGTAACTATGGGCCGATGATTCATCGGGGATATGCCTCCAGTCCAAGAAGCTCATTCGAACAAAACTTCACGAATTCTGAACGTTTGGTGGCTGTGAGCGATGACAGAGTGAAACGAATTCTAATCGTAACTCATGGAGGTTTCATCAGCGAGTTCCTGAGTTCAGCAGTGGGGGGTGTCACAAACAGTGCCAAGAATTGTTCCATCTTTGTTCTCGCTGTCTCAAAATGTTATCACCCATCACAAGCTCAATTTTCTCTCAAAGTCACCAACGATGTTGGACATGTATGTTGATTTTGCATTGATGATCCAAGTTGACCCTATTGGACCAGCTGGCGAACCTTGAAAGGCAAGGAAAGGAAGATGGTCCGGAGACTGTGACCGTCCCATCCGAGCAGACAAGCACGTTTGATGATGGTGATGGCTGAAGAGATTGAGCGAGTCTCTGACGACTTTCAACTGCAGACGAGCTGGAGGAAAGCTGTCGAGAGAGACAGCCAGATGAGACGAGCGACGATCTGATCAGTGCGAGCAGTACGATAGCAGTAAATAGAAGGAACAATGCCGAGAACGCAAAAGAAGCTTGCGACAAGGAGATGGAACAACAGATAACAGATCACGTGTCAAAATCTGATTTCGCTATTCACCCAGAACCTGGGATGCCGGATGATTTGATTTCACACCGCATAGATCAAGAACCAATTCACGAGATGAAGCGTTTGATGATCCAAGACGAAGAGATTCTGATGGATTCTCAGGATGATGATATGCAGGCAGTTACATGTTGAGGACCAACCCTTCGATCAACCAGAAAGCAACTTGCCACAGCAGAGTTAAATGACATTTTTAATACAATTGCAAGGACCAACGAATTTGCTATTTTGAAACGATGCTTTGTCATGGTAACTTGATAACTCTGTGTCGAACAGAGCTCCGAAGAGAATGTTTTCTCGCCTTGCATACTCCAGGTCACGTTTTGTCTCTTCTACACCTGTTATGATCGCAGTGAGCAACTCAATTGTCTGCTCTGACCCCGTGAGCTTCTTGTTCGCCTGCACGTCGGGTAGGCGATCTCTTACGGACAGCTCGCCCTTGAGCTGCAAGCATTGCTCCTCCAGCTCAACCATCTTCCGCTCCTTGTCCACAAGCTCTGCCATGAGCTGCCGGCTCAGCTCCAGCGATCTCACGCTTGCGCTTGCTTGCGAACTTCCCAGCTTGTCCTCCGCCTCTTTGATGAGCTTCTGCGATGCAGCCAGCTCGTCTTGGGTCGCTTCGAGCTCGTGCTGGCACAAGCGAAGAGCTTCCTTGGCGGTGGCGAGCTGCCGCTCGAGGTTTGCGACTCGTCTGCTCGTGTCGTCCACCTGAACAAGATAAGGCTCGTCATGCCGGCTTTGGCTCACGCTCGGCTCGAACTTGACAGTCTTGATAGGAAATTTCTGCAAACAGGAAATGATTCAACAGCTGCTGCATTGAGCATGCGGACCTTAAGGTCTTGTTGGATACTCGCAATGTCCATCAGCTGCATCTTGAGAGCCTGCCTCACTGACTCTTCAAGCTCCCACGTGAGTTGTCGTTGAGCAAGCGATGCAGCATGCCTGACCATCTGTGAGAAGAGACGAACGGAGAAGATACCAGGCTCACGCGCTTGTGCAGTTCTGACATGTCTGATCCGACTGACAGGCAGCGTCTTTCATCAAACTAGGCACAAGGATTGGCTGAGCGTTGACTCTGTCTGAGGAAATGACATCGAGCTCATGACATCTTGACCTTTCTGAATTCATCTTGTCGGAATGAAGCTGCTTGATCACCTTACAAGATTTCACTTCTCAACATTCGTCGTGCGATTTCAAACCTCTCGCTCTGCCAGCAGTTGCACTTTGCACTCTTTCAACTTGAAATGCAACGACTCGTTCTTCTCCAGCACTTTTCTTGATTCCTTCAATCAAATCAACGAATGATGACAGATTTAGCATCAACAAGAAGTTTACAGCAATCTCAATGTTACCTCTTTCAACCGCTTGATATATTCTTCGAGATAGGACGACTTCTCTTCCGATGTTTGGCATTCCTAAGGGAAGTCAGGAAAAGCAAGCTGCAGGATGTTCACCGACATTTTTCAATCTCTTCATTTGAGTCTCCAGGTTCTCGATGGAATTTCTGAGGTTCAGATTCTTGATCTTTAGTGCTTTCACTTGTCTTTTCAGACTCTTCTCTTCCAACAAAGATCGCTGCATGTTGGATTGAACATGTTCCAATTCGTGCTCCTTGCTCATGATCACACTCTTCATATCTTCTCCTATGTTTAGCAGCCTTTCTGCCTCTCTTTTCCACTTTTCTGCTGACTGTCGCAATCCGTTGTGATTGTCTTTGATCGTCGAGAGTTCTTGTTGCAGCAAGAGGAAGCTGGAGTAAGAGACTCTCGCATACTCCTCTGTCTCTTCGTCCCAGCACTCTCTGCTGTTAGAGCTCGAGCTCGAGCTCGAGATCTCCAGCGCAGTGGCCACGAGATGCGGGTGACGTGTCTCGCCGCTGCTTTCATCGGACAAATCGTCATGGTACTCGTGGATCGGTTTGCGCTGGCGCTCCGAGACGTCTTCGAATCTTAGTTGTGACATTCTAGTTCCTGCTGGCCATCGAGTTTCAGATTGAAAGGTTCCTCATGACCGTCAGGTTTCACCGGGTTTTATTCTCCTTCTGCCCTTGCGATGCAGTGAGGATTGCGATCGTCTGGATGAAGATGTCGACATGGTGAGACTGAGGCCCCACTGAATCAATCCTGCAGTCATTTCAATAATCCCTTCCAACGTATCCTTCCTTTAGTTACCCCGAATCTGATCCGCCTGAAAACTTCTGCTCTACTTACCCTCTCAACCTACTGGCAGTCCTAGAAATGCTGCTACCGCCGTTCCTTGAAAGCTTCTATGTGATATCGTTGCCGCTTCATAGCTACCTTTCCCCTCCTCATCTCGTCTTGTCTCATCTCGTTGTTCCCGATACTCTGTATCTCTTCTCCTCCCCTCCTCTCCCTCTCCTTCTATCACCTCCTCCCCCCCGTCAATCGCTTCTCCATCTTCGAATTCAATTTGTTCCGTGTCAGGAACTTCGCATTTTCGGGTGGTGGAAGGGATTTTTGAATGTTCCTTGTACAGAACAGCACATGCGCAAGGAATGAAGGTAAGGGAGGAGGCGAGGGAGGGGGCGGGAGAGAGGAGGGGGGAGGAGGGAGAGAGGGTCAGCTGAGGGAAAGTTGGGGGGGGAGAACAGGGACTAGAGGGAGAGAGCGATCAGGGCGGTGTGGGGTGAGGGAGAGCACTGAAGAACGTGCAGGGGCTGATTGGGATGAAGTGAAGGAAAATTTGATACAGGAAGAGAAGACGGAGAGAGTGAGTCGAGACAGCATCGACTAGAAGATGTTCGTTCTCGTCAAGATGAAGGACGCTGTTCCTATCCCGGCATCCGAGTTGAGCAAGCCGCGGTCACTGGCAGTGAGCAATCAGATAGAAAAGAAGTACAGCAACCGGGTTCTCTTGGGTACAGGGTTGTGCGTGTGCTTGTATGAGATCGAAGAGCTCGGGGAGGGCTTGATCTATCCCTCTGACTCCGCTGTCCACGTCCGCGTCACCTTCTCGTGAGGGCTCCTAGGGATCCTGACCTGTCGGCCTGACTTGTGCACAGGCTGGTTGTGTTTCGCCCTTTCATCGGCGAAGTGATCACGGGCAGCATTCACAGGAGCACCCCAGAAGGCTTGTGGATCAGCCTTGGTTTCTTCCAGGACATCTTCGTGCCGCCGCACTTCATGCAGGTGTCTTTCCACATCTTCCTGCTGCTCGTGCTCCTCTGTGTGTGCTGCTCCTCCTCCTGATTCTGCATGTTTTCCTCCTTTCCCTCGTCTGCTTTCCCAGTTTCCTCACGTCAGGTGCCAGGATGGCTCGGAGTGGGATGAAGAGCACCAGCTGTGGGTATGGAAGAGCGAGCACGGCGACGCCATGTTGGATCCAGCCTTTGGCAGCCCCGTCCGCTTCCGGGTGACCAACACAATCTTTCGTCCTGTCAAGAGGCCGTCCAAGGCCCCTCCAGCCGCCAACGCCGATCCGACGCTGGTTCAGCAGGCAGGAAAGCGATTTGTGGATCGAAAGAATACCCCTGCTCGTACTGGACAGGAGCAGGAGCAGGAGGACGAGCCAGCGTTTCAGGTCATGGCGTCGATCAAAGATGATGGGTTGGGGTTGGCAATCTGGTGGGAGTGAAGGAGTACAATACAACCATCTAGTGCTGATGACTTCACGGCTCTAACTCTTCTACCTCGTCATCTTCCCAGTCCTCCATGAGCGCCTCACCCTCCCGCAGCATGTCCGTGAGCCCCGACGCCTCCTGTTCTCTCCATGAGATGAGCACAAGGCGCCAACGCTCCTCACCTCGAGGAAGTTGGGCTCGTTGAAAGCCCTGAGCAGAAACTCGTTTCCTCTCGTAGCGTACTGATTCAAAATCTGCCCGGCCGTCACGCACTCCCACACATCCCTCCTCCCTCCTCCCACCACAGCTGAGCATGCAGTGCAATGTTTGAAGGGCCTGCCTTGCACGACGACGTTGGAGAAGGAGGAGAGGAAGCCTCTGATTTGATGCGGGAGGATGCCCAAGTCTGTCCCCTCTTGCTCCTCCTGCCATGACTTGTTAACCCGGCCAGCGCTGCTTCCTCTACCTCCGTGTCTGCTTGAGCCAGGCAGCCTTTGGGATGATGGAGGAGGGAGACGGCGATCTCAACGGCAATAGACGAGGCGATCGGGGAAAGACCAGGACGTGTCGCGGTGCACTAGAGAACAATGAGAACGACGAAGAAAACGAAGAAAAATCCCACCTGCTGGTCCAATGTGCGGTTGCGAGTCGAGTTCATAGGAGCGACGACGTCGTTGCAGAAGTAGCAGCTGGGTTGCTGTAAGAGAGAAGGAGGGTAGAGAGAACAAGAGGAGGAAGACGCAGCAGGGAGACAAGTTCGAGTTTCACCCGAGGTTACAGGATGGGATCTGCTGGGGGTCGGTGGCGTTTGCAGGGTCAGGAACTCCATGTCGCATTACGACAAACGTGTCGAAGCCAAGAGCGACGTTGATGCAGGGCTGCGAGCACAAGAATGAGAGGGGGCACGTCCCACCAGAGGCCCAGCAGCGCTCACCTTCGATTTGCATGCGCAGAGGAGCGTGGGGAGCCAGCGGCTCTCGCGAGTGTCGGTGAGGAGGAAGATCAGATCAGCGTGCTGGATGAGATCGGCGAGCTTTGCGACATCTGCGAGCACCTTGCCCTGCAGTTCCTCGGCGACTGGGTGTCCAGGCATGGGGATGCTGAGCTCGAATCCTTCAGCCTGCAGACTTTTCGTGACTCACTGCTCCTCCACCAGACCGAAAACCTCCATGTTCGGTACGATCCTTGACAGGCGATCAGCCGCAGCCTGCAAGCTCACGTCAGAGCGAGAGAGTGAGAGCTCACGTCAGCGAGACACAAGACACAGGGAGGCGCTAGGAGAGGCTGGGCAAGCAGGAGAGGAGGAGACTGAGGGAGGAGGAACCTTTGCTTTGGGTCGTCCCTCATTGCGGTTATCGGGATCTACACAGTCCTCAAATTCGAAGAGCCACTGACGAGTTGGATTGCTGTAGGACACCTGAAGAAAAGTATTGTGAAACCTGTTCCTTCAGCCTCTCCTCTCACCTTCCCATAGTCAACGAATGTGATCTTTCGGAAACCCCAAGATGTCAAAGATCGTGCCACGTTACAACCAAGCGTGCCTGCGCCGAGGAGGAGGCAGCGTTTCTGAAAGTGTCTCACCAGATGGAACAACCACCCTCTCCTTCTAGCCTGCCTCCCTTGAAATCTCCGCCTCCTCCCTCTCCTCTCCTCCCTCCTCTCTTCCTCATTATCATTATTACATGACTCAAGCTCTCAGTGTCGAGATTTGGCAAGAACCGCCATCGCATCAGCTTCAGGTTCAGGTCTGCTGACTCGATTGCCCTGGACGGACCTCTCAAAGAGGAGCCAAAGGAACCATATCCTACCTTCGCTTCGGATCCATGAAAGGAGCTAAATCTGCACACCGTGGCCCGAGTTTGCCTTTCTGGTTGAGCTCCCACCTGATTGAGCAGCCGGCCAGTCACTGTCACTTCACATCGCTTCAACGACGAGAGAGTCTCTTTCACCCTGTCACTATCGGCTCTCCGGCCTTGTCGAGAATGCCACTCAGCTTGACTCTCAACACAATGCTGGAGCACGCCTGCCAGTGCGTCAAGGGCCCGACCAGCAAGAGTGCACATGTTCCACCTCCCTCTGCATGTTCTCGGAGAAGTCGCGATAGCACAGGACAGTCACATCGCTCAGACTCCAGCGGCGGTTGAGGAAGTAAAGGAGGTTTCCTGCACGCGCCTATGAGTCAAGGGCGAGGAACCGTGGCATCGCAGAGTTACGTAGAGGCCAGCCAGGGTTCGACTGTAGTGGCGAGTGATCGACAAAGCCGAAGAGGACTTGTTTGCCGCTCTGAGCGCAAGCGGGATAATGGCTGAGAGGCTTCACCGACACAGTGTTTGCGTCCTTGTCTTCAACGACGATGAAGAACGGGGGGATACCATTCCCGCTGCTTTCCAGCAACCCATTGTAGCCGATATGCAGCTGGTGGATCATGTCCGAACTCATGACGTCCTCCATGCTCAGAATGCTGTCCGACAAGGTGGGAGGGTCCGGGAAGCAGAGGGCAGGGAAGGCGAACCAGTAGTAGTGCTTGTAGTCCTTCAGGTCCGAGAAGACAATGACGTCGCAGCGAACCAGGAGCGAGGGGTTCTCCTCGACTTCCCCTGAGCACAAACTTCAGTCATGGCGACAGCTCACAAGGTCTCTTCAGGCAAGTCACCTGAGTCGATCTGCCTGCACATCTCCGTTGCGATGTTGTGCAAGAACTGCTTCTTGTCCAACTCCTTGAAACTCTCGATCGTGTTGAAGATAGTTACCTCGCCTGTCGTCAGAACTGCCCTCTTGATTGCTGACGCGTCCAAGTCGAGCGCGTCGGCAGCCACGACCAGTCGCTCTTGTGACGGCTGGGACGGAGAGGAAGAAGATCCTTGAGGGACTCGATGAGGGAGGCAGAAGGAGGCAGTGAAGGGGAGCGGACGGAGCGACAGACGGAGGTCATGCAACTTGAGGGAAGCGATCCGGCTGAGGAAGGAGGCGTCGAGGGAGGAGGCGGGAGCTGGATGACGGAGTGCCATGGTCAGCTGTCGTCGGAGTCGCGGGAGATGGGAAGAGTAGGAAGAGGATGAGCGAGCGAGGGGGGAGGGAGGGGGAAGGGGGGAGGAGGAGTGCGAAGCTCGGAGGAAGGGGAACAACGAGGAGCAGGCAAGTTTTTGTGGGGTTGGGGTGGGTGGGGAGGCGTAGCGGGCGAGGACGGGTAGTGAAAGTTTACTACTTGAAGACCAGGGGTACTACATGGGAAACATGGGGGTAGTGTAGTATACCCAAAAGGTGGGTGATTCACGGGTGGGTAGTTGAGATGCTGAGATGAGACCATGTCGGGACCGAGCGAAAGCAACGTAAGAAGATGGATGGAGGGGAGAGGAGGTGGGAGGGGAGGGAGGAGGGGAGCATGTTGGCTTACTGTAGTCGAGTACAGGTCGCACGGTACCGCGGGCATGTCAACAGCATCAACTGTATGCAAGTGATTGACGACGCCACTGATGCGGTAAGATGGCAGCTTGTGCGGGATCCTGTTGTGATAGGCATGGATGGTGATAGGGAGAGAACCTCAAGACTACATACATCTTCACAGGAGGATACGATCACACGGCTCGATGCTTCAATGCTGAAACGGGAGAGTGTCTGTTTGTATATCGAGGGCACAGGTCATTCGTGTTCTCCCTCAGGGTAGCGGTTGAGACGGAGGAGGCCGAGGAGGCCAAGGGGATCAAGGGACACAGCCGATGGTTCATGTACACGGGATCTTACGATGGGACAGTCCGGCGATGGGACGTGGCGACGGGGCAGTGTGTGAAAGAGTACGAGCTGGAGTATGGCGATGAGAACCCGAGGTTTCGGGCAGGGATAGTGCTGCTGGTGGAGGTATGCGAGCATCTGTTCTTCACGGTCACGTCAGACAAGGTGCTGAGAGCATGGCGAATCAAAGATGGCGAGATGGCATGGGACTCGCACGACCACAAGGACAACATCACAGGCATGCAGCTCAGAAAGAAGTCTGAGAAAGCTTCCATCCACGAGCTCGTCGAGCTTCCTGCCGAGTTGTTCACCTGCTCTGCCGACAAGACCGTGAGGGTCTGGGAGCCTCAGACAGGCTCCTGCAAGCGCGTCCTCCGCTTCGACACACAGCCGCTCTACGCCATGTTCGTGCAGACCGACGGGCAACTGTTTGTGGGGGCAGGATCAACAATCCTGCATTGCGACTCGGAGAGTGGGGAGGGCATTCGCTCTTTCACGTGCCATACTGGAGCTGTGAAGGCGCTGTGGGGGGAGGACGGACGGGTGTACGCGGGGACGGGCATGGTGTCGGTGCAATTCAACGTCAAGACCGGGCAGAGGGAGCGAGTGCTGGGGGGCCACTCGAGCGTGATCACGTGCTTGCAGCTTCACGACAAGACTCTCTACACCACTGGCGACGACTGTGTGTGCACGTGGGATACGGAGCCACTGCTGTTCTGCTGCATGGACGGAAACCTCAAGCTCCTGCGCGTCCTCCTGAGCGGGACCAACGACGAAGAGCCGGCGGACGTGGAGATGAAGACTGGGTCAGGGAACAGCGCACTCCTCCTCGCGGCCAAGGCTGGCCACAGCGACATCATCGAATCCCTCCTTATGTACAGCGCTGACGTGCAAAGAATGTCGCGGGCAGGAGAGACAGCTCTGCACTGCGCGGCTCTGGCGGGGATCGAGCAGGGCGTGTTGGTACTGCTCAAGGCTGGAGCGAACCCCAACTTCAGCACGCCGAGTCAGGACATCTCAATGGACTCAAAGTACTTGCAGCGATCCTTCTTTGATCCTTCTTTGATCCTTCTTTGATCCTTCTTTGATCCTTCTTTGATCCTTCTTTGATCCTTCTTTCATCCTTCTTTCATCCTTCTTTCATCCTTCTTTGATCCTTCTTTGATCCTTCTTTGATCCTTCTTTCATCCTTCTTTCATCCTTCTTTGATCCTTCTTTGATCCTTCTTTGATCCTTCTTTGATCCTTCTTTGATCCTTCTTTCATCCTTCTTTGATCCACCTTTCATCCTTGTTCGGATTTGCCTGAGTCTGACAGAGCCCTCCCTCCCTGCCTGACAGGAATCAGCTAGTGGTGAACAAGAAAATCGCTGCATATGGAGAGGTGAAGCTAGATAGCTCCGTTTCCTCACCCTTGACTTATCCTCGCACGCTTCTCAACCGAAATCAGGTGGATGGAGATCAGACTCCTCTCCACTACGCTGCGAAGGCTGGCTCAGCTCCCTGCTGCAAGCTCCTGATCGAAAAGTATCTTTTCTGCTGAACTCGACTCAATTGATTCCTCTCCCTCTCCTCTCCTCTCCTCTCCCTCTCCTCTCCTCTCCCTCTCCTCTCCTCTCCCTCTCCTCTCCTCTCCCTCTCCTCTCCTCCCCCTCTCCTCTCCTCTCCCTCTCCTTTCCCTCTCCTCTCCTTCTCCTCTCCCTCATCTCCCCAGCTTCGCAGACTCCAACTTCAAGGATAGTTACTTTCGCACTCCCGTTCACATCGCTGCCATGGTGGGGGCGAGCAGCGCGCTGGAGGAAATCATCTTGTCCGCAAGCCTCTCGAGCTGATGCAGCCAGCAGACGCTTCTCTACACGCGATGTCGCGACCCCAACCTTGGGGTCACGTTCGAAGCTGACTTCACCGTCAAGGACATGACCGGCATGACAGCGCTGAAGCTCGCCAAGGTGACGCTGCTTCTCTTGCCCTGCTAGCTGCTGACGGTGCGGGGAAGGACTGGGAGTGCAAGCGGCTCATCTGGAAGAGGTTGCAGGAGCGTGTGGCTGCTGGTGTAACAGGAGGAGCAGGTACATGGAGCGATGGGCGAACAAGTCGATTGCTCTCAAGGTCGCAACCCTCTGCTGCTGCTTCTTGCGATGAGCATGCGACAGGCGCTCGGGGTGAAGTTGGAGATCCCGCCAATGGAAGACAAGTGGAGCAGGAAGAGAGGATAGCAGACGCTTTTGTTTGTCTCTATTGTACAGTAAGTTAGTTCCTCCTGCTCCCGCTCGCTCTCCTGGTAGCCTTACAGCAGGGGGTCTGTTCCCCAGAGCTCGTGCCCGCCTGTGTCAAGCCAGTGTGAGGCTAGAAGCAGAGCATGACGAGTTACCGATGGAACGAGCGATGAAGAAGACGTAGGAGGCGATGGCGATGAAGATGGTCTGGATCATGGCAGCAAGGGCCTGCGGCTGTCAGGAGGAGTCGCGAGGGAGGAGAGGAGAGTCAGACCGGGTCGTCTTGGATGTTGGGGCTGCGAGAGAAGAGGTCGGCGTATACCCAGATGGAGAGGGCGATGGAGGTGAAGCCGATGATCATCCCGGTGAAGAGCCACACCTGCGGAGGAGGGAGAGAGTGTGAGAGCAGGTCGAGCTGACAGGGACGGACCTTGAGGGCGACGGGGGAAGCGCCTTCAGCTACCTCCGTCGTGTCTTCACTGAGGTCCCGCACGTTGACGGTGTTGACGAAGAAGAGGGAGACGAGGGCGATGATCTGCGGGGCGTGAGGATGGCGGTAGAGCAAGGCAGCAGGCTACCCCGGGGATGTAGACGAGCTTGTACTTGCCGTCCAGCCCCGACCAGCCCTTGTGCGTGACGGGCTCCGGGGTAGTGGTGGGTTGCCCTCCGCCTCCTGGCCAGGGGGGAAACGGGTTGAAGGAGGGCGGGGGCGAGTCAGGCGTGTGCACATACTTGGAAGTCGCGTTGAGAGGAGCAGGTCCCCAGCTGCAGGGGTCCCCGTAGTCCAGCTGATCCCAGCAGCGGTTGAACTGAAGCAGGGAATCGATGAATACCAACCAACCCACCCCGAAGAACGCTCCGGCTAGTAACGCGAGTTGTCGACGCTGCACCTCTATGTTTGCCGTGATGAACATTCCGAAGATCTGCAAGATCAGACGTGGATCATCAGTTCTTCATCGTGGAAAGAGTTGACATGAACAAATCACAAAGTTCTGCAAAGACAACTTCTCCTAGGTCAATTTCAAACTCATTGACATGGCCTGTTAAGCTACACCCCATGGATTGCATGGCTGTCTCTAACGCATACTCATCTTGACAATCCTTCTTGCATGGCTCCCAAACAAGCTCCTCGCAATCCATTTCTATCCCAAGTTGCCGTGCTCCAGGGCTCCTCTCTTCCCTCTCTCGTTCCCTCCCTCATTCCTTGCTCCCTCCTCTCGCTACATTGTCTTCTTATCCTGCCCTTTCCTTCCTTTCCTTCCATTTCTTCGATTCCCCTTCCCTGCCATGGCTTTCCATTCCCTTGCTCCACTACGTCTCGCGGCATGAACGCCATCAAAACCCTTTGAGAATAAAACTTTTTCCACTACTACTTGGTACTAAATATATTTTTATATTATTACTGTTTATAGTTTCGAAAAACAACAGTAAACTAATTATTGGTACAATTATATATTACTTATATGCGAGTGTTGTCAATCCATGTCGGGGGCGGCGGCAGGTGGGCGGGGGCGCTCATGGCAGCAACTGGAAGCGCTGGCAGCGAGAGCGTCTCGTCGTCTCCTCATGTGCCATCAGCTGCCAGAGCATGGAACCCCCGCAGATCCGATCGATCATCTCGAGTTCGTTCTTGACTACCTCGATGCCGAAGACCCCAATGGCCATGCACTCATTCGAAGGACAGCCAAGGGGCTGGCCATGCTCGAGTCAAAGCTGCGACATGCCGCAAGGAACGAAGAGGAAGAGGTGCAGCTAGCTCTGGGCATGGCGAGTCTTGAGCAAGGGCTAGATGTGCTGGCATCCGACATGTCTCAATGTTTGCTCAAGGTGAAAGAGGGGAACGTTTGTGAGTACGCAGCTCTCGTCAACGATGATCGGGAGGAGCTTGACTCGCTCGCAGCTTCGGTGATGACATGAGGAGACAGTCATTGAGACTTACGGTCTGATGCAGCTGAGAGTAGCGGAGGAGAAGAACCAAGAGCTTGCGAGGCAAGTCGAGTTCTTGGAGACGAAGGTGATGGTGTGGCATAACGAGGAGGGAGAGAGTTGAGAGATGATGTACAGCTGTCCTTCTTCGCTGATGTTGAGACTCGGATCTCGTCGTCAGAGCAGGTGAGCTTCTCTTGCTCCTTCACTACTCACCCTCGCTCTTTGTCAGGTTATTGAAGAGACTTTGGGCCAAGTCAGCCGCACAACCAGGTCCTGTGCTCGAGACAAGAAGCAGGTCACGGGCAGCGACGCCTCTTTATTTGCCCTCATCCTTAGCAGATTCTCGTCATGTTCGAGCAGCTAGACTCTCTCAGGGATCGCCTGGAGTCCTTCGGCGATGTGCTGAGGTCGGAGGGGAGGGTGTGAGAGGGTCGCGTGTGAGGTTGAACTTGGTGCGGCAGAGAGACCAGGAGAGACTCTCATGGCATGGAGGCTGAAGGAGCGCAAGCAGGTCAGCGAGCGACTAGTCATCCTCCGGTGATCCTGCGGCTCGTTGATGGTGTGAGGGCTCATGTGGCTGCAGGCGTCGGTCCCTCCGGCTGTCGTCCCTTGGGCCATCTCCTTGTCCATCGTCGGAGTTCGCAACCGACCCTGCAAGCTTGTGAAGCCAGTGAGTGCAAGGGAGTGAAGCTGATGCCATGAGCTCACTTGATGCCTCCTAGGGAGAAGTTTGTTGTGCCGTCAGCGTCCTGTCCTCTCACACCATCCGCCATTCCCGTGACGTCTCGCTAAGACATACGCTGCCCTCCAGAGGTTTTTGAGTCGCCTGCTCCCCCCTCAGAGTGATGACCACAACATGGCAGGTCGATCTTCTCCTCACGGGGTCTCTCTCGAGTCTGAGCAAGTCATCTACGACGTTCGCCCTCAGCTGACTACCAAGAAGGTCTGTGATACCTTCATCCCCCGCTCTTGATGAAGATTGATCGCGTTGTATGTATGTATCTGTGTTTGTCACGCCCTGAACGTCTCTATCTGGATTGACTGATCAAACGAACGTAGTATCTACAGTCTCTATAGCCTCTATCTATAGCCTCTATCTATAGCCTCTATATCTCTATAGCCTCTATATCTCTATAGCCTCTATATCTTTATGTCCCTATAGTCTCTCGGTAGCCTCTACATTCTCCCGTCATCTTCTTACGTTTCCCTTTGCAGGTTCGGTCATCTCTCGATCACGTTGAATTCAACGAGACCCTGACCGTCACCGACGTTTGCAATGAGCCGTTTGAGAAACCCTTCCCGCTTGACGGTAGAGAGGTACTGCCATGCCCCCTCCCCTGTTCTCCCCTTCCTTATCCACCTTTTCCTTCCTCCTCATAACCCGTTATCTTCTCTATCCTCCTTCTCTTTTCCTGGCTCTCTCTCCTACCTCCCCAAGTTCCCCTCCCTACTCCTCTCTCACCTTGACTCTCAGGTCACTCTCCTCCTCTCCGTCATCAACAGCGAGTTCGGCTGCGTAGGTCAAGTGCTCATCAGTCTCGCTCCTGGGGCTCAGCTCGACCAGGTCACCTCGGCCTGCCCCTGCTCGGCTCACCCCCGCGCAGACTTGGCACGTCGTGCGCGACTTGGACGGGACGGTAGTTACGGGAGGCAATGGAAAGAGCACCAGCCTGTGCTTCTCTGCTCGATACTCCTCCTCTCCCTCGTCGGAAATGGACGCAAACCCGAAGCGTGAAGACATTTCAAGTGAGGAAGATACGTCAGTCCAACTGCTGGGTGGGGAGGGAGAGAAGAGGAGAGGAGGAGGAGAGGTAGCACCGAGGGGCCAGCCCATGGACGAAGAGGATATAGCGAGGAAGATACAAGAGTTTGAAGACAGGCTCTCCTTCTGTCTCAACTTCATCGAACATCAACGGGTGGAAGACAACAGATTCGTCGAGAATTTCGATGTGCTGCTATCGGAGATGAAAGAGAAAGTTCTAGAATCGACGACGACTCTTGATTCTCAGGTCGTCGCCTTGACGCTGTCTTGTCGTGATTTTCTTGTCGTCTCTTTCCTTCAAAATGACTTCCCTCCAAGATGACGAGCAGCAAGTTGATCATTCGAGGTCTGAAGCATGAGATGAGAAAAGAAGTCGCCGACCTGAAACGAGCTGAAGCTCTTTTAAGTGACCAGGTTCACCCTGCTCCTCTCCCTTCTTTCCTCCCTCTCTTTCGCGTCCCTTTCATTGCTCCTTCTCATAGCCATCTTCAGCTCCAACATGTCACCAGCAGCTACGAGAGCATGGTGCAGCAGTGGAAGGAAGAGCTCACCCTGCATGAGCTCGCCCTCCAACGAGAGTTCGGTACCTCCCTTCTCCCCCGCTCTCCTCCCCCCGCTCTTTCTCTTTCCCTGCTCCTTCTCCTCACAGTCAAGCGGCAGAGCTGGACGAGTTGGTCAAGGCCAACGAGAAGCTAACGAGCGACGTCGAGGAGTTTTCCCAGCTGTACCGCCAGCTCGTGAGTGGCTTGTCATCTCGCAACGAGTTGAAATCGCTGGCAGAAAGTTGACAAGGAGAAACTCGAGGAGGAGCTCGCAGCCGTCACCAGCCGCTCGTCCTCGACCGAGGTCCTCCATCCTTTCGTGCAGCTCCTCCTCCTTCCCCTCCTCCTTCTCTCCCTGCAGCTCCTCCTCTGCTTTCCTCTGGTCTGAATCTCTGGCAGGCAAAGCTGCAGGAGCTGATGGCTGAGAAAGAGACGTGGGAGAAGTCGCAGCATCAGGCCAGAAAGACCCTCAAGGTGCGTCAAGTTTGCCGAGGAGGAGGAGAAGGAAGAGGAGGAAGTGGAGGAGTTGACGAACCAGAGGCAGGAAGAAATTGAGTCTCACGATATGGAAGGGATGCGCATCAAGCTCCAGAGCTCACTCGCAGGTGCTGTGAAGGAGGAGGCCGGACCTCAGCTCGTTCTCACCTTGTGCCTGCAGAGATTGTCTCGGGCTCCATCAACCCGCAGGTCCCTGAGACCCTGGAGGCCTTGAGTTCGGAGGCGCAGGAGGGGCCGAGAGTGCCCCAGCAGAGGAGGAGCAATAGACTCATCCGGCAGCCTGTTGAAGACTTCCCCCCCCCGCAGCCCTGGAGCCCTCGAGCTTTCCTTCCCTTCAATGACTCCGCACCACACAGCGAGGATGGGCACGACAAGGACCCGAGGTATCCTTTCCTCGCAGCGCTTCTCCTCACTGACCTGTTCCCCAGAGATCAACAGCCTCTCGCCATGGACGTGGAGGAGAGCAAGTGGGAGGGCAACGCTGTCTTGATCAGAGCGCTTCGAGCCCGCATCTCCGCCCTTCAGAAGGCCTTGACCGCCGCCAAGGAGAACCTGACAAGTGAGTCCTCCCTCCCCTCCCAGAATGTCACCCTGGCCTCAGGCACGGAGAAGAGATGTTTCCAGCTGGAAGACACAAGCCGCAGCCTCGCACACGAGCTGCTGGCAGAGAAGGAGAAGCACAGATGCCACGTGAAGGCAGTGCGATGAGGGTCGAGCTGACCTCTGCCGCAGGTTGCTGTCCTCCAAGACCGTCTCGATCACAGTAACCGACTGGCTTCCAACCTCCGAGCGCAGGTGAGAGGCAGCATCGGGCCGCACAGCTGACAGCTGCTCAGATTTCTCCAGAGACGTGGTTCAGAGACTATCCTGGCGACAAGATGCCCGAGCAAGGGAGACCGCCGGAGCCGGCCGACAGCAGCAGCAGCAGGAGCATCAACCCGGGTTGCCATGCTCGTCACGAGCACAACAAGACTGACGCGTGTCGCAGATCCGCTGCCAAGAGAGGAAGAGAAGTCGGCGATCCTCAGGTTGTTGCTGCCTCAGTCAACCGCTCGCACTGACCTCAAGGATCAGCAAGCAGAAAGAAAGTTTCGTCGCCGGCTCCATCCGCGATGCGGAGAACTACTGGCTGCAGGCGATCGGCTGGGCGAAGTGAAGGGCCCATCACAGATGCTCGTTACTGCCGTCCTTGTCATCCAACCCCCAGGGTTTCCATCTTGCTTCGCGGGGAGCTCCTGACTCCTTGCGCTGCGCGTTCGAAGAAGCTCGTCGGTTGATCGTCCTCTGCCAGGCTGTCAGTCCATATGAATGAACAAACGGGGCTCACCAGGCCCGACGCCTCCTCCTCCTCCTTGAATCCCCTCCTACATCCAACACCCTCAGAGAAGTTAAGAGCGAAGAACAATCTCACGTCATGTACTCCCGATGTCTCCGCGCAAGCTCCCCGCGGATCAGCTCTAGCAGAGGCTTCTTCGCCGTCTGCTCGCCTTGCACCGCCTTCCTGTAGCTGTCGATGCCGATGGCCACAAGGATGCTGTAGACGAAGACGCGGATCGCCGCGATGGTTCCGAAGTAGTAGAGGAAACCTCCGCTGCCGGTCTCATGGACCAGGACAGCGAAGATCTTGTTGCCGAAGATCGACTGGATGATGGTGGAGCCGCTTCTGTTGATCGACTGGAACTGGTCAAGGTTGGCCCCGAACAGCATGAAAGCAGTGAGTGAGCAGGCGTAGATGAGCAAAGTAGCGATCATGGCGAACGACAGCATCTTGCGGACGTTGAAGTAGATCGCTGTCATTAAGCGACGAGTTGACCTGGTGAGCATGATGTATCTCAGACTTTTGGTCCAGAGAAGAAACGCGATGACCCCGAAGGCAGCATCGAGATTTGCCGACGCGACTGCAGCTCCTCTTACAGCCTGCTGCACAGATAGAACAGTCATGGCCGAGGATGAAGTAATCTTTGAGAGCATGTACGAGTGGTACACTCTCAGCCCGGCGCTGATGATAACCAGCAGCACCAGCGTCAACTCGAGGGTTGGCCAGTCGAAGTGAAGATATCTCCAGATGTTCTGTCGACGGAAGGCCGCGAACTCCTTCAAGATGTACAACAAGGATAAGAAGAAGAAGAAGTACTCGAGGTTGCTCTTCATGCTGCTCGCCTTGTAGCGGTTGATATCGTAGGTGTACACCGTGCTAGACGGTAAAACGAAGCCTCCAGCTGGGAACTCGAAGCAGACTTGAGAGAAAAGAAACAGATCGTCATTGGCGCTGTACATGAACATCTCAAAGAAGAGCGCGCGAGTCTTCGGGTCCACCCATTGGGCGCCTGCAACTTCTTGCAATATCCTGCTCGTGTCTTGCACAGCGAACGAAGCGACGAAGCCTCCTCCCGGGTACGTGCCGAAGCTCCCGACGTAGCTGGGAGAGCCGGTCGAAGCTGCGGAGGTGAAGGCGTGGAAGCTCTTGGGCTGTAGGGGCTTCTGAGCCTTGCTCTTGGAGTAGACGGCGTCTTCCGTTCCCAAGGTCCATGACGGGTAGCACTCGGTGCCAGCTAGGATGCCATCGTTGTCAAGGGCGCCATGGACTGAGCCGCACGCGTCGCTCTTGACCCTCACCTGCCGCAAGCTGCAACGCCGTTAGCCTGATGGCTGTCACAGCCCACAAATCACCTTGCATTCCCAATCAACGAATTGCCGAAAAGAACTCCGTAAGAGCTGTTCTGTTGTCCGTAGCGGTTGTACAGGAATGAAGTCTTCATCAGCTCGCCAGCAATCACCTCGTTCATGAACAGCTGCAGCCCATCCAGGTCTCTGAGGACCTCGTAAGGAACAACAAACTTTGAAACTAGCCATGGCTTTCGAGCAAGCTCACCTGACTGTCGAGCTCCGGTTCGAGAAGAAGTTCACCCAGAACTTGTTCACACTCCTTGCCATGTTCTTCTCGTTCCCCAAAAGCACTGCGAGAGTGCAGACAAGGAGATAGAGGCAGAACCTGGTGAATGAACGGTGATCACTGACGGAGCATTGCTGCGCAACTATAACTTACATGCAGACATCCCTCACCCACTTGCCGACTCTAACAGACTCCTCGTCCTCCCCCTCGTACTGCAGCTCCTCCTCCATCGCCTCCTGCCATATCCTCCGCAGCCTCCCCGCCATCTCTAGTTCACCAGACGCGCGTTGCCGTCCTTGCCCAGTACAGGATGTTGCCGGACGGCTGGCCGGACGGACCTGCTGAAGGTGTTTGAGGGCGATGATGCGACAAGAGCCCGGCCGGGCTGGCGACCGACTGTTTTTGTCCGATGACCGGACGTCACTGAATTTGTTTGTAGTAATGCAGTGACTCGACTGCATTACTACAAAAGGATTGAGCTCATAGCGCCCAACATAAACAAATTCGAGTCAGCGAAACGTAGGAGTGGGGATGAGGGAACGAGGAGATGAGGGGTCCTTCAGAGTTGGGGAAGAAAAAAGCGAGATGAGGAATAGAGTACCCACCCTCACGTCTAATTTCCAGACAAAGACCGGGGTAGTCGAAGTACACCCGGTGAACGACTGGGTGACAGTTGATTTGATTTGGTTATCGTGGACTACCGGTCCATGATAAGTCTTGATGAGGGGTGGTTGAAACAAGGAGTGCAATTAGGGAGGGAGCAGATAGGGTGGGGTGGTTAGACAGCTTTACTTTGAACATTCCGAGACCGGGGGAATTTCTATCCCCGAGTAGAGGAAGAGGCAGTAGGTCAGGAGTACATAGGGAAAGAGGGGGTACTTGAAACGGAATTGGGAGGTAGGGGTCCACCTATGGGGGCATGGCCGCAGAGGGAGACTAGGGGTGGGTTTTCCTTCTAGGGAATCTACGGGCTTGAAGGTCAAAATCTTCTGGGGGTGGGTCTTCTGATGACTGGGGAGGGTGTATGTACCCCAAATAATGCCTCCAGGGTAGGGTAGGGTAGTGTGGGGTAAGGACTAGTTGAGAAATCTAACATATCAACCCCACCCAGGAAAGAGTCTACGATTGATGGTGGGTACTACCACCCACCCTTGGCAATTAGCCGTTCAACCTCTATTATTACACCCCCCCTCAATGGACCCCCTTCCACAAGGGCAACACTATGGCTACCCGTGATGATAATATTGGTATTGTTTAAAACGTTTTAGATACCAAAAATCGTACAACGAAAGTACCACCATTCTGTAAAATATTTATTTAATCAACAAATATTATAATGTGTACAGCGTTGATGGCCAAAGGTACAATTTATAAATATGTATATCAAAATGGAGTGGCAGGGGTATCACCCTACTAGCAGGGGTGGAGATAAGATGGGGTGCTAGTCTGAGGGGGTAGTTTTTGGAGAACTGATGGGTGGAAAAGACTGATTTGCATACTGTGTGGGGTAACATGGCATGATGGGTGGGTAGTCTTGAACATCAAAGGGGTAGGGTCTGATTACCAAGGGAGTAGTGAAAGGGGTGTGTCCGGATATGAACATGGGGGGTAGAATCATGTTGCAACAGGGGTGGTCAGATGAGGTAGCTAGGAGAAAGGGGTCGTTGGTCTTGGGGAAACGGGAGGTGGGGACGGAACGGTAGGGTACTTGAGGACTAACAGGGTGGGGTCATTTTTCATATTTCACGGGGTGGGGTGGGTCTTCTCCGCTCCTCCTGGCGCCATGGCGAAAGTTGGGGAAGGGGAATGGAGAGAAGGAGGATGAGCAAGCGGCTAAGAGGAGAAGATCGCTCGAGTTGATAGTCTCAGTGGAGCAGATGATGACATTTTAGGCTTCCTCTGAAGAAGGATGCCTTGAATCTTGATGCGTTGTTTGACTCGCTCAGGATTTTTCATTAGGGGCAGCTTGATTTCAAAAGAGCAAAGGGTTTCTGGTTGATATCGCGGCAAAGTGACTGTGATAAACCTTATGTACTTGCAGTTAGTTAGTTGAAGCTATGTTTGTTTTGGAACCCTCCTATTGTTCAGACATGTTTGGCGGTTACTAGTCCATTTGTAGAGCAATTCCGAATTCCCTATAGACCTTTCGCAACACTTTTGAACTTTCTTTCGTTTTGGAGTTGGCTTACCGATTCTTTACAGGCCAGTACTGTTGAACAAGAGTAGCGCTTTCAAACAACGTTTTTTTCAGCAAACGTGGCTGTTAGCCAACCGGTTCCGACGGATCTCACTACCTCGTCCGGACTCGTTATCACCGCTCACCCCCTTTCCTTCCCTCAGCCAACAAAAGCTGTTTTTTCAACATCTTTTGGTCTTCAGACCTCAGAAAGCCAAGAGTCCTTGCAGCATAGTCTGATCGCTGGAGCAACGTCCTTGGCCGATGGTCAGCGGGCGTTGCCAACTCCAGAGGTTTCTACTTACATGTCAGAGTTTATCAGCAACAGGATGGATCGAGTCATCGTCAGTAGCTCCTTGGACTTGGGTGCATTGACCAATGATGTGAGGCAAACTATTCCAGCACTGCAACCTATCACGCCGATTACAACTTCTACATTGCCTCTGCCTTTCATCCCAACCAACCCTCTCACCACCTCGGTGCTGGCAACTCATGCTGCCAGTGTGGGGGCAGCGAGTGTATTGGGAGCTCACGCAGCAAATGTGGGAGCTACGATGGCCATTCCGACTATCAGTGCGCATAGGGATCCAGCAGCATTTGCCAGCTCTCCAGCTGCAACAGGAATCGCTTCGTTGCCCCCTTGCACCTCACTCCAACTCCCATCGCCTGCTCTACCGACCGCAATTCAAGCAGCGAAGGCAGTTCTTGCAACAACAAGCTGTTTCTTACCATCTTTGGATTCGACTCAACCTGCAACTTCTGGTGAGTGTTGAAACACCGAAACCTGCCAATTATTAAAGTTTGGACTTTTTAGTGCCAGGCTCAAACGGAATGGTCACGGGCTCTCAAGCACTGGCTACTAATGACTTTTCCGCACTGACGAGTCTTCCAGAACCAACTGGACTGGCGCTAGAAGATAGCACAACGACAAGCTTGCATATCAAGTGGAATCCTGCCCCAAGCTTGGAGGGAACTACCATTGCACCCAATGTTTTCTGGAATGTTGAATTCTGCAAAGCTGACGACACCGAAGTCCTGGGGGAATGCATCTTCATGTTGAAAATTGTCAATGCGCCGGTCACAGGGCTTCTACCAAATACCGTGTACAAGATCCGTTTGAGATTGGAGCTGCGCAGTACATCTTCGGGACCGCCAGTCTTAACGTCCCCTTGGACTACAGCAGTCTTCCCCACCCTCAATGTGTCAGATATTCCTGTGCCTGCTCCTCGCCCGGTCGTTCATAGAGTTTCAAGTACGATGGCTGAAGTGACGATCTTGGCTGCTCCGTGTAAAAAGGGAGACGAGTATTTATGTGCCGAAAGTTATCTCTTGCAACGCCTGGAGGGCTTATTGCCAGATGATGATAGTCGTGAAGATGATTGGAAATCCGTGCCTGAAGTGACATGTTCTTGCACACACCCCAAATTTTCAGATGTTATCCCTTCCTTGGAAAAGAAACGAGTTCCTTTGTACGCTGACAAGACTTACCACTTCAGAGTTCGGGCCAGCAATAGCCTGGGCGTAGGTGAATGGAGCGAAATTGCCACCATTTTGCCGCCTCCTGCAGCTGCAGAGGTTCGAGTGGATTCTGTGAAGTCGCTTTCTGCAAGCTTAGTTTGGAACCAACCAGAAGACCATGGGTATGAAATCCAGCACTATCACGTCTTCCAATACAAGACCGACGATGAATCTGACATGAAAGAGGCTGTCGTACCTGCCGTGTACTCAAACTCAGGGTCTGCTGAAGATGGACGTGCTACCTCGCCCTTGAGCAAACTTGTGTATTATCATGCGCAACAGCTGCAGCCGAACTGTTCATATAAGTTTTTTGTTCGTGCAAGGAGTGAGGCGGGGTTGAGTGATCCAAGTGCTCAGTGCGATGTCGTAACTCAGCCCTTGCCACCTCCGCTGCCAACTTCTGTAGCAGTGGAGCGGATTGAGCCCAACGCCTTGCATTTTCAGTGGAGCATGAGAGATGAGGCTGAAATGAATGTAACGGCGGTCTGCGAGGTCAGCTGGAGAGAAGTGACGCAAGAGGAGCTGGATGCTTGTACTGGTGGCACAGCAAAACTAGCAAGAAACATGGAGCAGGAGGACAGAGACGCCTGGAGCTCCAAGGAGATTCCGTGTGGGGAAGACATTGGTGGCGACTACTCGTGCAGCATCATCGGGCTCATGCCAGACACGTTGTACGCTGTTCAAGTGCGAGGAAAAAATGGTGGAGGCGATGGGCCATGGTCACCTGCAGTGCTGCAGAAAACTACCGTCCCACCGCCACAACAACCTTCTACATTCTACTCGTGTGACACCAGCTCGACATCGACGACCCTTTCATGGGATCAGCCATTGGATGACGCGTTCCCAGTGACAGCGTATCAAGTTCGATGCACAAGCTCCGGTGCTGAAGTTGATCAGGATCCAGACACTTTGTGGCAGACTATCACTGCGGTAGAAGTTGGAGAGGGACGTCTGTGCTACATAGTGGAAGACCTAGTCCCCGGTCAAGAATATGCATTCCAGATTCGAGCTTTGAATCAGGTTGGCCCTGGTGAACCGACCGAACCTCTGAAAGTTACCGTCAAGTGCGATGTACCTCCACCTCCCTCGCAACCAGAATCCTCTGAGCAGTTGTCTGATGCCATCATCTTGCAATGGAAACCGCCCATGAGGAACCATGGTTCAGAGGTCACGGCGTACGCGCTTCAAATGCGCAAAGATGGAGAAGAAGAATGGCAGACCGTCTCTGAGGAAATAACCAACTTGTCAGTTGAAGTGAGCTGCCCGGAGCCTCGCATGGTGTATCATTTCCGAATAAGAGCCAAGAATGCTCTGGGCTGGAGTGAGTGGAGTGACTCGAACATGTTCGAAACCCTCCCTCCTCCCCCCCCTCAGCCTCCCCTGGCTGTATCAGCCATCATGACCCACAACTCAGTAACCATTAACTGGCCTCATAGTCAGGTACCTGGAGCTTACCTGATGTTCTGTGCTGATCGCTTTCGCAGGCATCCGTCAGTGGTTATGAGGTGCAGCAGCTGAAAGGCGACACGTGGGTGGCAGTTGTAGATTCTGAGAGCGCTGTTGGGGAGCAACTGCGTCGGATGAAGCGGGATCGCCGTCACATCTCTGGATGTGAGGAGGCAGAGCGAGTGAGGAAAAGGCCAATCCTCGCCTTCACTCGGGAGAATCTGGTGGGGCAAACGGAATACAAGTTCCGGGTCGGGGCGAAGAATTCCGGAGGGCAGGCTTTCAGCGACGTTATCGTCGTGCAGACTGAGGATGAGAAATGGGCAAGGCAGCTGACAGAGGAGGAAGAACAGAGACTGAGGGAACTTTGCAAGTCATGTGGATGTGAAGAATACTTTGACAGATTCGCTCGTTCCCTGTATGATGCGGAGACACTTTCTCGACTTCCACAAGATGAACTTCGTGAGGTCATGGAAAAGCTGCAGATTTTACCGAAGCATCGTGAGAAGCTGCGAGCGGCTCTTTCGTTTCCTCCTAGGGCTCCAGGCCGGCCACTTCGGTCTTCAGTGTCATATGACAACATCGTCCTTTCGTGGGACCCTCCCGAGCCCTCGGGCTATCCTGTCATCGAGTATGTTGTGCAGTTCAGCATCAAGGAAGGGGAGAGCGAAGTGCGGGACTGGAAGGAAGTTCGATGCGGCATCACTTCGTGCAAAGTAGAAAATCTCCTGGCATCTACCGATTACTTCTTCCGTGTGGCTGCCTGCAATGAGCCCCAGGGACAAGGGACGGTGAGACCTGCTCTTTCTTGCGGCTGTCAAGACAATTGTGATCTCATTCCTTGTCCATCTTCAATCTCAACACCTTGAAACGCGTGTGTCCCTCATTTCACGTGTACCTGATCACTTTGCTTGTTGTGCATGTGGACTTGAACTGATCTTCGTTTCTCAGTGGAGCCAAGAAGCTCTTTACCGTACGAGTGACGTAGACTGCGAGGACGAGCAGCTGCTGGAGTTCATGCGAGAAGCCTTGAACACCAAGGAGTACGCAGACCGAGTGGCAGCTCAACTCTACCACGAGCAGTGGACGCTTGCAGCACTGCAGGCGCTCGCTTGTGAGAAACTCGATGACATTTTAAGGCGAATGCGGGTGAGGAGAAGAGCGTGTGATATGTGCATGACATGCAGAGTCTGACGAAGAAGCAGGTCAAGGAAGGAGCAGTCCACGCGATTTTACAGAAGCTGAAGAAGGAGTAGAAGGAGAAGCAGGACGCGGTCGGGGGGTTTCAGCGAATGCGGATGCTCATTGATGTAAATTTCGGTTCTCTTGTTGTGTTAACGTAGTCACGCTTTTGCCTCTTCTGATCTTCTCGGCTCTCTCGTTGGAATTGAAATGAAAATCTTATTTTTCCCTTTACTATCTCATTTAAAGTCGTCCGAGTCGTAGACGGATGGAGGAGCTGCAGAGTAGCTGGGCGGAGGAGGGTTTCGAATCAGCTTGCGTTGCTTTCGTGCTCGCCTCTTCTCAACCTGTGCGGATTCTCATCAAGCTTGCTATCAAATCTTCTCCGCTTACCTGCTCCTTGTGACGCATGGCGAACTCCAGACCCGCCCAGACGTTTCCTCCCACCAACGACACTGAGCGAGAAGATCAGCGCACGTGCACGAGCTCTCACGCCTCACCGATCTCACGGGCGACAGCTGCCTCTCTGCTCAAGGAGCCACTTCCCACCTCATGCTTGCGGAGAGCGTCCTCGGCGTAGTCGACGACCGAATCATTGAAGGAGGACGTGGCGTTAACATCTGCCCCCGCCTTCAACAGCAGCTTCACAGTCTTCACCGATCGCGTGTCGTTGGCCGACCGGAATCTGACCTGCTGTCCCGTCACCCTCCACCTTGGCCCTCCTCCCCTCACCGCGTCATGCAGTGGCGTCTGTCCCACGGAGTCCCTCGCGTTCACGTCGCCTCCAGCCTTGATCAGCTCTTCGATCAGCTCCTCGTACCCGTCCACCGCGCTCAGCACGTGCAGAGCCGTCAGCGCATACTCGCCCTGCACGTTCACATCTGCACCCTGCCTGATGCATTCTCGAGCTGCGGCTACATCCATCTGCAAGCAGGTCAGCCTGTAAGGAGTGGAGAGAAGGGAGAGGAGGAGGAGGGAGAGGAGGAGCTGGGAGAGGAGCTGGGAGAGGAGCTGGGAGAGGAAGACCTTGAAGGGGCCCTTCTCGGTGATTGGGTCGATGTCGAAGGAAACTTGGTCGCATATGCGGAAGAGCTTGAGCCCCAAGCGCTCGGCCGTCTCGTTGGAGTTTCTCCTCGTCTGCCACAACTCCCTTGAGGGATTCATGTCTTGGAAGGCAGGATGCTCGTAGAGAGCTTGCAGCTCCTTGGGCATCGGATATCGTAAGTGCTTCCCGTCATCCACAGTCGGCCCCTTGCCGACGATGTTTGTCATGTTCTGAGACAGCAGCTGCGCCTTCACGTTCTGGAGGTACGAGTTCAAGTCCATGTCGGCTCCTCCCCTGAGCTGCAGCGGTGTCCGCCTAAGTGTGACACGACGAGGAACAGGAGGAGGAGCTGAGAGGCAGAGCGACAGGGCACGAGCAGAACACGGGGGATTGCAAAGTCTAGCGTCAAGTCTCGGAGGGACGAAGGAGAGAGTCTCATTGTCTTCCGTGTCTTCTGACAAGTCAATCTGCGGCACATCCACAGGCTTCGTCTGCTCCCAGACCCTCCCCTCGAACTTGTGGTGCATTCGATCGATCACGTCGCACAGACGTTGAGACAATCGAGTTCTGACGCTACGGTCCGGGTACTCCAACGGATTCTTGTTGCAGAAACCTTCTTCCGCGAAGCAGGCCATCATGCGGGACTGTCAGGCACTTGATCACGAGAAGAATGTGAGAAGACTCAGCACTCACAGTCGTCTCGAACATGAGGTCATTGTTGCCAGACTTCTCTATGCTCTCTACTTTCTCCATCGCTTTCTCATACTGTCAGAACGTTCAATTCATGATGGGCAAAAGACAGACAAGCAGACAAGCAGACAAGCAGACAAGCAGACAAGCAGACAAGCAGACAAGCAGACAAGCAGACAAGCAGACAAGCAGACAAGCAGACAAGCAAGGAGCAGCGGCACCTCTCACCTTCTCCTTCACCTCATCGGGCTCGTCTGAGTCTTGCCTCCATCCGGTCGCCCATGCTTCTTCGTCCGAGGACGGGATGAGGAACAGGAGCAGGGCTCGATCTCTTGATCGCCAGCTGGCTCCGGCAAGAGTCTCTTTGTTCCTCTGCACTGGCCAACATGTCGCTCGCTCTCCTCCTCCTCCCGCCATCACCCCAGCAGATCCCAACATCACCGCCATTGCGACCATCCCCCGCATCTCTCGCAGGTCGCCCCCGTCCCCGCTCCCGGAATCAAGGCCTCACACTGGGCTCGCCTCGGAGTGGCACGCGGCGGCCCGGCCCGGGGCCGCGGCCGCACGGCAGTGCCCGGCGCCGGTGCGGCCCGCCGGCTCAGTGACCGGTGACCCTACCGTAGTACCGTCCGTACCGTACGCACGCGGCACTGGCGGCCACGAAGCCTCCGAAGTCAGCACCGGGGGTGCCAGAGAGACCTCTCGCCCGGCCCCGGGCTTGGGCCTGGCAGTAGTACAGTGGGTGAGTTGCAGATGCCATCGAAAAAACACATCAAGTTGTAATGCACAAAAATTGACTGAAAGACTGAAGACTGCGATGAGTTGTAAAGGCAAGAGAGTCGAGGAGAGTCGAGGTCATCACCGCTGGTTACTAGTTACACATGGCGGTCTGGTCATCTGAGAGGATCATCGAGCTGCTTCATCTGCAGTTGGAATAGTGAGAACGAGCAGGAGCGTCTGACACTTCTCAGTCACCTTGGCCGGGGCCAGCTGTATGTCGCTGTCAGAAAGCGCTCGTCTTGGAGGGTGCGACACCGTCTGCTGGGAAGGATAAGTTCACGCGTCAGCCATCCAATCTACTCCACCTTCTCTTGCTGCTGCTGCTCCTCCTCCTCTATCTCCCCCTCCAAATCTCGGGGGCTCCTTCCTTCCTTCTGCGCTTTCTCAAGATCCTGCAATGGAATCTCAGCAGCAGAAGAGCAGATTGTCGGCTCACCATCAGGATCTGGCTGGGGAGGCTTTCATTGCTTTTCGACCCCGCCGGTCGGATGAGCCGCATAGGAACTTCGGGCAGGTTCGGAAGGTCTGATATCTTGTTCTTGACAAGCCTCTTCGCCTTCTTGGCGTATTGCGTGCCCTGCCGCGAGGTGAGAACTGGAGGAGGGGGAGCAGAGGAGGAGTGGGCAAGAAGGGTTGCGAGGAGAGATAAGGAGAAAGCAGGAGACGCAACCTCAACGATCACGTCGGTTGGGAGCATCTGCTTGACGGCTGTTGAGGCAGGAAGTTTGTGGGCTAGAGTCTCCTGCTCCCAAGGTCACTGGGGGATTGCGGTAGCGCTACTTCTCCTCACCTTGAGGTACTCGCTGAGTTTCCCTCCTCGTTGGAAATCGCGATATGAGAAGATAACATGAAAGAGCAGCCCATAGACGAACATCTCGGCACAGATAAGGAGGTTCTGAAGGCCTTTCGCCACGTCCTCAGCTGAGCATCAAGTCAGCATCGAAGAGAAGAAGCTACGAACAAGTCGCAGCACCTGAGTAGTCGAGGACGGGATTGAGCATGTGGTTGGAGGCAGCAAACATGATCAAAATCCCCTGATAGAAATGTCATTGATGTGTAATCCTCCGACCCTCCCAGTCCTCCCCCAGTTCCTTCTCAACCACCCGTCGATCTCATCGTCTCAAGTTGATACTCTTTAAAATCCTCCTCAATGCTTTCTTCATGCTCCTCACAACGACATGGAGTCTTACCTGCCACCATGATACAAAAACTACTGCTTTCACAACCAAAAATTTGGGGAGGGGTCCGATGGCAGAAAGTTCTTCAGCAAGCTCCTTGTAGAACAGGATCAAGCAGTAAAGGGCCCAGCACTGCACACAGAGTGAATCAGGAGAGGGAATGCAGGTAATTGATCGATTACTTGACTAGTGTTGACAAGGATCAGATAGTAGATGTAGAACTTGTTCAAATCATATGTTCCTTCCCCGTACAGATGAAAATGCTCCAAAATACAAGCCACAACAGCTGAGACCGTTCGAATAAAGACGTACTGAGAGTTCAGTAAGACCAATCAAAACTACAATATCCTTCATGTGCATACCTGCCAAACACCCAAGGAACATCTCGTCAAAAATTGGGCGTCAAGTCGCCACGCAGTCATGCAGCAACAGGGCCACAACATGATTGCCTTTCCCCTGCCCTTCTTCTCAGCAACTCGCTTCAGTCGAGCAACAGCTCCTGCAAGAGATTCAATATGAGCAACGACGGCGAACCAACCTTACGAGGCTTTTCGCCCAAAAATTCGCGCATGAGCTTGAAGAACGAGTAAACCACATAGGATTCGTACGCCTGTCACGTTGAGATTACAGCGATGCGCAAGCAAACCAATAGCAGGATTCTTGTGTCTCTCTTGCTCCCTGTCTCACCTCTCGCATGGTCTCAAGGTATATCTTTTGTTCGTTGAAGCGGAGTGCCAACCATGATTCTACTGCATAGATAGGAATCATCCACAAAATCCGAACGTAATGTCGTTGGAGCGGCGACACGTAGTGTATGATATGAAAGTGTATGTCCTGAAGTGCCAAAGGGACCTGCAGTATGGGACAAGTGAGAAGGAACAAGCATCAAGCGACACTCTTCCATACCGCTGCCATGACGAAAATGGCCCCGATAACCCATGCAATCACATGTTGCTCGTACTCATGCACGATGAACTGCCAGAGCACTATGCCCGCCAATGCGATGACGAGCAAGTAGGTGATCCCCAACATGGAAGCACTAGTAGCCACCCAGAAAGCGTCTGGGGTAACCCCATACAGGACCTGCGTGTCTTCAACTGGTACTTCATCTACGCTTAGTGAATCGTTTGACTTGGGAACTTGACTGATCCCATTCACGTCAGGGGAGTCTGGCTCCGTGGTCTCGGCCTCAGCGACACTCTGATCCAGAACGATCTCCTCAAGCTCAATCTCGTGATGCAAGCTTGCTGCATTGGAACTTAACGGAGCCTTTTCCACTTTTCGATTTGCTTTGTCCTCTTTCTTCTTGATCTTCACAGCCGTCTTATCTGCTTCACGAGGTGCCATCTCAAGACGACACGTGTATGTTGTACTGTCGTGTAAGCCCAATGGTCGTGAAACAGCCAATGGATGCTGTACAGCTTGAGATCCTTCGGACAGGAAGCTAAAGCATGTTCACGAAAATTCTCTCGATTCCTCCGACGGCCTGGCTGAATTTTTCTTTTCGTTTTCACAAGGTCGGACCAACATCTTCCTTCTGTCTCTTCCTCAGTATGAATACCTCATACTCCTCCTCCTCCTCCTCCTCCTCCCTCCCCATCCTCTGCTGTTACCCAGTCCCGACCAACATTGTCGGTCTCCTCCCCCATCAGATGGGGGACTACCAACCAACCCCCTTTTATCTCGACCCCTCCCCTCTAGCGATGACCCCATATTATCCAATGCATAACCCACCCTTTTGACCTTCATACTACCCAACTTGTATACCTTCACCCCACTTGTAGAAGGACTACGGCAGGGGGCGTTAAGGGGTGGTTTAGCTCAGGAAAATCACCCCTTTTGTTTCCATTAGTACCCCTTATTTTCATAATTAAATCGAGATAAAGAAGGGGGTGACATAGTACCCTCACCCCTTGAAAAATTGAGTTTTGTTCCCTACAAACACCCTACCCTACCCCACCTGAAGAAGTTACTACACCACCTTGGAGCTTACCTCTTTTTTGCCGAAGTACCCTCCCCTCATGGTGCCGTGAACGGTGTTCTACTACCCGGTCTAATTCGATTTCATTTCAGTACCCACCCCCTTGAATAGAAAATCATTTGTTTCACCCTACCCCGAAACGAAATTTCACTGTACCCCACCACCACCATGTCTCAAGATTCTCTGGCATTTGTAGGGTGGGGTACTTAGCCAGCTAGCCCGAGCCCGGGGCCGGGAACCCGGCGGCCCGACGGACGCAAATCCGGAAGAAGGTCGTTATTTTCCGTTATTCTGTGTCGATACGCGGGCGCAAGTCGGTGACAAGTTTATGTCGAGAAACATTTCTGAGGAGGGGTCTATTGCAAACCAATCGCTTCCAGTTTGAAAATGAATTAGGAACAGAGGGCCATACACCCCTCTAAAATAGGCCATCATTGAAATATTTCGTATTGTTATCCAAAGTTTTGAAAACAATTAGAATTCAGTACAGTTCCATTGGACCCTGTCATACCACCACTGCCCATCGAGAAGAAGTACCGGTCTCTTCCTATTGAGTACACCCTTCTCCGAAGGGGTGGTATACTCCACCCTACCCCACCCTTCCTGAATCCGCACAATGCTCTCCCGCGCAGTGCTCGCCACCGCCATGCTCGGCTCTGCCGCCGCCTTTTCCCCCTCCATGTCCATGGACATGGGACGTAGAGAGGTCGTTCAGACTGGAGCTGCCGCCGCCGCCGTTGCTCCATTCCTGAAGGCCAAGCCGGCTGGTGCATATTACCCCAAGGACTCCCTTGCTCCCGTCATCACCACCTTCGATCACCAGTGAGTTACTGCACTATGACTTCTTCATCCATCTCTTTTGTTGCCCGGTAGTCGTTTTGGCCCATGGTTGATGGCTATGGGAACAGGTTCTGCGATCGTGCCCCCAAGGAGTACGTCGGACCCGCTTCCGGCGACGAGGACGACAACCGCTGCGTGAAGGTTGCTCTCAGCAAGATCACTGTCAGCGAGACCGAGGCTGCTGCTGCCCTCCAAGAGTTCATCTCTTACAGGGCCAAGGGGATTGATGGTGACTTCAGGGGAGTTGTGAGGAGGTCAGCAGAAATGTATATGACCTAACTCGCTCGCTCATATGCATTTGTTTCAGCGATGCTGTTGGCAGTGCCCCAGCGGCGTCCGAGGACAAGGGGGTATAGAATAGAACCTTTTCACTAATCTTCTTGCATCGCTCAAACATGATCAGGGCTTGTTCTCCAAGAAGGCTGACAAGAAGGCTGACGCCAAGAGCAACGTAAGCGGCTCTTCATGTTTTCTCAGTGAATGTGGTGTGATGTTTGAATCTGCAGGACAAGAAGAAGGGTGGTCTCTTCGGATTTGGTGGATAAATTGCATGCTCTACTTCGAGAATGCGTCGTCCGATGCTCGAAATTCTGGGTCAGAATGACATTAAAGCCAATGAATTTGATCTTTGTTTCGAACATGTCGAAGGATGATAAGGATAATACGAATATTTCAAGTGATTTGCGGTTTATGTTTATTGATTCATCGCTTGTCTTTCTGCTTTGCATTCAAACAATCTTGAAACTGCTTCATTACCTGCCGCATAACTGTTAGCATCAGTTGTGATGAGCTTCACTCAATAACGTACTTGAGCACACGCACGGAAGTCACGATTAGTGTCGAAGCTCAAACAATTTTCCATCGCCTTGTACTCTTCTTCACATCCTGTCCTCCGGATTACACCGTCAATGACCTGCATTCGGGTTACTTGGACAGCTTCACCAACAACGCGAACGGTTACATCCTCTTCGTCGTCAACAGGGTTGGTACTGGACATAGATCCAACAATTCTGGCACATACGATTCAAACGAAACAAAATCCCCATTGCTAAGAAGAAGCCATCTGTTTTCTGTATGTGTTCAAGCTGATGCAACCCATAGACTAGACTTCCACGAGTTCAGTACTCCATCAGTACTCCGTATGATAGCCGGTACGAAAAAGATGATCATGTATAGTTGTGAATTTGGATTTCGCATTATATTAGATATGATGTATGAGCTCACAAGGAAGGGTTAGAAGCTTACGAAACATCACCTTCAATCCATCTCAGGATGAGGATAAGGACATAGATTGGAGCTGAAAGCACACGATCTTCAACACCACTCTGATTCTGCTTGCTCTTATCATGTCGAGTCGTACGAAAACTCAAATTTTTTTGACAGCTTGCTCACCCTGAACAGAGGCACCCTGGAGCGAACTAACATGTCCACAGCTGGAACAAACATTTCTAGGTCATCATCAAACTTTTCATGAAACGAATTCATCATGACAAGAAGGGAGACAAAGGAGAAGTTCAGTGAGAGCCATGCGTCATCCAGTAGGACAGGGAGGAGCAAGGAGTCGAGACAGCCATGGAGATCGCTGCTGAACGAGGCTGACGCATTTGCAGGCTGGCATTACAGATGAGCCTCCACTCCGGGATTGTTTTGAAATTTTTGTATCAAAATTACAAATGTTACATGTGTAATTTGAAAGGATCATTTGAAATCGTCAAGAAGCATTCGGCAGTGACACTGATCCGATCCTTCGAAGTTGCTGCCGCAGTGCGCTGACCGTGGAATCGATCCGGCAGCAGACATCAGTACTGGACACCGTCGGCTGTCAGCCCATGGTCAGGCGCAGAGGGTCACGGCTGCTTCAACGGCATCAGGGCGACATGATACAGTGAGGCTCCCTGAGGCTTGACAGTGTCTCAGTGGCCAGTGACAACACATTCCGCCGCAGGTAATGACGGACGCACGGCGCATTACTGTTATCCTTTCGTCCATTCTCCTTTCTGAGAGTCTGTCCTCTCCATTTGACTGTAGCTGCGGCATGGTGACCCATCGTGAATTCACCGCTCAAACCGGATGGGCCGGCAGGTAGATTGAATGTACGGTCCCTCAGGGACCGTCGGCGGCTTACTACACGCTGACCGTCAGGTATTTCTCAAGTCATCCGACACGGAGCTCTAGTTCACAGCTTTATGAAGCGTATCAGAGTGACAACAACAAGTACTTGCTGATCCGATCGTCTTTCTCCTTGCGCTCAATCGCCATGTCAGGGGAATAGAACTTCAAGAACGGATCGCGTCGCGCATAGTTGCCAGTTTGCCCGTGAAGGCACCTGCAGTGATGGAGTCAGGATCAACTAGACCAAACATCATCAACAGCAAGCAACAATACTCGCCTTCATCCGGCAGCTTCTCTGGGCGCGGGTTGCCCGTCGCTCTGTTTTCTTCGATGCTCTGCTTGCGGACATCAACGTCTCAGGAAACGGTAAGAGAGGGTGCTTGCCTTTGCCCAGCTGCTGGTGTAGTCTCCTTCCCTTCTCGGGATGATGTGAAAGTGCACGTGAGGAACCTCTTGACCTGAGATCTTGCCGTTGTTGCAGATAACATTGTAATCTGCACACCCAGTTGCCTGCTCGGCAACTCTCAGTGCAGCAATATCAACAACAACTTGCTCAGTTTTGCCTCAGTCCTTTCTTTCCCATGTATACCACTACCTCTACATAATCCTTACAAACATACAAATCTTTTGCATCATCGATTCCTCATCTTTGACGCTTTCATCCTGACCACCAACAACAATCTCCACCACTAGAGGAGGTAGCGAAGAGTTCGAAGTGCAGAAAAAGGACGCAGTGGGGGCGGGAGGACAGGCATAATTCTGAGAAGAGGAGGAAAACAACTTACAGCTACTACTTTCGCCGCAACCTTGGACAAGGCAGCGCCAACAGCGGCTGCTGTCTCCCCACTCATCTCGTGAACCTTTTCCACCTGCTCCTTTGGAACCACTAAGGTGTGCCCGTCAACCTGAGCCTCTTGTCAGCCATGCAAGTGAGTAGCTCCTATCATTCTCGTGTAACCACCTGAGGGAACTTGTCCAAGAACGCCATGACCTTCTCGTCCTCGTACACAATCTTGGCAACATGGTCAGATTAGGAAGTGACGTCAGCATCAACTTGGCACCATCCTACTGGCTGATACCATCCTCTCGATGACTTCACACCTCCTCTCTCCCTCCTCTCTCCCTCCTCTCTCCCTCCTCTCTCCCTCCTCTCTCCCTCCTCTCTCCCTCCTCTCTCCCTCCTCTCTCCCTCCCTTCTCCCTCCTCTCTCCCTCCGCTCTCCCTCCGCTCTCCCTCCTCTCTCCCTCCTCTCTCCCTCCTCTCCCTCCTCTCTCCCTCCTCTCTCCCTCCTCTCTCCCTCCTCTCTCCCTCCTTCCATCCTCACCTGCTCGGGAAAGTTGCCCGGCCGGACGCGCATGAGCATGGAGAAGAGCGACTCGCTCATTGTGCTAGCCTCCGGAAATCCAGAACAAGTCCAGGGGAATCGATGAGGGGTATGAGAGGGGATGGGGTGCAATTTTCACCTCCGTCGGGTCCGCCTCATGGAGTAATAGTAAACACATAACGGAGCTGGACTCGTGTAACGGTTGTCCTACCTGGGTATCTTGGGACACTAGCAGATGTAAGACCTCCAGAGCTTCCTAGGACCAATTGACTACCCACCCTCTTCTAGAAGTACTACCCTTGCAAGGAGGCTGTATCACCCCCCATGCAGACCAGCATCACCCAAGCATTCTCCACCCACCCCCTTGTCTTCACGCTTTCCACGCCCTTCACAACCTCCCCCTCGCCTTTCCGCTCTCCCTGCTGCTTGGTTGTTGACCCTCCCCTGCCCCCCCGCGCTTGTCCTTTCGTTCTAGCCGCTACAGATTGCTACAGCTTGAGTTGCAAGCATGTCGACAAACCTCCAGCGATTGTCCAAGAAGGCTCCAGAAGGTTGGGACGAGGTTCTTCCAACCTTGGAAATGTTTGAGAACAGGATGAAAGATGCCGTAAACGAATCGCATGAAGGGAAACGCAAGCATGAGTCGACATGGCCCATCCACAGGATTCATTATGAGAAGAGCAGGTACATCTATGAGCTTTATTACACCAAAAAGGAGATCTCGAGAGAGCTCCTTGATTTCTGTATCCGAGAGAAGGTGGTGGATGGAAATCTAATGGCTAAGTGGAAGAAACCAGGGTACGAATTCCTCTGCTCTCTGGCTGCTATCAACAAAGGATCCACAAACTTTGGCACCACAAACGTTTGCAGGGTGCCCCTCCGTTTGCGCAGCGGAAAGATCACTCCATCTGTCGTAACGGGGTGCATCAGTTGCGCTTCCTGCGACAAAGGAGCTCCTATCTGGTGGAACAGCAACATCGAAGGTAGGGCGGGTGGATCCAAAAGGGCTGCAGACGCAGAAGAGGACGAAGAGGTTGAGAAAAGGGCGGCGATGCTCCGAGGAGAAGGAGGAAGCGACGCGAAGCGCAGTCGAACTGGAGACACGTTGGATTGAAGATGTGCTCCGCTATATTTCGGTCCACCACGAAGAATACTCGTAGTCTGTTTTGCACCTGTTGTAACGTCGTAAGATTGAACAGATTCTGTTCTTCGGTTGATAATCGAAACGTTGGATTTATTTGCTGCTGTGTGCGATGTGAAGATTCATCACCCAACATATTTTTCGTCCTTGTATTGTCACAGAAACAAAAATATCGATAATCAGAACTACTTATTGCACATTAGCCGTAATGGCATATCTCTACTCATGATGTAACGAAAAAAATTCAAACAATTCCTCAACACCCATGCTCCTCAAAGAAGGTCGCCAACACCACGACCAAAGATTTTCTGGAAGTCCTCTGGATTCATGCTCCGGCGTAACTCTCTCAGGACGGCTGCATCTTCTAGATCGATATTGTAATCATGCAAGCGAGGTTTGAGATCGTCAGAAAGCTCTTCTAGAATCTCCATAGCAAAGTCAATGTGATCTTCCTCCTCCTCATCCAGTTCCTTCTGAATATTGTGGACCTCATCATCATCTTTTTTGACGACCCAATCTCTAACAGGATTAGACTTCACGTTCCTGATTGCCAAGCCTTGAAGATGTGCCGGGATCTTGTTCAAGTAGGACTTTGCAGCACCAGTCGATGCTGCTCCTCCTTCCATCCTGATGTGTTGCCTTGGCCGATTCCGAATTCTGCATGATCCATCTGAACTCATACGAGATGACCTTGATAAGCTACAAGATGTCTTCAACAAAGCCCCTCCGTTGAAAGAAAATCCAGTGCACATTGCAACAAAAGCAAAGATTGCCACCCATTGAAGAAGAGTACAAGTCATCCTCTTGCAATTCCACTCGGTATCGTTTCAATCAACAAGACAGGCTCTCCTAGCAGCGTTCAACAGTCAAGGTAGACTGCAAGCACTATGCGATCTGTCGATTGCGCGAGGGTCAAAGATGGTCCTTCAATGCCAGAGGGTCAACTTGTACAAAGTGTGACCGGCAAAACGGATGTGAAGGGATTCAGAGACCTGAAGTGTCAGTACAAGATTCGGCAAGACAGCCGAAATAAATGCTAACTCTAAGAGGAGATGAAAGGATGACAGGGAGGGCGAGAAGGGACGAACAAGTGGAGGATGAACGGAGAAAGGAGGCGCCAGAGAACAGCGCTCGACAAGGGGGGGGGGCGGGCTGTAATAAAGAGCTAAAATCTTCAATATGTGACAAAATAATTTAAGGTGTACCTGATCTGTGTCAGAATTTATATATCTATACATACCTTTACAAATTTTCCTAAAACAAGATTGTTATGAGGTACATCAAAGGCCTTGAAGTACAATCCACAACAGGTACCTTGTGATATACTTTAGTCGTAACAAACTGCTGGAAAGGTACAAACAATACAGTACTTACCTATTTATAAGCTTTTTATTATTCACCACTAAAACGTAACTTTTATAAATTTTCTTGGTTGGCGGCCGCCAGCTAAAGAGATAAGTGGGGTAGGGGTACCCACCCTGAAGAGTTAAGCAGGTTCAGTAGGAGGGGGCAGGGTGCAGGGCCAGTGAACAATGTTGGGGTGGTTGGAACAACCGCATGCAGGTAGGGGTGGTCCACACTGACAGAGTGTGCCATCTCGTAACCCCTGCACATCATCAGCAGCAAGGAGGGGGTAGTTTGAGAGGGAGCTGACGTACCCCCTATTGCCTGGTCTTAGTATTTTACCGCGTCCTAGGACCTTCATATCCTGTTCTAGGAAGAGACGTAGGAGGGAGTGAGTAGTAAACCGGTAGGGTAAGGACCCACCCACCGGGATTGCTTGGTGGCTATAACAGGACCCTGGGTGGTTGGAAGGTAGGACCTCACCCCTTCCTCCCCAACAGCCTCACTACAGCAAGGGGGGTAAGGGGTAGAGATTGACCTCGTCTTTAGTGAGGTGGGTACTTTTGCAGGTGGTCCCATATATGTGGATAGGGGTGATAGAAATAAAGAGGGTGGTGGGGTGGTGGGGTACTCATGTGGGGTAGAAACCATGAGGTCCTGAGAGGTTCGCCCATGGTCAGTTGATTTTCGTGGGGTAGTCAATTTCTTCCTACAGGGTGGGTAGCGAAAATTTTCACTTGATGGGGTAGGGTATACACTCGAAGCTAGAGGGGTAGGGTAGTATCATGAAATTTTGTATGGTAGAGCATGGGGTATACCTTGGTGGGGTGTTAGTGAGTACAGATGTAGTGGGAGGGGTGGACAACCCCACGAGGGGTGCAGAGGTATGGAAGAAGGAGGAGTCGGCGTGGAGCATGAAAACATGTGGGTAGTAGGGGTAGAAAGGGGGGGTAGTAATTGATAATTCTAGTGTGTTGAAGGACGAGGAGATATGGTAGTAGTGGGTAGGGGTTGTAGAACAGCCACGGGTGCATAGTGAGGGGTATGGGTGGGTGAATTATTACGATAGCACGGGTACAAATGATTAGAATGGGGTGGTGGCATGTCGACGGATACATAACAGGGGTCATATGTGAGAGGGAGGGGTGTGAAGTACCACTAGGATATGTAAAAATATGGGGTACTTTTCTCTTGTTGAACGAGTTGTGATGTTGGTAGGTAGGTACTGGGGGGTTGGGAGGTCCTGGACTATGGGTCCAAGCACAAGGTGTTTCATGAGGGGGTAGGGGTAGGGGGTGGGGTCAGTGGGGGGGAGGGGGGGGCGAAGCGGCAGGGGATGGCGTCGGAGGGGAAGGAGTGTCAAGCGCTGCCCAAGAAAGTCGGTAAGAAGCGATGAGAGGAGAGAGGGGGGGATAATGCCTCAATGGACCTCCTGCGGTGCATTGAGCTCAGATAGGCGCGACAAAGTAGGGAAAGGGAGATGAAATGCCGAAAAGGTTGTAGGGATGTCTTCAACTCCAAGGGCAGAGTGGCGGCTGTGGGAGGAAAAGACTTTTCAAAACGAATAGGATTGATCGCCAAGAGTCGGCAAGATAGTCTTTGAATCCCTTGAGGGGATTCGTGAACGCTGTTAGTCCCTGTCAAGGATAGCAAAAAAAAAAAATTGGAGTTCACGACTGTAGAGGAAACTAGATAGTTGAAGATTTCGAGAAATGCAATTCGTTCTATCCTCGATCCTTCCTGGGGCAATGCTCGCCTAGACCTATCCAGCATGACTCATATCTACATTTGTCATAACCCATGCATGCAGGCCCGCAGGACTTCGAGAGGATCAAGCTGATTGGGCAAGGAGATGTTGGAAAGGTTTATCTGGTTCGCCTGAAGAACAGCACGAACTATTTTGCGATGAAAGTCTTGTCGAAGCAGGAAATGATTGCAAGAAATAAGGTTGGCCCCTTCTTTCTTCTATGAAATAGATTGTTGACAATGTTTTCGTTCCTGTGTGCAGCTAAAGCGATGTCTCACCGAAAGGGAAATCCTTGCTACAGTGGATTATCCCTTCATTGTCACGCTCTACTATTGCTTTCAAAGCCCTGATCACCTCTTCCTCGTCATGGATTACTGTGCGGGCGGAGAATTCTTCAGGATGCTGAAGAGTCAGCCTGAGCGCAGAATTCCAGAAGACTGGGTGCGCTTCTATGCCGCAGAAGTGCTCCTTGCCTTAGGTCTGAAATGTTGAAACCTCTCTCGCCCATCCTGATCCTTCATTTGTAATTAGAATACTTGCACACCTGCGGATTCATCTATAGAGATCTGAAGCCCGAGAATATTTTGCTACATGAAAGTGGACACATCATGTTAACAGATTTCGACCTTTCAAAGCAAGCCGCAGTGACAGCTCCAGTTGTCAAGCAGTCATTCATGAGTGGTCTGTTTGGAGGAGATAAGAGGCCAGGAGCAGGACAAATTATGATAGACACAAACTCCTTTGTGGGCACGGAGGAGTACATTGCGCCTGAAGTTATCAAGGGCTCGGGGCAGTCTTCGGCTGTTGACTGGTGGACCTTTGGAATTCTGATCTACGAGATGGCTGTAAGATTACTGTGAAGGAGACGTCACGTATGACGATACCTACAGTATGGCTTCACTCCTTTCAAGGGCGACACTCAGCACGCGACATTCTCGAATATCTGTTCATCGGACCGGATCAACATCCCTGAAAAACCTGAGGTTGATCGGAATGGAGTAAAGCTTTACAGCCTGATATTCTGAACAGCTAAGCAACGCTTTCAAGAAGATGATTCGAGCGCTGTTGGCACGAGAACCCTCGAAGCGTCTGGGGTCAAAGCAGGGCGTGAGTGTGTCCGACATATTTGAAGAACGAACTCAATTTCTGTGCAGGCTGGCGAGCTTAAGAAATGCGAATTCTTACAAGATGTCAAGTGGGATTCTATTCGAAAGATGACACCTCCGTATGCCTTTATCTTGGTCCTTGTCGAGGAGTGTTTGACCCAAACCTCCAGGTATCTCCCTCCTGTGCAAGATCCAGTCGAACTGGCACAGAAGGCGACTTCTATCCGAGACACCCCCGATGCCCAGCTAGACTCGTGCCTTGCATGGGCCCCAGAAGTTATCAGTGCACACCAGCGGGCGCAAAAAGCGAAGGAGGCGAAAGATTCTGCTCATCGACATCCAGAAGGCAAGGACGGAGGATCAGCTGGATCATCCTCTTCACCGCAGGCTGGCAAGGGTGAGACCGTCATATTCATTCTTCTGATCACACTGAGCTCATGGTACAGACGAGAAGTCGAAGGCCGCAGATGAAGTGTCAGAATCCATGTCCAAGATGGACGTCAAGTCGTCATAGGCTTAATTGTGCCCGGCCCTCCTCGTGTTCGACGGAACGTAGAGGATTGTCCGGGCCCGCACGGCTTTGGCGAGATCGTTGTGTGGAGACATCGTCGGGCGAGATTTTAACGATGCTTCAATGAATCATATTCCGATTCTTGTCATGGGATGGTTGCATGAGATTGAGGGAGAGTGGAGGGACGTTTGACAAGAAGCAGTTGAGAAACGTAGAAAGTTTTCTAAGAGTGATCCTGTGGCTTGTTACATCTCTTTCCCCTCCCGTAGATTGTCTGCATTTCTCTCGTCACCGCATGTCCGCTGGTGGGGAACTGGAAGTCATTGAGATCCTGCACATCTCGTCACCCCAGTGTGCAAGGGGAGGAGCAAGGGACAACTCACGATCGATGACTTCGTTCCCTTTCGAGGTGGGATTGGGAGACCGGAGGCTATAGCCTCCTGCACTTTTGCGGCCCGATCGAAGAAGGGAGTAGCCTGAGCATCGGTCAGGAACAAACCCAGTAACGCGCTGAAACTTTCAAGTCACCTCGATCTTTGACCAGCGATCAAGCGGCAGGATCTCGCGCCCGATCTTCTCTTCCTCGAGCTCGAGAACAACATCCCCGCCAACTGATCTCGCTGCCTTGGCTTCTGCCTGCATTTTCTCCAGGTCGCGCTTGATGGGGTCTGGGACGGGATTGCCGAAGCGATCTGTGAAGCCTGGGCCGTTGGAGAGCTTAGCAGGTTTGGCACGGTACCTGAAGAGAGAGAGTGAGTGAGGAATGAGGGGGAGGAGGGGAGGGGAGGAGACCTTAAGGTGTGTTTCTTCCAGGCAAAGGGGTTGTACTCGTTCTCTATGACTATATCGAGGAACAGACCTCCGTCTTTCGCACTGATCAGCAGCGTAAGCTTCAAGATAAGAGCGCATGCAACTCCCTCACCTTGCCGCATCTATGTATTTCTGGAACAAGTCTCTGCGCCTGGCAGCAATCTCCTCCTCCCCCATGGTGTCAATCTTATCCAACAACTGATCTTGAATCTTGTTGAAAACGCATTCTTTCCATTCTGTGTACAATGCCTTGCGCTTCTGTTGTGATGCGATATGCTTGTTGTGAAGGTATTCATCCAAATCGGCGAGGAAGGTTTCTGCTTCTTCTTTCAAGGTATGATAATTTTCTTGAAATTTTTCTTCATTCTTGATCTTCTGCTTCATCGCTCGCCTCTGCGTAAACATCAATCGCCGTTTGTTCTCCTCTTGCAACTGCAACTCTCTCTGTGCTCGACTCCATTCCATCAACGCCTGAGCTCTGTCTTCCCTCGTCTTGTTCTTGAGCGATGCCCTGGAGGCTCGCAGCTGCGACTTCTCATTCTCCTCCCTCACCTCCTCCTCGTGCGTTCGTCGCGTGACCTCGTCAAGAAGCGTTTGGTTGAAGCACTTCACTTGGCCTGCTACCACCCTCCCGATCGTGCGAGGCGGGACAGGATCTTTCGGCTGCAGCCTCCTGGGTTTTCTCTTCTCCATCTCGATGAAGTGGTTGTTCGCTGCATCCCAGGCAGGAGACACGGGGGGTTTCCCTTCATTCCAGTCCATCGTGTCGCCGAGTCTAGCACACTCACTCACAGAGTCACTCACGTTCACTCCAGTGTCATCAGAAGCCTTGAAGGTAATCGTTCAGAAGTTCGCTGACGGCCCCCGTCTGACCTGCCATCATTCAATCGTCAGGTTTACCGTGCTCAAAGTTCGTCAGTTCTCTCTGGCCCCAAGTCGGCATGATGATAAACTTGCGATCACTAGCCTACTAGCCTCATTCCTCATCCTCCGAGTTCCTTGTCCTGGTGCCTCCGAGAGGACAAGGAACTCGGATCGGATGACTCTGTGAGAAAGCTCGCATCTCAGACTCAGTGCTGCCGCCTCTGCTCTCCTTCGCGTCTTCGCCATTTACCTTTTCTTCAACGGATGTGTAGGCCCGGCCGGCCGCAGCTCCACATCTGCCCCGGCGCGGCACCCGGCGGGCCCCGGATGAGTCGCCGAGTCCGCGGCCGCCCGGCCCCCGGGCCCGGTTATCCGAGGGCCGCTGAGCCGCCGCTCAGTCACTGTGACTATGTCGGAGTCGATTGAGTCGCCCGAGTTTATATATAACGGAAATAACGGAAGCAAGAATCCTCTGGCAAGGTTTTGATGCGAGGAGGTCGAGGGGAGAGGAGAGGAGGAGGGAAGAGACAAGGAGAGAGAGAGAGTGAGATGCTGGTATGCTCAGCCAGAATAGCAATGATGAGATTCGAATGCGATGCGTGATCAGTCCCGGTGTGTAGACGCAAGTAGAACAAGAGGTATGATACCTGGCCGTCATTGCCCTTTGTGTTTAGCGCATGCAGTGAAGCGCTGAGCGTTGAATCAGAGAGGTTTGTAACAGACGAGGGACCAATACCACACCTGTATCAACCCAGAAATCATAAAGATTAGAATTTGCAAATATCTACGAGCAGGGAACCTTTAGACTCCGCTTATTCAGTTCTGGGCTCCTTTCTTTTTTGTGACACTCAACTGGTGTCAATCTGCGAATGTGTAATTTTTGTGAGGTTTAGTCCATATGTCAGAATTTTTAAGATGTTGTTTTCTCAAGATGTTCGTTATGACATGCTGCTTGTGCTGCAGTATCTCCATGGCTCACAGTGCCCGAAAATCAATCGCCTTGGTCGCCTTGCTGGTCGCAAACGATTGCCCAGCGCTGGCATTCAGATATGCTCCTCTCGGAGCGCAACATTCGTTGGCGACCATGTCCTTCAGATGTCAGGGATCTGTCGTTGCAAGGAGCCCCTTGAAGCTTCCCGAAACTAGAAGCGTCTCACGAGTCAGAATGGGGGGCTCGAGGCAAGGAGATGTCACGTTCGAATCTCTTCAGGAATCTCTTCCTCCTCTCATGCTCAACGTGATGTTCGGCTTGTCTGCTGTTGCGCTCGCAGGGATGGTTCTCAATGGATACTCTCTCAGTCCCTTGGGTACCTTCATTGTGACCTGCTTACATGCCCTCTCCGTAGTCCCCAACTACCTCTTGCGAGCAGGAAAGAGGTTCCCTGAGGCGCGTATATTCACGTTAGAAGACAAGGAGTTTGTTTATCCATCGATACAGACGAGGCTGTGCTGCACAGTACTGCAGTGGTTCTTCAACAGGTTCGTTGTTCTTTTCTACGAGCTCCTTTGGGTCTTTCGGTCCAGCAGATTTTTCCATCAGTCAGTTATGGGGTTGAAGTATATCAACGCACAGACTGGTCGCGACGTCGGATGGAAGAGAATGTTCTTTGGCGTGTTTGTCCTGGGTCACTTCGGGCCATTCCTTGCCGGAGGGCTAGCAGGAGGGTTGTTTGGATTGATTTCAGCGATTGCCGCCCCTGCTGGCTCTCAGGGTGTCATCGCCGAGATGGTTTACTTCGGGAAGGCAGGATCGATCCTGCTTGCGTTGCTTCTCAGTGTTCTCAACATCTTACATGCTTTCTGGGATGACAAGAACCGTTTCTACATGGACAAGATCTCGTCGACCATCCTTGTTTACGATGAACTGAATATAAATCGTAGTGATTAGCTGAAATTTTCGGATGTTCAGCGAGTATTGGAGCGGCATCAGCCTCCGGCTAACGGGCCCGAATCAGTCAAGGGAACGGCGACCTGCCGAGTTGCGTATTAAGCAGTAACCAACCGTCAAGCCTTGAAAGGCTGAGCCTCGGAGTTTCACCCTCTCACAGAGTCAGGCCCTGTCCGTCGGTGGCGGCCGCGCACTGTACTGACTCAGTGAAGTGACCTGCCAGTGCCAGGGCAACGGACGTCACGCAGGCTGAGTCTGCTGCTGCGACTCGGCGCGATCATCAACGGTTCTGCCCGTGGGATCACTCAGTGACTGGTGGGCCGGTCGGATCTCAGTGTGGTGGGCCGCCGCTGAGTGGCCGGCTGAGTGGGGCCGGGGCCCGACGGTGATCCCGGAGTCCGACTCAGTGATCATCGCAACCGTGATTCTGGTCTGCCATCTGCCGTGGTTCGCATTCTCCGCGTGCAGGGAGGGCGGGAAAGGTGGAAACTGAGATGGTGGGGTACAATAAGATAGGGGTACGTTGTGATGAATAATTGATAGGGGGGGGTAGGGGTACAGAAATTAGGGAAAAGGTATAGAGATCCCCGTTTTTACCCAAAAGAGAAATTTGAGAATGTCTAGCTTTACCTGATATTTGAGATGCGGTCTTCATTTTCTTTAAGAAGGAGGGTGGGTATGATAAACATTTGTAAGGGTGGGTACAGTAAGAGGGTGGGTGGGGTGGAGGAGGCAGAAAGGCTGAGAAGAGGAACGGACGAAGCAAGGAGGGAGAGGGAGAGGAAGTGAAGGAAGTAGAAGAGGACGGAGCGACAGACAGACAGACAGACGGACAGACAGACAGACAGACAGACAGACAGACGTAGAGGGAGAAGCATACCAAGAGCAACTTGAATCTCTCATCGAAGAATCACACAGCCATGGGAAAAGACAAGAAGCGAGGCAGCAGCAGCTCGAGCAGCAGCTCGAGCAGCAGCAGCAGCAGCAGCGACAGTGAGGGCGGAGGTTCCTCAAGCCCGAGACGCGATGAGCGCAAAAATGTGGAAGGCGGGAACAAAGCGCCTGAAGAGGAGAGCAGAGTAGAGAATGAAAGCGCCAACAAGAACTCGTCAGAGGCTGACGGAAAGAACCAACCGGAGGGTCGGGGACCATCCCTTATGGAGAGGACAAAGATGCTCCCGGCAGGCAGAGCCGGTGGTGCATACATCCCGCCCTTCCGCTTGAAGCAGATGCAAGCAGGCATCCAGGACAAATCGAGTGTTGAATATCAGAGGATGACGTGGGAGGCTCTGAAGAAGAGCATCAATGGTCTGATCAACAAGGTCACCAAAGCGAACATCACCAGCATAGTGCAGGAAATCTTCCAGGAGAACCTTGTTCGTGGCCGAGGCCTCTATTGTCGTTCACTCATGAAAGCACAACTTGCCTCGCCCAATTTCACCAATGTATACGCAGCATTGACAGCAGTTATCAACACAAAGTTGCCTGAGAATGGAGAAACCTTGTTGAAGAGAGTCATTATGCAGTTCAGACGTTCATACAAGAGAAACGATAAGCCTGTTTGTACTGCAATGGTGAAGTTCATCGCTCACCTCATCAACCAGCAAGTGGCCCATGAGATTCTTGGCCTCCAATTGCTTACTGTCCTCCTTGAGAAGCCGACAGACGACAGTGTGGAACTTGCTGTCAGCTTTGTCAAGGAAGCAGGATCCGCTCTCCATCAACTCACACCCATGGGCTTGCATGCCATCTTCGAACGGTTTCGAGGGGTGCTTCACGAGGGTGAGATCGACAAGCGCGTTCAGTATATGATTGAAGGGCTCTTTGCTGTTCGCAAGACAAACTTCGCGGAGTTCCCTGCCCTGGACGCTGATCTTGATCTTGTTGATGCGGATGATCAGATTACACATGAACTGTCACTTGATGATCAGCTGGATCCAGAGCCATCGCTTGATATTTTTCACCCTGACCCTGAATTTGTTGAGCACGAAGAAGCCTGGAAGTCACTCAAGAAAGAGCTTCTTGGAGAAGAAGAAGGAGGAGAAGAGGGCGACGATGAGGAGGAAGAGGAGGAAGAGGAAGAGGAGGAAGATGAGGAGGAAGCAGCTGCTCAACAACAGGAGATCCAAGATCAAACAGAAACCGATCTGGTTAATCTGAGGCGAACTATTTATCTCACGATCCAGAGTAGTATGCAGTCTGATGAAGCTGCACATAAGTTGCTCAAATTGCAAATCAAACCGGGACAGGAGAAAGAGATGCTTCGAATGATCATTGAATGCGGCATGCAAGAGAAATCGTATATGAAATATTACGGTGTTCTCGCAGAGGTGATTTTGATCGCTGTGTGCAATGATTTTTTTGACATTCTTTCTTTTCTTTTCTTTTTTTTTTTCGCAGCGCTTTTGTAAATTAAAGAAGGAGTGGGAAGAGATGTACGACGAGCTGTTTGCTCAGTACTATGCCACAGTGCATCGACTTGAAACCAACAAGCTCCGCAACGTCGCAAAGATTTTTGGTCACTTGCTCCATACAGTATGTTTTTTCTATGATTGCAAGTTGTTGTGTTGAGTTGAGGTCAACTAGGATGCGATGCCATGGACGTGCCTTGAGTACATTCGACTGAATGAGGAGGAGACTACCTCCTCATCTCGTATCTTCATCAAGGTGTTTCAGTTACCGTGAGTTCAACTCCTGCTAAATGTTACCAGATCCTCTTCCAAGAGGTGTCGGAGTACATGGGGCTACCCAAGCTCAAGGTGAGGAGCAGCTCTTCGGTGTGACGTCATTGGTCAAGTTGTCTGACATGTTAGATAGGAGCGTCTGGAGGATCCTTTCATGGCACAGTACTTCGAGGGTCTGTTTCCCCGTGACAACCCAAGGAACACGAGGTAGAGGCGAAACCCCCTCCCTCCCATCTTGATTGCTTGCCCGTGCAGGTTTGCCATCAACTTCTTCACATCTATTGGCTTGGGTGGACTCACGGAGGGGCTGAGGTGACATTTTGACCTGCCCCCTTGACTGACGCAGAAGATGACCTGAGTTACAGAGAGCATCTAAAGAACTTGCCAAAGATGATCATGCAACGGAAGCAGGTATAATTTCACTTCAATCAAAACCTTAAAGAGGTGAAAAATTCAACAGGAGAGCTCGTCCTCATCATCCTCGTCTTCATCGACATCGTCTTCATCGAGGTCAGGCTTGTTTTACAGACCTACGGCCACTGAATATTTGAACTAGTTCTTCCGACTCGGATTCTGACAGTTCTAGTTCGTCCAGCAGGTAAACACTTGTTGCAGATCCGATGTACATACTTAGGCTTTAATTCCAGCTCCAGCTCCAGCTCCAGCTCCAGCTCCTCGTCATCCTCATCCTCATCAGGAAAGAGGCCTGCTCCGAAACGGCAGAGACGAGATTGAGTGTATTGAGTGTTTAAAGCTGTTCACACCGCTTCTCGCAAGCTCACGTGGCATAATTGAGGCTTCGACCATGGCGGCATCCCTTCAGTCTTAATGCCCATCTCGAGGAAAGGGCCCTGGACCTGAGCAGCTATCACCTCAAGCCTTGTCAGCAGCTTTCTCACCTCTCTCACATGGAGAAGCACGTCCTCGATCGGTAGCTCACGATACCACGAGCACGACTTCCCGCATACTTCGTGGATGATGTCACCCTGCTTCAGCTGGAAGGTCTCCTCATCGCTCTCGTGGCTCTGCACCACGAGGGAGGAGTCTTCCTGCACCACTGAGCGCACTCCTATCAAGAGGTGCAGGGCCTCCCCCAGTGGTGAGGTGCCTTTGATCTCCGACAGGCACTCCCGCAACGCCTGCCCCTCTAGCTGCTCTAGGAACGGCAGTGGCGGCTCGAGCTTCTCACTCTGAGCACGGTATGAATCACAACCGGCAAACAGCAACAAGAGGTGCCACCTGTAGCATGGAAGCAACTTTGCGAGACAGCAAGGCGACAGCGATGGCGGCCTTGCCGATGATTTCAATCTTCTCTTCCACAATCCCATGCGATTCAGTGTAGAATGGCTCGCTCGAGATGATGGTTCCGTACGAATACCTGCCTCAATCTTTAAATCTTCACATGATAATTTCGGAGGCTACCTGACAAATCGTTTTCCCTTGCTGCTAGAGATTGAGATTCCTTGACCATGGGCTTTCCCTTCAGACCATTCACCCTGTCCTGCCCTTCAGCACCTCCCTTCTCATTCTCAAAGTCACCTGGTAGATCGGACCATCCTTGGAGAAGTACGCGCCGATCCCTGCATACTTATTCTCCTCCAGTTCCCCCCGGTATCCGCGTCCATCGGCAAACGTGTCTACTCCCAGGCCCTCCTTCTTCTCACTCGACCACAGCCCCTCGTACACATCGCCCGACCCATGAGAGTAACGGCCGAGGCCACTTCTCTTGCCGCAGAGCCATTCCCCGTCATACCGATCGCCGTTGAGGTACGTGGCCGAGCCCTGCCCATGCATCACGCCGTCCTTCCATTCACCGACGTAGCTGTGGCCCTGCTGGGGCCAGGAGGCTGTTCCACGTCCCCAGGGACGCCCATAGCGAAGCTGTCCGATGTATCGACCTCCTCCGGCAATGGACGCCGAGCCAACGCTCAGAGCAGTAACGCCGCCAACGTCCGTGCTCGAGATGGGCTCATCGGTAGGGTCGTACTCCTGCCTCACCCCGTTGGAAGCAGGCGGGAGGTCTTCATCGCTTGAACGACTCTCATGCAGAGGCTCCCGGAACTGACTCATTCCTTGCGGCTCAGCGGATGAGCAGGAAGACGTTGAGACGCTCGCCACATTCGTTCCTTCTTCTGCTCTTTGATCCTCCACGCGATAATGCTCTTGCTCGGTTTGAAGCAAGCTCTCGTTGTACGGCTTTCGTATCAACGTGAAGTGTTTGACAGGAAAGCTAAGCTCCTTCTTGATTCCGATTGTCACAGAAGAACCTACAGGCCCAGAGAGCATGCCTGTGACTGTCTCGAAGGAGAACCCATAGACGATGCGACCATCCACATCCCAGAGGAAGTCGCCTCGCACCACCTCGAAGTCAAGAAGCTCCCTGTGTTTGCTGTTCACGGAAGCTATCTTCCAGGTTCCGTTCTCCCCGCCCTTCCCAGGAGCCAACGCGATCCCAATGCCATTCCATACATCAACCTCATCCCCATGTGTGAGCTTTCCGTTGGGACTGCTGGACCATACTCGTTCATTAGCCGAGGTTGTGCTGGCCTCTATCTCTTGTCCGATCTCCTTGACGACGGTGTGTCGTAAACTTTCAGGGATGTGCGTGAGGAGAAATCTCTTCTGCTCGGAGGCTTCAGACCGGATCTCTGGTCTTGAGTGTAACTGACGCTGGAGACCTTCAAGGGTGAACTTGCCATACTTGCTTCCAATTTGAGACTCCAGCACCACAAGATCGATCGCATTCCCCTCATGCTGCTTCAGCGTCAACGCCTCCATCATCACGATGCCTGCAGACCAGACGTCGCTCTTTGTTGAGTACTTCAGCTCCTCTACTACCTCAGGCGCCATGTACCGCCGACTTCCGACGCGCTCAGGTGCAGGAGGAGAATGGATAAGGGAAGACACGCCGAAGTCAGCGAGCTTCAGGTCGAACTCTGAGTCAAGGAGGAGGTTGGAGGGCTTGAGATCTCGATGGAGGACGCCGTGCTCATGGCAGAAGTCGAGGCCGTCAAGTAGCTGGTACCACCACTTGATCGCTGTCTCTGGGTCGAAGGCCATTCCCCCGTCTCGTAGCCTCTGCTGGATCTGCTTTGCCAGGTCACCATGCTCGCAATATTCAAGAACAAGAAAGATGCTGGACGACTGCGGGTAGAAATCATGCAGGTGAACGATCCTAGGGTGTCTCAGGAGGAACAGGATCCTTGCTTCGTGAAGAGCGTACGACAGCGCGGCTTCGTTGTTGCCTGCCTGAAAATCGATCTGCTTTGCTACGTACAGCTTGCGATCCAAACTGCCCTTGGCTAGAAGCATTCTCCCCGACGCTCCTGAACCAACCTGATTGCTGATATGATACGTTTGAGGATGAGGAGTCCGTAATTCCAAGGTGGACATGTCCAGTTGCATATCCAAGACTTTGTTGGGATATCCTTCTCTCATGGACATTCTCTTCTTTCAGCAATCAGGGACCACATGTGCACTGACTTTCCTCCTCTTCCCTTCCTCCTCTTCCCTTCTTCAGTCTCTCAGTCGATCTCTATGACTCTCACCTGTATCCCCCAGTGCGTTCCCACTTACCCTATCCCCTCACCCTGCAGCAGCAGCGGTTGAATCCGTGGCCTTCACACTGGGGTGAGAGGCAAAGGAACAGAGAGGAGGAGGAGGAGGAGGAGGAGGAGGAGCCGAGGAGGAGGAGGAGCCGAGGAGGAGCGGGGGACTCTGAGCAAGGGGGGTAGCGACTGTCTTGAACTGGGCGACTGGCAGGACGAGGATCAGAGGTGGAAAGGGGGGGGGGTACTAAAGGAGGTCGTAGCCATCCAATTGGGCTCGCTCTACCCCTCCCTTTCCCACCAGAATACCCACCCCTTTGAAGAGAGTTGCATTGAAGGTTCCGACTCCGGTCACTACCGGTACACCATAGACATTTTGAGATCTCCATTCGTAAATATTCTTTGATATTTCAATTTTTCATTGAAGTATTGACAAAACGTCGAAAGAGAATCAGCAGTTGGGGATGAGGTTCAAAGTTGCACGAAAATGATGACTGAGGGCCTATTCTGTACTTCACTGAAGTCCCCCGGGCCCGCCGAGCACGGCGGCCGGCGGTCCGATCTCTCAGGCCCGCGGCCCGGCCCGGCCGCGCCCGCCGCCACGCTGTGACTGAGGCTTAGTACCTGCTAAGTACTGAGGTCTGTCTCTCAACTGAATGGCCGTAGTTTAGTGGTGCATGTACTTCACTTTCAATGACCCGCGTTAGACTACAAGTGTTTCTAGGTTGAACTTGATCGCTCAAATTCCATAGAGGAGAACATGCCTGCAGGCTCCTCTAGTAGCTCGCACCTCAGCTTCCCTCTAGGCTGCTCCCCTCCTGCGTCCTGTCTTGGCTCTCGACTCCTCTCATCAGACAGTCTCTCATCCCACTCGTCCAGCAGCTTCGCCATGACCTCATCAGGATCAAAGAGCCTCGCCTGCATGCTCCGTCACTCACCCGCCTCTCTCCGTCCATGATCAACCTTGTTGCTATCCAACATCGTCCTCAGCACGTCCTGTCGCTTGATCACGTCGATGCCCTGCGAAACCGTCACCATCGTGCTCCTCGCCCTCCTCTTCATTCTTGACTTCCTGCCTGCCTGCCTTCCAGTCTGCTCTACGTATCTATGTAGCATGCTTGCACGCAAGAACATATCTGGACCTCACTCTCGCTCTCCTCCCCTGGCTGTCTCCCCACCTGCTGCCGCAGAAATCTTCGTTGAGCTTCAAACTCTTCTGTCTCCTTCCCTGTTCGAGCTACGTAAGCATCAGTCCCACCCCTCAGCGCCTCCTTCTCACCGCTCCCGTCCTCTGCAGCTGCCATCAGATCTGCTAGCACGCGGTCAAGCTTCAGCGGCGTCTCCTGGCCAGCAGCATAGGCAGCTGCCGCATCCTGTGAGGCAGCAAGGACCTGCGGTGTATGAGGTCCTAGGAAGAGGTAGGGACCGGGTGCCACTCACGATCTCTGAGCTCTGGCGCAGGTCAGCTTCAATGGACGAGCGCTCGAAGGCAGGCACGACGAAGAGAAGGTCCTGACCCAGCGAGTCGAGCTGCCAGGCATGCTGCAGGAGACACACATGACGGGGAAAAAGGAGAGACAACAACTACCTCCTCCTCGCTGCCGCCCATGCTGACGTCATCGTTCACTCCGGGTGCTGTCAGGATCATGTTCCTCAGCTCGTCTTCATCTGACAGGCGTCAGACTTGCAAGAGAGAGGCGGACATTACCTAGGAAGCCGGCCCCTGTGCCCTCCCCTTCCACAGACCTCTCGTTCTTCCTCTTGATCGCATCCGATGAGTCCAGGCTCAACTCCAACGAAGACGCTTCTGCTCTCACATCAGCAGTCTGCCTCACCCCGTCCCTCCTCCTCCTCATCCCCTGCACTTCTCCTCCTCCCCTTCTCCTCCCCTTCCTCCCATTCCTCCTTCTTTTTTACCTGCAGCTTCATTGCTGAACTCCAGCGCGTCAAGGTCTCGCTGCTCTTCACTGTTTTCCTCACTCAAATCCTGTCGATGAATCGGGTCACCCGTCATGGGACATCTGAAGACAGCGCTCACGGAATCAGCCGGGGCAAGCGCTGCAACGTTGCTCTTGCGCACCATGTCGGCAAAGTTTTGCACAGCTGACAAGCTGAAGGAAGGAAGATGAGAGGACAGAGAGGCTAGTCATATGCTTTCACCTCTTGATCCCCCCTTTGTACAAGTTGTGTGATGCGTCTCCGAACTCTGCAGCCGCATGCATTTCCTCCGTGCGGATCTGAACTTCAAGCGGAAGCTTCAACGGGCTGTCGAGCGTCGTGTGGATCGACTGAGAAAGTTTGCGATCAGACAAAGAGGACAGGAAGCGAGTGGCAGCAGGAGAAGCAGAGGGTGCAGGAGACGAGGCGGTTGCTCTACCTGGTAGCCATTGGGCTTTGGGTGTGTCACGTAGTCTTTAAACCTCCCCCGCGGCTCTTCCCAGCCGACTAGCGCCTTCCTCACTGCTCCATATGCTTCCGTGCATGTGCGGACTTGCACCGAGTCGTCTGACCTGAACTGACTCTTGAGACCAATGACAACTCGCATGGCGAAAACATCCTTGACATCCTATCAACAGGTCAGGAGGAGCAGGAGAAGGGGTAGGAAAGGAAAAGCACCTCAAGTTTCTTGTTCGACCTGAACATCTTCTTGAAGGTGGAGAAAACACTCTTCCTTCGGCTTGTGATGGCGTATCGTTCGACATGTTCCAGCAAGAAGTCGTTCTCATTCAGCGCCTTTAGCACGTCCACCTTTGCCTGCTCCATCATGTTGCTCGAGACTTCCCACAGCTCCAGCTGCCACTGCTCGACAGACGTGTACGAGTCCGGGAACAAGGCACGGAACGAGAGGTCTTCCAGCTCCCACAGCCACTTTCCCACTCCAAGTGCGTGAGCGAGTGGCGAGAAGACTTGAAGGCTCTCCAGCGCCTTCAGATGCTGGTCGTACAAGGGAGCTTCTTCGATCTTTCTCAGCGCATTAAGCCGATCCGCCAGCATGACTATCACAGCCCGATGGTCCCTTGACGCTGCCACCATGTACTCCCGCAGGAATCTGCTGCCATCATCATCGAGCAGGCCGACCCGGTCGGGAAGCTGCGAGAGCCAGACCGAGTCCTCCACCATTGAGCCCACGACCGGCCCGAAGCGATCGCGAACCTCTTGGATGCTGGCGCTTCGCTCACGGACACAAGGGAGGAGCACAGCGCTGACGAGTACAGGCGTTGGAAGTTGCAAGCCTGCAATAATGCTGCCAATAGCGAGACCCTCCCCGAACTTCTTATCTACCAACCTCGAGCCCAGCAGACGCTCACCTGTGAACCTCAAGGCGTCTTGCACTTGGTACTGCTCGTCAGGAGGCAGGTACATGGACTGTTTCGCTAGAGCATCGCAGACTTGCTTCCACTGGTGTGAGAGCGCAGAGGCGCTAGAACTTCCATCAGCGTAGAAGGGGAGGATGGAGTTGACCTCCGCCCCGGGAGCTGCAGGCCGTAGATCGATACGGTCAAGGTTGTCTGGAGCGACCTTCATCTCCTCCTCATCGACCTTCAAGTCTCCGTCAAGGACTACTTCGGCATGCACTCGCCGGTAAGTCTCCACCACCTCCTCGAGGCTCAGAGTGCCATCTTGGTTGGCGTCCATCCCATCGAAGACCATGTCGATGTCTGACGCCTCCATCTGCTCAAGTCCAGCTGCCTTAACCACAGCGCTGAACTCGGAGCGATCGAGAGTCTTCGAGTCGGACTTGTAATCTTTTGCAACGATGCTGCGATCAGTAGATTCATCTGATTGCCGGCCTTCTTCCACCTCCTTGTCCATCTTGACCGACTCCGACATCATCCACTTCCGCAGAACCATCAGCATCTCCGAGCCCTTCCCCTCCATCATGAAGCCTCCAGCAAAGATGCTGTCCAACGCTTGAATCGTCTTATCTCTCATCTGATCAGTCCATCCTTTACCCTCTCCTTCTCTTGCATCTCCTGCCCTCGATGTCTTCCCACCCTCGATGGCTTCCTGCCCCTCCTCGTCTGCCTGCAAGTTAGCGACAAGTCCATGTCGGCGTCGCCTGGTGGCCTCATCCCTCAAAGTCTTGAGAGGGCTTCTCGTGCATCTGGTTGCCAAACGAAGCGCCTTGACTTTGTGCGGCATGGGAAGGTTCGGCGTCCAGCCGCATCCATGGAAGAACCAGGACGACAGGACAATCACATACAAGAGCCAACTACTGTTATTATTTGGCATCTTTCAACTGTTCCTTGCCTCTGGGTTTCAGCGTTGAGATTAGGTGGAGGACACCTCTTCTTTTGCCTCTGCCCCACTTTGCTACACCATTGACATTACTATTCCACCGACACTTGATTCTTTCCTGTGATAACACGCAGGTCAGTCCATTGCTGTCCTGTTCACTGTTCGCAGCTATTTCTCATGTCCCTTCACACTCCCTGTCTAATTTCTCCATACAGACAGTGCATCCATGAAATTTCTGAGTCGACGTCATTCCTCTCCTCTCTCCTCTCCTCTCCTCTCCTCTCCTCGCTCTTCTCCTCGCCTCCTACATTTCACTACAGACCAGTAACAATGTCCATGACCACCATCCTTCACCCCCACCCCTCTCCTATATTTCTCACCCCATCTTCCTACAACCCCACCTCAACAAATTCTAAATAGTACCCTCACTTTTATATAAGAATACCCACCATTTTCTAGCAGTCTTCCAGCACCTTATCAGCATTTCTCACCCCCTACCCTTCCTGTGTTCCACCCCACCCCCCGCATGCTACTCCCCTTTAGATGTGCAGAAATTGTCGCGCGGGTGACATGAAATTTGAGTGATTTTACAGTTCATCGGCCCGGCGGGCAACTCCGGGTGTCCGGACGGGCGGTCGGAATTTGTCCTACTGATTTCTGTAATGTGTCGAAGTGGTTTAACCGCATGTCGAGTGAGAGACTGGCCATGGATGAGTAGGAGGGATGCGACAAGACGAAGTGAAGATGAAGATGCTGTGAGAGGAGGAGGACGAGGAGGAGGAGGAGGAGGACGAGGAGGAGGAGGAGGAGGAGGACGAGGAGAAGAAATAGAAGCAAAGAATGGAAAAGGTCCATCGATTGACTGGTTGCTGATGGAGAAATCATGAGACATGAACCCTAAAGGAAGGGAGTTGGGCCGAGCACGATTGGGTGAATCGGAGACAAGTAGATTACGCAGGAGCCTCTTCGCCACCTCAGCTACTACTCATGCCGAGGCACTGAAAGCGACAGCACAGGCCTTTGGCAAGCAATGTGCCGTCAGGTACAAGTTCTTGATCTGAAATAGGCCCAACATGTCTGCCCAGGAGTATTTGCACATTCACATCCAGTGAACGTGGAGGAAATCAAGTATGCTCGCTCCTTGTCTAGCAGGCAAGATATCATCTAGCTACAGGTGGCGGTCATAGAAGACAGCGGAGATGCTTTTGAGACGAGAGAAATGGTGAGGATCGCAGAGACATGCGGCGAGGGGTTCGTGGTCTTCGTGAAGCCAAACAGACGACGAGTCGATCCATCAACCAAGAGCTTCAAGATATGGTGAAGAAGTGAGTTGCCTCCCAATGAGCTCTCACTTGCCTTGCAAGCTTGCTCACGCCAGGTGGAGGATGCCATCGAACGATGCTGGAGAGTATGGCAATCGCGAGCTTGTTCGACCTGGTTGATCGCCGGCCTCCGGACCTGCCTCTTCTGACGGTCTGCAGCAAGACGACTATGTTGCGATGCACTCACAGGCCTGCAGGAGGGATCAAAGGTTCGGATCAGAGCTGAAAGCATCGTGGAACAAGTCTGGCAAGTTGAAGTTTCAACAGAGATTGACGACCTGGGGTGTTTCTGGATAGAGGTGGGTCGAAGAAGTCCATGCAAGCTCGATCTGATCACTGGTTTCACTTAGGCTCCATGCCCACGGATAATCTCACAAGCTCCTGAGATGGAAGTCTGCGAAGCTTTGAACGTGAACATGCTGGCCATTCAAACAGACTTGCCCATACAAGTATGGCAAGCCAGTTGATCTTAAACCTAATCTTGCCACAGGTGGTAGAGTGTGCAGCGAGACATCTTCTTGTGCCAGGTACAAGTGACACTAGGCTTGTATTCGAAGCTGATTTGCCCTCGTATTATCTCCTTTGCAACAGTGAGATCACGACGAGTCATTGGTGACTTGGATCCTCACTGGGAGCTCATCTGTGAAGGTCTGCTGATCGTATCGTTGTGCTTGAAACTTGAATTGATATTGCACAGTCTGCAAACTGCTGCATTGTGAGGATTTTCACGTATTTTCTTTGGATCCTTCTGCCGGCGGACATGTACATACCAGGAATTTCAACCCCATGCATCGAATGGAAGAAGAAGCTGCGAGTGCTTCAGCAAACGCTGCAGTAAGTTCCTGTAATCATCAAACTACCTAGATGACTCAAGTACAGCTCGTCGCATACCTCCACGTGAACCGCATCTTACCCATCGAGAGCAATGTGCCTGACCCTCTCTTTCATCATTATCGACTAACTATTCTGCAGGAGCGCATCATGTGCGAACAAGGATACTCTTGTGGCCTCCGATCGAAGCCCAGCAAAGTTTTTGTGAAGGTGATTTGAATCCTTGAGAGCACCCCTTGACCACATCAATTTTCAATCCTTCAGCTCCAGCTTGAAGCAGGAAAATCCTCTTCGCTCATTGGAGTGGATGCGCCAGGTGTCACCCAGCAGAACAGCATGTCCGGAGATGCCACTGGTAGGCGGTGCGAAGTCTCTTCGCAGTTGATGGGTTGAGGCAGGCGAGGCGGTCACTAAGGAGCGGCAAATGATGAAAGGATCGCGCTACATCAGCAATCAAATGGACGAGACGCGCTTCAATTTGCCAGACGACTATTATCAAGAGCAGGTGTTCTGACCTTGCTCCGGCCTGATTTGACGCGCCCACAAAGGCTCGACGAGCCATCGAGCTTCAGATTAAGATAGAAGCAGCGAAGCGAGCGGGGAAGGTGGCGTTGGAGCTCGATCGTTGGCATCTGAGAGCTTGCAGGTGTACAAGGAAGAAGACAAAGAGCCAACCGCACCTGCAATGCTGCCTCCCCCGCTTGCATTGCCTGCACCGATCTCGGTCGCGTTCATGTGACGTCTTTGTTGTCTTACTGAAAATTTGTGCAGTCATGCTGGATAGGAGGGACTTGTGTGAAATTTCAGCGGCAGGAGTACAAAGTGAAATACTGACAGGAGAATGGTGGACCTAAATTAGTTTTTACATGATCAATCAAGACGATTATTCCTGCCTGTCAAACGCTCCCTTTGGAGCGAGAGCTTTGAAGGTGGTAACGAGGAGATGTGCTTCTTGAGCTTGGGGGTGGGGCAAGAACCAAATGCCTGTGCAGGAAAGTCAGCAAAATGGCACGTTCGATGCAGCACAATCTACCTCTGCATGACCTCCCTGCACTTTTTTGAGTGAATCCCAAGGACGATCGACTGCCCAGGACTTCCTCTCATCAGCGCCTTAGCTTGATCGAGCGAGATGCCATGGAGAGGGACGTTTCCGACCGATACAAGAACGTCTCCTGCTTCACACGCTCCCTGCCTCTGTGCTCAACGTCAGAGGAAGAAACATCTGTAACAGAACCACGAACCTCCGCTACTCCGTTAGGATGGAGAGCACGAATTCTGAAAGTTCCTCGAGGATAACTCGCTCCATTCATGTCAAAAGAAGCAGAGACAATCTCAAGTTCTATCCCAGCATCGATGGAATCCTGACGATCCAATCTCTCGACAGGAAGCACTGGATGTAGAGGAGGGCGGGAAGCTTGTTGGTATGTTGGCTGAGATTGTTCCAAATCTTCTTCATTGGAGATCGATCTATACGAGTCTGATCGGGGACAAAGGAGGGATGGCATGAGTGGCAATAAGATGTAGGCAGCGTACATGGAGGAGAGCAAGGAGAGGAGGGAGGAGAGAATGATTGCCAGGTCTTTCGCTCCATTTTCTCCTCGTGGCTGGTCCCCTTGGCTACTCCTCAGCACCAATGAGGCTCCTCCCGCCATCCCCGCCAGCCAAAGAAATCCCAGGCCCCGCCATAGAGGCGGCATGGCCCAAAATAGCTTGTCAAACTATGTCGTTCTGCTCAGGACGGGTAGGGATGTCAGGGTGGGGTGGTAAGTCATATAACTTACTTTGGATGAGGGGGGTAATTGAAGGGAAGGTAGAATGGTTTGACACAGGAGGGGGTGGGTACATCCTCGCCGCCTATTTCCGTCGTCATGGTAAGCGCTGGAATGCGATGCGGCAAGGGAGCGAAGATTAGGAAAAGAGGGAAGAGGAGGAAGAAGTGGTGGAGAATGCTAGAAATCCAGAAGGAGACTTGTATGCGCCAGACACAAAACGAGGAGCGATCGAAACTTGAAAGATGAGCAAGGTGCAGAAAGTGGCGGAGCAACTTTTCTTGGGTGTGCGTCCCCATTCAGTCTGTGACGATCTTGTTTCTGGGCAGTCGCGCCATCTGACGGCGGATCAAGTTGATCATTTCCGCGAGGCGTTCAATCTCTTCGATACTGATGGAGGCGGGAGTATTGATATCGAGGAGCTTGGTTCATGTTTGCGATCCCTGGGACAGAATTTGTCAGAGAAGGAGCTGGCAGACATGATCGCCGAATTCGACAAGGTGTTTTTGCTGATCGATGAGTCTTCGTGTGTGAAAGCCATGCAGGACAATACCGGTGCCATCGGCTTCGAAGGATTCCTGGAAATGCTTGCTTCCCACACTGGCGACATGGAATTAGACAAGGAGTTGGTTGCAGGTTCTGAGAGGCATGGGTTGAGCCAGATTTGCAATTGACTATGTAGGCAGCATTTCATGAATTTGATGTTGCGGAGAGTGGCAAACTGGATAAGAAGACTTTCATGAAGATCATGACAGGTGTGAATTGCAACGCAAAGTGACACAAAGTCTGTTTTGAGGGAGCACGGGCAGGGTACGAGGAAGACGAGGCTCCAGTCGCAAACTGGTTGAACTTCGGCCTCTTCAAGTCGGTTACGGCACGAAAGATCTCAACAGAGGAAATAGATAGGTTCTTGGAGAGAGTGGCTGCGCTGGATCCGGTGACGAACGAGGTGTTTCACATACTGTGTTTGGGATTACATGTTTGTCTGTGACCTTGTGCAACAGGTGGACTATCATATTGTGGTGCAGAGACTTTCATGTGTTGAGTGAATGGCATGGTTGTTTGTGCTGACACGCAACAATGTACTACAATAGACTTCAATTCCTCTCCATTTGTTCCGGAAATTGGTTGACACTAGTTTCTTTACAAGCTTTTCTCACATAACTCAACCTAAACAGCCTTCCTCTAATGCTCCTTCCTGTCACGATGCCTGTGACGTTCCCGCAGCCACACATTGTTCTCCTTGCGTTCGTCTCCAGCATATTGGGTGGTCCATTTCGAGTCCACATCAGTCTTGTGGTCAGGCTTTAGACTCTCAAGGAACTGCAGAAGTGAGGAGGAGATGGTTTTTCCTCCACCGCCCTCAGCGGGTTGGTGGGGAGCAGGGTCGGTCCTCCTGTGAAGTGTGAGTTCCCTTTTCACATGTTGCAACCGACTCCATAGACGGAGAGAAGGCGGAACCACTCCATCCTCTGCAAAATCAACAAACAAGGTGACTGCTTGGTGAGGAGCTGGTAGAACCTTTCCATGCATTCGTTGCTGCGCCTCAAGCGCATTAGCAGTCTCTTCAAATTGGACGTAGCCGTACGACGCGCTTGAGTTGTGAGGTACAGGCATTGTAGCAGCCCATGAGATGTGACCGAATCTGTCAAAGAGACCCTGAAGGTCTTGACCCTGCATTGTTGAGGGCAACCCCTGGATAAAAAGAGTCTTTCCTGCGCTTCCAGTTGGAGATGAATGCGTGCTCAGCATCGACGGTACGAAGCTCTTGCTTTGCCGCGCCCTGGACAGGCACATCCGCCTAGGCTGACCAAAGTCTTGATACCTGCCGGAGGCAGCAAAGTTGCTCAGGACGTACAAGCAATCTGCTTCAGCACGACTGAAAACCGATCCAATTCGAAAGATCGAACATACAAAAAGAGCGCGGAGAAACACGCCCGTCCTACGAATGTGGCTGGACGGTGACATGCAACGTCCATGCTGATGTGGAGGACGCATGGGGCTCACCCTGCTCATCTGTGGACAGGAGGTGATAGGTGGGGAGCGTGCTTCTGAAGAAGCAGCGAAGCTCCATGCCGACTCCGCGGAACACGTCCTCTTTGACCCTCGTAGCATCCAGCTTCTTCTTGTCAAGATTGGCGTTTGGCAGGATCTGCTCCAAGACCTCAGGGACCAATGAGATGAAAACGCGATGCCGTTCCTGGTCTGATCTCAGTGCCGAGCAAGCAAACGAGAACCAGAAGATGCAGCGAGAAAAGAAACAGGTAAGGAAGGGAAGGATTTCAACCTCGTCGTACCACTTTGAGTGGACTTCAGGGACGTAAACAACAACCGGGAGTATTTCTGTTGGAAGACGGATGTGGAGACGTCTCCCCCTCGCTGACATGCAACACCCACCTACAAAGAGAATGAGCTGATGGCAGTTCACACGCTATCATGGCGCTGTATCTTCTGTTCTATCACTCCCCATTCACTCTTCCCCTTCTCCCGCCATGGCCCTCCAGCCCTCACAGCCTCGCGGCCCCACCATGGAAACGGTTTTAAAACGGTTTTAAACCGTGTAAATCCGTTTCATATCGTTGCGAGTACAATTTGTAGCTGTAACGGTTGAAGTTGCAGTTATGCACGGTGCAGGGCGCAGGAGGCGAAGATGCGTCGAGGGAGGCAGGGAAGGAGAAGCAATGCAGCGATGAAAATCCCAGAGAAGACGAAATGAAGAGAGCAGCTGACAGGAGTACTGGAAGGTCGAGATCAAACGATGTGCATCTGAGCTAGGCAATCAGTTCAGCATGCCGAACCTCTCGACATTTGGGGTTGCCCTCTGGCCGAGTCTTCCGACTCCAGAAGTTACAGCTGTGGCTCTATGCAGGCAGTGTGTCTCGCTTGCTAGTGGCAATGCTGATGGAAGCATATGGCTTTGGAGAGCGCCGCCCTCTTGCCACCCTTTGCCCGTGAAGAACAATTCTATTTGGAGATGTAAATCGAATTATTGCCTGATTCGCATTCTTGACTACATTTTGCAGTATTCCCTGTGGATGAGGAAGAAGAAGGTTCCAATCAAAAGCTCCTTCCGTTCGCTGTCCTCATGGGCCAACACCGCAAGCCCATCACAGCCATGGTGAGCGCTTACGAGGGGAAGGATCACGTCCTGTGCAGCGCCGATCGGGAAGCGTGTCTCAGCGTGTGGAAGCTGGAGGATGGTGTTTGCTTACGTACCAGCAATGAGTGCTTGTCCTGGGTGCCCCAGAGTATGAAGACAGTCTCCTGTAAGGGTAAGACGCTAATAGCAGCTTGTGGCCCGAGCCCCGACATTGAAGTTTACGACGTTGTCCAAATGAAGCGAATAGTCAGGCTTTTCGGTCATGGAGACTGGGTATGCGACATCTGCACGAGGAACTCAGACCTCATGGCGGAGCAGCTCGTTCAAAGCCCTTCGGAGCCCAGCCTGTACTCGTTGGACAGGGGAGGTACAGTCTGTGTGTGGCTGGCAGATCGGAGCTGCTCGACCAACGTGGTGGGATGGATTCCTTCAGTTCAAGTTCATCGGACACCTGTGTCTTTGCCTTCTTCTCTCGCTGTTGACTCTCTCTGCTCCTCTCTGATAGTGGTCGGAGCTTCGACCTGTGCAAGATACATGTTGGGGAAGGACCATCGCTTTGCCGAGAAGAATGCGAAACCGACTGTCGTTCAATTAGATCTTTCAGGTGCTACGGAGAGCTCAACTCGGCAGGTTGTTTATGCTCAATCTATCTCGAAGTGTGCTGAAGCTTTCTTCCTGCAGAACGAGTTCCTTTCGGAGATGATGAACCGACAGAAAATGCGAGGGTGGTTTGATTCCCGGGTGGCCTTGTCTCCACGAGGAGATCGAGCCGTCATCTGGAAGCCTGGAGTTGGTTTCACGCTCGTCAGGTTTTCTGATCATGTTCCTTCGGAGTCGGAGGTCTCGCTGAGCAGTGTTTCTGTTCCTCTACGAGAGCAAGCCTTCTACGATGTCTCGGCCTTCGGGGCTGATGATGGCGGGTGGATGTGTCTTGCTAAATTCGATTCTTCGGGAAAGAGCGAGCTTCTTGTCCTCAGCCCAGACGAGTCGAAGTTTGCTCCTCCACCACCAGCCACGATGTCTCTTGCTGCCGCCCTAAGGCAGCGCCATGCTAACGCTCAGGCAGAGGGTGACAACAATAACGCAGAGCAGGGGAATGAAGATTCTGTCCTAGTGCCTGAGGTTCAGCCGAAGCAAGAGGACGGAGAAGGTAAAAATGGATGCGTCGCAGAGGGATGGGAAGAGATGTTCCGAGGGGTGCTCTCCTCTGCTTTCTATGAACCTCGGGGAGCATCAGGAGACTGCACTTGCTCGCTGTTCCACGTTGAGGGAGCGAGAAACTTGCACAGCCTGACGCACGACACCGAGCCACCATGGTTCGATCCTCGAGGGCGACGAACTGTCAGACCCAACAGGCCGCGGAATCGCATGCACAAGACAGAGATGTTCTGGGCTCTCGGCTACACGCGAGGAGATATCCTCATCTTCAACGTGCCCACTGGCTCAGTCGCTCACTCTCTATGCGGCCACAAGGCTGCTGTCCTGTCCATGATGTGGATCTCTGGAGAGAGTCTGCTGGTGTCGGGGTCGCAGGACGGCTGCGTCATGCTCTGGGACCTGGACAAGGGCGTCTTGAAGGGCTCTCTGCAGCAGCATGTGGGCCCGGTCACCAGGATTGTTGAGCTCGGAACAGGAGCCGACTCGTATCTCCGACACGCGTTCACCTTCTGTACTCTCTCTCTCGACCACACGGTAGGGATCATCGCGCCTCCTGCCGAGCTTCCTGCCGACCAGGTCGAGAAATCGAAATCTCCGAGCTCGTGCAAGCTCCTCTTCCGCCTCATCGGACATTCTTCCCCCGTGGTAGACGTGCGCTGGGCTCCGCGTCACAGCTACCTCTACGCTGTCTGCGAGGAAGGCGACATGCTTGTGTGGGAGATGCAGGCAGGGAGTGCGCGATGTATCAGGAGAGTCTCCTCCCTCGAGGTCCCCACGATGCTGAACGCTCTCGCGCGGCCGAGCAGGGGAAGTCCGATCATCCACGACGACATGGACAAGAGCTCCAAGTCCAGCCAAGAAGCAGAGAAGAAGGCGGGGGAGGTGAAGAAGCCGGATGCTCAGCAGGAGTCTTGGCTGGAGGACCATGACCAGGTCCACTTCGTGGCTCCGATAGAGGCAAGGAGCCTTCAGCTGCATCACGCCGGGGCGACAGGAAGAGACTCAGTCGACTTCCTCGGAGTCTTGCTGCTCCGCTGCGACGCCATCGCGCTGTCGCTCCAGCAGCTGCAGGAGAGCGGGAGCGAGCGGAGAAAAGAGGTCAGCGACAGTCCGGCTGGGGTGATGAGGAGATCGATCTCCGAGAACTCCTTCGACGTTGAGGAGACTTCAGTGAGGTCTCCGTCACTCAGCAGCAAGGCAGGGAGGGCTGGCCAGCTGCAGGAGGATCGGGAGCTCGAGCAGCAGGGCAGAACTTCTGTTCCCTCTCCTGTGTCCTCTGAGGCCTCCTCGAGCCAGCGCTCGGACGCCAGCACTCCTCGCAAGATGGTATGGGAGCTGATGGGTTCAGATCACTCCCTCCTCGCCTCCGCCACAGCCATTGCCATGACCAACTTCACACCTTCGTCAGTAGCTCCGCACCGCGAAATCCTTTCCTCCTCCTCCTCCTCCTCCTCCTCTTGGAGTCAGAGGAGCAACAGCTCGCTCTCCTGTCGCGTCAGCGGAGCGCTGCGCTCCCTTGGCTTTCCTTCCATGATGGAAGAGATTGCCGAAGCCTCTTCCCCTCAGCATGCACAGAGGCCAGCAGGTTCACAGCCTCCTCCGAGCCTGCAGTGCTCGTACGTCATGGTAGGGGCGGGTCAGAGCGTCACCTGTTACTCTCCTCGCCTCTCCTCCGACTGTTTGATCTGTGGCGTCTCTCCACAAGTGAGCGAAACGGCGACCATGAGCGCTGCTGTCCTTATCGACGCCTGCCGCTCCAACTCCCAGCAGAGCGGAGCAGGAGGAGTGGAGATCTTTTCTGCGCTCCTGCATTTCCTAGCAAAGGTCACCTCCTCCCCCTACCTCTCCCCCTCTTCCTTCTCCTCCTCCTCCCCCCCCTCTCCCCCTCTTCCTTCTCCTCCTCCTCCCCCCCCTCTCCCCCTCTTCCTTCTCCTCCTCCTCCCCCCCCCTCTTCATTCTCCTCCTCCTCAACTTCCCCCTCCTCCTCAACCTCTCAGATCTGAACGTCATTGTACAGGAAATGGCTCCTCGTCTGCAGAGATTCATCGAGCCGGACGTGATCGCTCTTGCACACTACTGGCTGTCTGCATCAGAACCTGCAAGACAGGTTCGAAGTCTTCATCCTCGGCTCCTCTCCTCCCGCTCTCAGCATTTCTCCTCCAACTTTCTCCTCGTCCTCTCCCCTTGCTCATCTCCTTGCAGGCTGCTCACGCACTTTTAAACGCTCGGCTATCTCGCACAGACGCGTCAACCCGGCAGGTCAGAAGGAGGAGGAGGAGGAGGAGGCTGGAGGGAGGGGGGTTGTTTGATTTGGAGGAGGGGGGGATGGGAGGGGGGGAGGAGAAGTTTTCTTTGGAGGGTCTAAACTAGAGCAGGCGATAGTCAGAGAGTGGACCTCGAAACTTCCTCCTCCCTCGTCCAACGAGTCGCTGCGACCTGAGATTGGAATCGCCCGGAGTGCCAAACTCCCGTCGTCTCCAGGGGGAGTCCAGCAGCTGGGCTTTAGGTGGATTCCTGTCCTTGCCCGCCCCCTTTCCTTGCTTCCTCCTCCCTCTCCTCCCTCTCTTTGACGTATTTGCCCAGCCCCAGCGATGGCCCCGCGATCGTGGTGCTGGCAGTGATCGGAGCTCACTTCCAGGTGGAGGAGGAGCTAAGCTCAAGCTGGGGGTTTGACGAGCCGTGCAGGAGAGTCTTGACGACACAACAGCCGCAAGAGTGACAGACGGGCTGATCCGCGCCCTCTCCTCCTCGAACCTCCTGCACGCCAAGGTGAGAGGAGGGCAGGCCTTGTCTTGCTCCCTTGCCTCACTTCCTCTCAGGTCGCATCTCATCTCTTAGCTCGAGGAGCGCAGCTCTGGTGCAGGTACTGATCGAGATGCTCTTCCTCGCCCTCAGCCTCTTCAGCTCGTTTGCCTTTCCGTCAACTTTTCTCTCTTATCCGAGTCCTCTCCTCTCCCCCCCTCGTCTCGCCTCTCCTCCTCTTTCCTCCTCTTTCCTCCCCTCCTCCTTTTGTGTTACTCTCTTTATGGTTAACGTCTCTGTCCATGCTCGCATCCACTTTCAAACTCCCTTCCTTCTCACCCTCGTTCCCTCCACCTCGTTTCCTTCTCCCTTCTCCCCCCACACTCATTTCTTTCTGCAGGCATATTCGAGACGGAGAGAGTCTTCTGCGGATCTTGTATGCTCGGTAAGGAGGAGGAGGAGGAGGAGGAGGAGGAAGAGGAGGAGGAGTGCGAGAAGACTCATTCCCTTCAGGTATTGGAAGCATCAAGACTTCAAGATCAGTCTAGCCGATGCTGAGCTGGCTCTCCGGTCCCTTGCTCCTGTCCTCCCAGGCACGATACATCTTCTTTGCCATTTCCCCCTCTTTGCGTTCTGTTGATCGCCTTCCTGTCACTCTGCCCGTTTCTGCCTCCTCCTTTTCAACCTCGCTCGCCCCTCCTCACTAGTTCCTCCTTGTGATCGTTTTCCAGTGGAGTTCGTCGGCATCATCGGAGAGGAGGCAAGTCGACACTCCCAGCTGGTCTGCCACGTCAGGAGCGAGAGGAGCGTCACAGGTAGGAGGGAGGGAGGGAGGAGGGGAAGCAAGTTCACCGTCAGCCGCAGCCATCCGCGTCCTCGTCGCCATGATCAAACGACACCCCATCCCCATGCTCCCCGCCCTGCCAAGAGCTGTTGAGGTGAGCGATACTAAGAGGAGAGTAGGGGGTAGGAGAAACAGGAGCGAGGAGAGGATGGAGAAACGAATGAAGAAGGGAGGGAGTGCAGGAGAGATACACGAAGAAGGAGAGTTAGCTGAAGGCCTGCAGGTCATCTTGAGTACCCTCGATCCAGCTCATCCTCTCGTGCGTCAAGCGCTCATGCAGCAGGTTGTTATCCTCCTCCTCCTCCTCCTCCTCCTCCTCCTCCTCCTCCTCCTCCTCCTCCTCCTGCCTCTCCTCGTCTCTCATCATTACGATAGTCAACCTCGGCACTCAAGGAGATCGTACGAAGATTCCCCCAAGCCGCTTTTCATCAGGTAACGCCCGGAAACAAACAGGGAGGGAGGCAGGCAGGGAGAGGGAGGCAGGGAGGCAGGGAGGGAGGCAGTGTTCAGAGGGTTCAGAGGGTGGGTGGGTAAAACGAGAGGCACAGGAGACGCAGAGGTTCGCAGTCGGGACTGTAGATGCTCTGGTCGTGATCTTTGACGTTCGGACGGCGACAAAGTGGAGGGTTCTTGAGGTAACAGCTCCTCCTCCACCACCACTCCGTTCTCATCCTCCTCCTCCTCCTCCTCCTCTCCCTCCTCCTTCTCTCCCTCGTCCTCCTCTCCCTCCCTGCCGACCTCGTCATATCAAGTGGCATGTTCGTCCTCTCTGATGCATGGTAGGGTCATGATGGTCCCGTCAGCGCCGTCGCTTTCGATGCGGCTGGTCAGCGGCTGGCGACTTTCAGGTTTCTGCCTTCCATTGCTCCGACTCTCTCAATATGAATCCGCAGCCTCCAAGAGGGAAGGATCCGCTACTGGGAGGTACGGGACGAGGAGGAGGACGAGGACGAGGACGAGGACGAGGAGGAGTGGGAAGGGGGAGGGGGGCAAGGTTGATGGGAGGAAGATCTGGTTGCTAACGAGCAGCGAGCAGACAGGAAACTCGGGTCCCTTCGGTCTCTTCTCAAACAAAGTTAGCAGATGCGTCCAGCAGTTCAACGTGCCCCCGGTGAGAAGAGGGAGGAGGGGAAGGAGAAAGGGAGCAGGCCTTGTGACAGATCTACAGGTCTTTACGCAAGAATCTTCGGAGAAGGGGGAGGTTCTCACCATGGCCTTCCGCGTCCTCTTCACTCCTAATGCAATCGTGAGCATGAGAAGGGGAGTGACCGGGGCAGGTGCTGACGAAACAGCAGGTCCTTACAAGAGACTCGGTTCCCCTCTGCGAGTTTTCCATCAGCAAGTGAAAGTTTCTCCTTTGAGCGGCTCGAGACAACAGATGGGCATTTGCTATTTACAACCTTAGGAAGAAACCTCCCTGAGCTCCCACCCTCCCTTCCCATCCAGCACCAGCGTCCGCTCGTGGAAGCGCATGACTGTCGGCCGATGTGCGATGCTGACGAAAGTGATTCCATGGTCGATGAGCATCTTGTAGATCAGCTCCTCCGTATCCGTGCTGCATGAGTCGTCATATCATCTTCGACACGTCTTCATCTTCTGTCTCCTCATCATCCTCCTCCTCCCCGTCTTCCTCCTCCTCCTCCAACACAAGCTCTCTCTCCCCTCGTCCTCTTCTCTTAGAGCTACTCCTCCTCCTCCTCCTCACCATCACATTTCACTTCTTCCTCCTATCCTTCTCCTTCCTCTAAACCTCTAGAACAGCAGTACCTGAGAGCTGAGGTGCACTCGTCGAGGATGGCGAGGACGGGTTTGTGGTAGAGGAGGCGGATGATGCTGAGCCGCTGCTGCTCGCCGAGAGAGAGCTACAGAGCTTTCAGAAGAGAGGGAGAGGAGAGAGAAGAGAGAAGAGAGGCAGGAAGAGGAGAGCATACCAGGTCATGCCACTGCTGGATCGTATTCCATCCATCCGCGCGAGTTACAAGATGTCCCAAATCAAGTGCATCCATCCAGCTCATTACCTGCCCCTTCGTCAGCCTTCTCATCATCGTCACCCCCCTTGTACCCCTCCCTCCGCCTTCTCCTCTTCCTCCTTCTTATATCCTCCTCTTCCTCCTGTTTCTCCTCTGCCTGCACGAACCTGTCCGGCTCCTTCATCTTCCCATGACAGCTCAGGGGTGTACGGGTCGTCCCGAGGGTAAGTGATCTGAGCGCTTCTCAGCTCTCTCCCGCCCGAGCGCTCAACACAGACTCACCTGGCGCTGGAGGGACCCCGCAAACACGTAGGGCCGTTGAGGCAGGAACATGACCCCTCCCGTGCCCAGGGGGAGAAGCGAGATAACCCTCCCCTGCTCGCGCTTGAGGTGCCACAACCCCCGAATGTACCTGAGCAGCGACGTCTTTCCGCAACCGCTGGGCCCCTGGATCACCAGGTTCCGCCCCTCCTCCACCACAAGGTCCAGGTTAGAGACGATGAGGCGACCATGCGGCAGGCGGCAGGTCAAGCTCTCAAGCCGGAGCAGCTCGTTCTTGGAGGCCTTGCTATGAGCGGGGGGAGGCGCTTCCCCGAAGAGATGCTGACCGCTCCGCTCGTTCTCTGCCTCCATGACGTCCATGAACTCCAACATCTGCCCAACACGGGAAGCATTTCCTGCCAAGTTGGAAGCTAGAGGAGCAGCATTGACCAGGGCGGTGAAGGATCCAGTGAGGCCTCCGATGACGCTCGTCAGCTGCGTGATCGACTCTGCGAGGTCTGCAGCTGAATACTTCTCGTATTGCGGCTGAGTGAAGATTGAGATCGCAGCGATGCAATAGCCGAGCATGGCGTTTCCATTGCCGATGAAGCCGGTGAACAAGTTGAGGTAGGACTGCTTGAAAATCTGAGCTGTCTGGTTCTTCAGAGCCTTCCTGAAATCCTCGCTCAATGCAAATTTCGTCTCCTCCTCTCCCGCAGTGAAGGCGATCGCCTCGGCTCCTGTTCGCACCCGAGCATGATGGAACCTGTAGTTTCCCTCCAGCTTGTCCTGATTGTAGGTGAGAGCAACGATGGGGCTCATGAGCAGCTTGTTGATGACAGCAGTGACAGCGTAGTAGAAGTAGACCATCAACGTCCCGTGCCACCCGACAGCGTACGTGACGTAGCATGTGTAAACCGAGATCTGCAGCAGCGAGCTGACTATGATACAGAGCAGGGTGACTAGCCCGACTGTCACTTGCGCCGCGTCGTTCTGGATGCGCTGGTCGGGGTTGTCGACGAGGTTGGAGTGCTGGGTCATGTGGTAGTAGATCTGCTTGTTGGACAGGTAGCGATCTTGCAGGTACAGGGTCAACCTCCGACGCAGCCGAACTGAGATGTAGAGAGAAAGGAAGAAATTCAGGCCCCCCATGATGCAGTCCAGGGCGGCCACGGCCGCGGTGATGCAGGTCGTGTAGAGGAAGCCCGCCAGGTTCCTGCTGACAAGAGTCTTCATGGTCCAGCCGGGCAGGATGGCGAAGAGGAACTGAGTGATCATCGGCGGGAAGATCATGAACAGCAGGAGCCCGACCAGCGCCGCCTCCCCGCTCATGAGCGGGGGGAGAGCGATCGAGTAGATGCGCCGACATCTCTTGATGAATTGCATGTCGAAGCCATACTGCTTGTACTCAACCCCCAGCTCCTTCTCCATGGTGCTCTTTCCTCTCTTCGCCTTCTGCAGCACCGGTATGCGCTCTTCGCGCTGCGAGTCAAATGTTCCACCACTCATCCCTCTGACGTACATAAACTGAGCTTGCAGCTGTTCCTCGCGTCAGTAACTGATAGACCTAGAGATGAAATGTACAAGGCTAGTTTGATGGACACAACACGGCTGGAAGAACCAGATTCAAGGAGGCAAGACTTGTCAGGGGTATCAACGAAGAAACTGTATGCTGCTTGGACTGTTGGTCGTCTTACTTCTTATCTCGCTCTCTGCTTGTTGTTCTTGTTCACCTTATTCTCTTTCTTCTACCTCGCCTTCCTCCTCTTCTCTCCTCTCGCTCCTCCTGCTCCTCCCCTTCACTGGCGGAAAGGCGCTGCCAACATTTTTCGGTGACTCGACGAATCCCCACCTCGCTCAGGCTCGTCCTCCCTGCTTCTGCTTTATCTCCTTTACCTCACTTAGATAATCTCAGACCCTTGGAGATTGGGCCTCGACAATCGGTTCCTCCGATGCTAGATGAGGCGGGCCTGAATTTTCTATTTCTGGCAAATACTTGAGTAAACTTGCAATCCGAGGCGGGCCGCTCTCTAAGTTGGCAGGTGGCATTGACCGTTACAAATGGATCATTATCATAACGATTAGTCATTTTGAATGAGGCGTGCGAATGACAATGAAAGGGAAGGGAAGGGAAGGGAAGGGAAGGGAAGGGAAGGGAAGGGAAGGGAAGGGAAGGGAAGGGAAGGGAAGGGAAGGGAATGCTTCAACGATGAGCTCTATTCATTCTATCAAAGAAACTGACCGTACTTGATGGACTAGGTTTGAAGATCTCATAGATCGCTAAGGATTCAAGTTTCCTGCACACACTTGCTTTCGATGTCAACGAAGTCACATCAGCTCGATGTAAGTCATGATCGACAACGGTAGATGCTCTAGGATAGAAGACAGAGATGGATGAAGGAAGCTTGGTTGCCTGGCTCAACTCCTTGGATCTGAAATCAACTGTCCTTGTGAACAGCGTCCAAGATTTGCTTGACGGCTCCGTATGTTCTCACCTTTTGCTGCATGAATGGAAATTGAATAGCTTTCAGGTTCTAAGAGACGTCGCCGCTTTCGTGCTGAAGCATGATGGTGCTGATGCTCCTACAGACAGGACCTATCCAAGAGACGTGATCGTGATGGTTTGCGATGATCTCCATTCCTTCTTCTCAAAGGGAAATGCTTCTCCTTCATCTGAGAGAATCTGCACGGTCGTTCGCGCCATTGGTCGGTATGTGCTGGAGACGGAAGCGATGGCCCGAGCAGCTGACCAGAAGTTCCACTCGAGTCTCACTTGGATCTTTTGTCTCCTCCGCTTCCTCTACGGCGATGGTCCTTTCCCAGGATTTGACAACTTGAGCCTGAGCACGGGAAGACTGGAACAAGTCGTCGATGAGAGCAGTAGAACGAGCTTGAGCAGCTTTCAGCCTGATAGCCTCCTCTTTTCCATCAATCAGCCGAGGCTCGCTCCTGTACCGACACCCCCTCTTCGCATGCTCTTTTCCCCTCAGCCCAAAAATCCAAGGATAGAGCGTTCCTCCTTATCGTCTCACTCCCTTGCCGCTATGAAACCATCCCTTGGCAACCTCCACAAGTCTGTGGATCCCAGGCTGGTGACTGTTGCGAGGAGGGAGGAAAGGCTCGCGATTTCTCGCCGCCAACCTGCACCGGAGAAGCCATGGCGAGTGAGCAAGGAAAGCATCCCGCAGGCAAAGAAGGTCGTGAGATGGACGAGAACATTGGGGGTCGAGTTGGTGGATGGTGAAGAAGATTTTGAAGAGCATGCGATAGCTCGCTCTCTCCGTGATGGATGGAAACTTTGCTTGCTGGTCCGCGTCCTGTTCCCCAAAGTGTCCATGAAGGGAGTTCTCAAGAAGGCTGAGAAGCGAGCAAGCAGGCTGCACAACGTCGAGCAGGTGAAGTTGACAACATCCTCCTCCCTGTCCTCACCATCCTCATGAAGGCGCTTGAAGTGCTTCGAAGTCACTCGAGCATGAGGAGCAGGTGGTTGTGGTCCGGTAAGTCTGCTGTGTGTTGACAAGGAACCTCTGATCGGCTGCTTGTAGCGGAGAAGATAGTTGATGAGGATCCAGAGGCGGCTGAGGGTGAGGGGAGGGAGGATGGGATGAAGCAGAGGACCTGAGAAGCTCTGGCAGGTCTCCTTGGGGATATCTTCGACTCCTTCAACCCTAGACAGATTCCGGAGCGCGATGAAGAAACATTCACCTCCGGTCCGCGCAGACCACACGACAGAGAGAGGGAGGCGAAGGAGGAGCAGGTAGACGAGATCGAACAAGTCGAAGAGATGGGGTGAGAGCATCAGTCGCCCTTTGAAGTTTCTCATCAGCCATGCAGCAGGAAACTCTCGAAGTCAGAGAGCGTGCGGTTGGTGCAGTGGCTCAGAGACATGAAGATCGATGCTACAAGCATCGTCCGTCATGCTCCTTGCGTTGTAGACCAGGATCTGCTGACGAGCGTCTCCTCCTCCTCTATCTTCGAGGACCCCGTGAGAAACGGCTTTCTCCTGTGGAGTGTTTGCGATGCTCTGGAGCCGGAAGGATCGAGGAGGAAATTCGACAAGCCCAGGAGCTTGCAGCAGGCGCGAGAAAATCTTCTCAGTAGGTCTCTTTCTTGCTGGTTGTGGTCCTGATCTCTTGTAGAATCGTTAGATACTCTGTTCGATCGAGGAAGGGGAAGGTGGAAGGATGCGGTAGAGAAGATCCTCGAGGGAGAGACGCAGGCAAGTTTGTCTCTCCCTCTCCTTTTCCCTCACCCTGTCGTAGGTGTTGCTGCGGATCCTGTGGACCTTTGCGAAGTCTCGGAACTTTGAGACGAGGAGGAGGGGAGCAAAGGAGCAGATCCGATCAGAGCAAGAGAGGGTCAGCGCAGCCTGGAGCCTTCCCTACAGTCTCAAGAATAGCGCGATGCTCGAGATGGTTGTCGCATCACTTGCTCCTCCTGTTCTCAATCCTCCCACTTGCTCCTCTCTTCCTCCTCGCCTTGCTTCATCTTGTGCATTACATCTTGTGCGTTACATCTGCCGCAGGCTCTCATGGCTTGGCTCCAGCGGTTGTGCCTGAGCTCGAGTGTGCATGATCAGATTGTGAGGGAGCGGGAGGGGAAGGGGGAGGGAGAGGAGGAGCAGGCGACCTGACTGCCATCTCTCCCACAGGCCAGCAGCATCACGCAAGCAGCTGAGTCGGGGGACCTGTCGATCGACATGCTGCTTCCCTCCATCAAGACTGGCGTCCTCCTTGCTGAGATCGGCAAGACTTGAACCTTGACGCAAACCTGCCATGACGCTCCTGCAGTGACTGCTGCAACGGGGCGGAATCTCCTCCCTCTGATCTGCCGGCAGGTCAAGACTGAGAAGGTGAAAGGCTGAGAGACTGTGCGTTCCGTTCACCTCCCTTAGGTTGCGAGCAACAACTTGACCCGCGTGCTCGAGAGCCTTCTGAGCATCCAACAAGTCTCGCACGTGCACTGCCGCCTTGATCTTGTCCCCAGGATCCTTCGAGGAGAGCGCGATGTCGTTCTTGGTATCACTCCTCCTCCTCCTCCTCCTCTCTTGTACTACTTCTACCAATGCTGTTCTTCCTGCTCTCCCTCCAGTTTCTACTCAGATCTCTGCAGGATTGCTCGAAGATCTGATGCGATGCCATGAAGGGATCAAACCCGACAAGTGGGAGGAGCCGCTGGCTTTCGGCCTTGCGCTGACCCTTGAGCAGGAGGTTCTACGGTGAAGGAGGAGAGATTCTTCCTTATCTTGGGCGGGAGGGGCATCAAGCTCTGCAAGCATGCAAGGGAAAGGAGAAGGAGAAGGAGACGAGGGGGGAGCGACGAGAAGGAGAGGCTAAGCAAGAGAATCAGCAAGAAGAAATCTCGACTGAGGAGTCTAAAGGAGGAGGGAAGAGAAAACTTGGACCGGAGGTGAGAAGATCGAAGACGCTTCTCCTCCTCTTACGTCCTGCAGTTGATCGATCGGAAAGAGCCTGTCAGTCGAGCTCCGAGGGAACCAGCAGTCAGCTCGCTTCCCGGGCCAGAGGAGGAGGAACAGGGCCCTGCCATGTCAATATCTACTGACTTGACCCGCCACACGTGTCTGAAATCTTATCTACCAGTTCAGAGAAGCAGGAGAAGACTATCCGAGCACTGTCACGATGGATATCAAGCCTTCCTGTGAGCTTACATGTGCCCACCTCACATCTCAAACTTGTTGTAGTTGAAGCACTGGAAACGAGAAATGCTTCGCAGTCATGACTTGCGACTAAACGAGATCATGGTAAGTGTCACTCCTCCTCTCCTCCTCTCCTCCTCTCCTTCTTGCTTCGCTGCCATGGCCCCTCGTCCTCAGTTCAGTCGCGTTTTTTTGTTCCTCACGCTAGACAGGCTGATGGCGTGCTGCTGTGCGACCTCGTCGCTTTCCTCGAGAACCTCAAGCACGATCTTCCAGGCCTCTCTCGTCTCCCCAAGTCAGCTGCGAGCAAGCGGCACAACGTTGGGAAGGTTTGTGAGACTTGAGGGAGGAGCAGGAGCAGGAGCAGGAGCAGGAGATGGTTGTGGTGGTGGAGGAGGAGCTGACTAGCAGCAGGCGCTGGCGAAGCTTCGGGAGAAGAGCTCGATGCCCTGCACTTACTTGTACAGTGAGGTGAGGATCACCTGCGAGAGCCCCCGTGACTTGAGAGCTCAGGATCGGATCCTTGAGGGAGACCTCGACGTCTGCCTTGGACTCCTTCTGGACATGCATCGAGCCTACCAGCGACGAACGCTGCAGCTCTGATAGACACTGCCATGGCGAGGAGAGTCGCATATGGGGATAAGAACTTAAGAGCGGTTGTTTCCCATCTCTGTAACATGTGTATGTTCATAATTCAAGTAAATTCTCTTTCAATCTATTAGGGGGCAAGCTGTGTTCTACGTTTATTTGCATCACATCAAGTTTGAGTTTCATCGAGTAGCTGATCGCTCATACAGGCAGTTTGCACCAGCACATCTTCATTCGTACCATCAGCAAGTAGATGTACACTCAACCAGTCAGGTCAATTCGAAGGAAAGCACGTTGAAGTCACTCAGTCTAGAGGCCGCACATATCATCTCTTGCAATCCATACCTCCCAGCATTCACAATCTCTGCCCCTCCCCCCCTCCTCCTCCCCTCCCCTCCTCCCCCGCTCCCCCTCCTCCCTCGCTCCCCCTCCTCCCTCGCTCCCTCACGCCTTCCCCCACCCGATTTCGTTCCTGGTAAAGTTGATAAAGTGCAGCAACCGGACCTCCTCCGGGCTGTCCTATCTATAGTGAGGAGACAGACGGGAGGGGAGATGGGGAGAGAGGAGGCGAGGGGTAGGTTCAGCAAGAGCAACAGGCAGTAGAGGTGAGGGAGAGGAGAGCAGGGAGGAGGGAGAGGAGAGGCAGAGAGCAAGGGGGTAGAGCAGGGGAGGAGACTGGTTGTCTCTGTCGGGTACCATGGAAGGAGCACTGCGAGCATGGTACGATATTCCGACGAACCAGTGGAGGAGCTGTGAGACCAATATCGTGGTGGAGGATCAAGTAGAAGAGCAGGAGCAGCGACATCCAAGGTATGTGGTGCGAGACGAGGGTACGGAAGAGGAATGGATCTTCGGAGAGAGGAAGGTGATGAGAGTTCTGTTGAGCGCCTCTGAGGAGGAAGAGGAGGACGCTTTCGACTCGATCAAGGCCAATGAGATCGCAAGACATTGCGCGGCAGCCTTCTCCTCTCGCCCGAGCTTCTCTTCCTGCTTCCAGCCATTTCGGTTCGTGCTGCGATACGCTCTGATCCTCACAAGCCGCCCCGACGCTCCTCTTGCTGTGGTCCGATACTCCATGTGGCTGCTCCGTGTGTGACTGCAGGACAGGTGGAGACTGCTGTCCCTTCCTACCTCAGGCTGCAGGTAGAGGACAAGAAGGCAGGAGTAGACGCGTCCACTGCTTTCTCGCTGTTCACGTTGAGATTCACACGAGGGAGGCTCCTGCTGTATCGCCCGAGGGTTGTGTTCCCTGGAGTCTGGAAGAAACCTGCTCTTGCTTCTAGGAAGAAGATAGGAGGACGAGCGGTGAAGAGCGATGAGGCGTATGGCAAGGAAGGAGTGTTGACTTGCCGCAGGATCGGGGCGAGGAGGGCATGCTCTCGTTCCTGTGGAGCTTGGAGCCCAACAAGTCTGGCGTCAGCCCGTCTCCGAGCAAGCAGAACAGCACAGAAGAACGCTTGCTCGCATTGCTGAGCGCTGGCGCAAATGCCCAGGACAAGGAAGAGCTACATGCTCTTGTGCTGAAGGACGTTCAGCCCTTTGTGCTCGAGCTCAACGCCACGACACCAGTCAGGAGCAAGAGGTACGCTGCATGCAGCTACTGCGCGATGAGATGATGGGAAGTTGCAGCAACAGACTTGTGTTCTCTTGGCTGTTGCGGGTTGAAGACATCTCTGGAGGTAGCTGAGGAGGTTGATGAGGCTTCTGTCATCATGTGTTGCAGATCTTGACATGTGGGGGAGAAAAGCTTTCTCGCTCCAGCAAGTCTCATCGCGGCTTGACGACTGTCCCACTGAGTCTGCCTTCCGCAGTGAGTATCGTTTCGAGCCTGACAGTTTCCACACCTCCCAAGTACGCGTCAAGCTGCTGAGCCCAACATCGCCTGTCGAGAGCTCCTTCCACTTCCTCCTCGATCTCTCCAAGGACGAAATCTTTGTTCTGTGGGCGGTTGCGAGCGGACAGTGCGAATTTGGCATGTCATGTACAGCAAGAAATCACTTCTTTGGTGAAGCACTGGCGGAGAGGTTCAACCAGATCCGATCATCAGAGACTAGCAAGGTCACGTTCAAGAGAAGATTCATCTTTCACATCATGAGCCAGCATGTTGAAACTTTTTTCACGGGCGAGTCGATTGTCCTCCACTCATACAAAGACGACATTCTGATACCAGAACAACCCTTGTACATGATATCCAGCCACGCGCACCAAGAAGACAGCTTTGAGCTTGCACAGCAGAGGCTTCTCTTCTCGCTGTTTCAACTTTATGTTTATTTCACGTCTCACAGGACGATCCTCGTAACTCGTGTCGCCCTGACCGAGGGACGATGGTCAGATCCTGTCTTTCACTTTGCTGTTGACACAGACAAACAAGAGTTTCAGGATCTCGAGGAGGTGAGGACGACTGCGATGTGATGAGTTGAGCTGTTTCTACCTGAACCCTCCCCGCAGGAGCTTTTGACCAGTTTTGACCCTATAGACATAGACCTCCTGAGCAAGTGCGACGGGCCATTGCACTTCAAACGGCAGATGGGATTGCTGATGGACAGTCTGATGCCTTCAGAACCAGAAAAGCACGAAAGAAACTTCAGGCACAAGGCGACAATAGCATGAACATGTATTCACAAATCAATCAAGTGTTTTTGGACCGATGAAAGAATTCACTTCGAGAAGGAAGCTATGATCCTCCAGTCTTCGGCTTTTTGACCTGTAGGCGATGTCAGCCACGACCATGACCAATCTGTCTTGCTCGACCTGCCGGAACGGCTCTCTGAAGGCTTCGAAGAGTCTTTGAATCTTCTTCTCTCCCACACCTTCACAATCCATCAACTCGTGCTCCGACACCGCGAGCAATCTCGACCGGGACAAAGGGCCAGCCGCTCTCGGGATGCAGTCATTATGTTGGCGAGAGAGCCAAGAGACGTCGATAGATTCGCTACGTCTGTCCGGTTCACTGATCGAACGTTGGTCAGCACGTCTGTCAGTCTTGACATGTAGTCCCCTTCTACTCTCTCCTGGATCGAGTCTGCCTGCTTGTGCTCATAAGTCTGGTAGGTCTCGAGATATCTGCATCGTCCGAGTCACATCGCAAGCGTGTGCCATGCTCTTACCTCGCAGACTCCTCGGGGCTCCAGGAGAGGATCAAGGTCCAGTTGTTGAGGATGGCTGCCTTGTGAATGTCTGTAAGCGTCTTCTGACTGTCCTCAGTGTCGATGTGGCAGATGAGAACCCTCAGCTTGAATCCCGTCTGAAGCTGTTCCATCCTGCTGTAGATGTACTTAGGTTTGAGGAGGTGAAATCGAACGCTCAGGAACAGCGCGCAAGTTTGAGACCCCATCTGATAGTCTGCTAGAATGTCCGCATGCTCCCACGGAACATTCCTGATGAACTTCAAGAGAGGATTTCCTGCCTGTCTCCTGCTCACGAGCACAGCTCGAGGATTGTGAGTCTTCACTTTTGCGTTCACACCGACAGACGGTTGACTCGGGGGCAACCCCGCTCGAGAGGTTGGAACTTGGATATGCGCAAAAGCTCGTTCAAAGTTTGTTCCAGCAGGGCGATGTTGAAACAAGCCGGGATTCTGCTGCCCATCATCGCTTGTCAGAGACATCTGAGTGCTCTGATTTACATAATCATCTTTCCATCCTATCTGGTCTGTTGGAAAGATTGCACCATTTGGATCTGCTGTCTGTTCTCGTGGGGGAGGATCAGGAGTATGGAATAAAGCTCTTGGATTATCTCCATTTCCAGAAGATTGAGGAGCTTCTGCTGATTCTTCCTTAGCAGCTGACTGCAGGTCCTGCTGGTCTTTGTCGCTTCCTGAAACCTGAGCACTCTGGGAAAGGAAAGAGAAATCTAGGGCGAAAGACATGGGACGAGAATAGTTGTTGTTCCGCCTAGAGCATGTTCATCATGGTTTGTGGGTAATCCTTCCAGTCGATTCTGTTTCTATCAGTCGTCATCTTCGTTCTTTATCCCTTCGCGCGCTCTTCCCCTCCCTGCCCCTCCCCTCTACCTCCTGCCATTTTTGCCATACATTCGCATTCGCTTGTTTCCACATTTTCAACATTTCAACATTTCAACATTTCAAAGTTTCAAAGTTTCAAAGTTTCTTCCTCGAGTCGGCCCGTCAGGTTGAGGCGTCTTTTGGGAGGACCCCCAACCCCTCGTCCGAGGTAGGTAAAAGGCGGGTAGTGGTACCACTGCGCGAAGAGTCGCGGCACCACTTGGGATGTAGTAGGGAGGAATCCGCGGCAGCATCGCATTTGATGCACTGCTCAGCACTACTGCTGCTCAGCACTGAGCATGACTCTCATTCACTGCTCAGCATGCAACTAGCTGTGATCGACAGAAAGACTTCACCTCAGACTAGGAACGTCTTAAGTGAGAGTAGAGGCTGAGATGCATGCATTTCAGTTTGACTTGTCAGACTCGTGATAGTCCAATGATAGGACAGCTTTGATGATCGACCACATCCCGATCATTTGTTGATCAAGTTTTTCTTCTTTGTTCTATTCGCTGATCATTCTCCAAAGAAACCATGATTCACAAGATCGTTTTGGCACCCATGAGAATGCTTGATGATGCCCCATGGACCTGGAAGGCAAGTCACCATGACTGTATCCTTGAGCGACTGTCGACTAATCCTCCGTGCTAAATAGGGTGCATGGAACTCCGACATGCCCAAGTTCTTCCAGGGCATGCCCAGTGGCGTGACCGACAACATCTTTGATGACCTGGACACAGAACCCGTCGATTACAGCTACACTAAGGTGAGCGTTGAAAAATGCCGCATGCGGATTGTCCTTATACCTAACTCATTGTCGTTCAGCCTGTCGACCCCACTGAGTACCAGGATGGGTGGTTGGGTGACGTCATCAACATCTACTAAGAGAATGTCCTCATGGATTTCCATCAGCCTGCAGAATGTGAAAAAAGCGCATGCTCATATCTACTAATGCGAATGTTTCTGTTTGTCTAGACAGTCAGCAGGATGAATCCGAAAAGTTCAATAAAACAGTACAGCCTGTAGCACACTTTAAAATGTTGATTTCATGTCGACCTGTCGTCATTAACTACGAGCACGGTTGATCCATCATTGCAATCAAGAGCATCGAGCAAAGGATCTTTAAAATTTGTGCCACTACGGTTGGTCACTCGATCCCAGCGCGGTGTTCAGGAGGCAGACAATCGTAAAGCTTTTTCTCCTGCATCCATTGTTTGTTGAAGAACTTGCTGCCATACCTGAAGCCACTGTCACACAAGATGGTGACAATGGTGTGGCCAGGCCCAAGACGCTTCGCCATCTCAACAGCAGCACACACATTCAGTGCTGCTGATCCACCAACAAAAATCGCTTCATCGTAAAGTAGGCGAAAAACCATCCTGAATAAAAAACGTCATGAATGACAAAATCATGCAACTGGGCAAATGCACCTTATGGCATCAGGGTCGGGAATCTGGATACAATCATCAATGTAGTCACGAAGTCCCTCCATATTTGCTGTGATAATGCTGACAAGCATATGATAAGTAGAAGCAATATTTGCAAATATTTCAAGGGCGCGAAGGCTATGGACAAGGACATACCTGTTTCCGATTCCTTCAGTGACAGGGGATGATCCTTGAGACATCTTCGGCTTCGGGCACCATCTTTCGCCCGCTAAGACTTTCTCAGTTCCTTCGTCACCTGCACCTTCTGAGTCTACATTCGCTGCAGAAGGACAACACTGACCAGTAGTCGCCCAGCTGTGCAAAGCACTCCCAAAGCAATCCGCAAGGACTACCTTTGTCTTCGGAGAGTAATCCTTCAAGTACCCTGCTCTCTCATTCAGCATCTGCTCCAGTACAACTCAATAAGATACGAGAAACGCCTCCGATCGTTCCTCCTGTCCCTGTTGCAGCACAGAAACAATCTATTTTGCCGCCAGTCTGCTGCATAATTTCTGGACCAGTTGTGAGGTAATGAGCTTCACGATTAGCAGTGTTTTGCCACTGATTGACACAGAATATGTTCTCTCCCCGTTCCTGCCCTTGTTTAGCAAGCAGCGGGGCCTGCACAGTGAGATTAGGGAATCACAGCAAGCATTTCAATCATTGATACCAAATTATGGTAATGTTCCATATTTGGCTTCCCAGTAACAGGATCCTTGAGCGGGATAGGCTCTGTCAGGATGACTTGAGCGCCCAATTGTTTCAGAGTGCGCTGCTTCTCCAGCGACATGGTCCTGGGCATGCAAACAACAAGCTTGTACCCTCTGGCATTGCACACATGAGCTAAACCAATCCCAGTATTGCCTGAGGTTGCCTCTGTAATGGTAGCTCCTGGCTTAATCAGACCCCTTCGCTCAGCGTCCAAGATCAATTGGAGCGCAGGTCTGTCCTTGACTGAACCTCCAGGGTTCATGAACTCGGCTTTGCCAAGAATCTCACATCCAGTCTCTTCACTGAGTTTGTTCAAGCGGATGAGGGGAGTATTTCCGACAGTGTCCATGAAACCTCTCTTCACCTTGGGGTTGTTCAAGGGATGTCCCTTACACAGCCCGGCAGCTCCCTCCTTGAGAGAGTACACCTGAGTCAAGGAAAGTCATCTTCTAACCAAACCAGGTATGGCCATTGGCAGAAGGCAGACCTTCTTGTACCCCATTTCTTGCATCACTTGTGCTGCCTTGACAGATCTTGAACCGCCAGCACAAACACAAAGAATTTCCTCGTCGAGATTGGGCAATACCTGCACAACATCTCTTTCCAGGACACCTCGTCCAACGCGTACTGGTCGGAACCATGATGGTATCGGCATGTTTTCTGCTTCTTTGTCCTCTCGCACATCAAGAACACGAAGATGAGGGTTCTTCCTAAACATTTCGTGCAGCTGTAAGATCCCGACCTCCTTGACTTCGCCACGTGCCTAATATTTTGATTACTTCAAGGAAAGGGCAGGGGGAAATTATCGTGGATGCTGCATGAAGAACAAGATACTGAATCAAAAAAGTTGTCGTACTGATCAGTGTGTAAAGGGGGGAGAGAGGGAGGACAGGGAACAATCACAAGTGAGGAAAGCAGATCCATCCTCTGATCCGACTAGAAATTAGCGGAGCGGCACAAGGAGGAGAAACGATCAGTTAACGAAGACAAGAGGAGGTTCATCAGATCTTTGTGGGTCATTATGAGATGAGTCCACATCCATCACTGGGGATCCAACCTCATCTACGATCTTCTGCCATGGCTTCGGCTGCATCTGCCGCGCGATCGCCTCAACTCGATGCATGACTCTGCGCCGCTTGATCTCTAGATCCGTGCAATGTTGACTAAACTTCTTCACTGTGAGTGCACGGACACCCGGGGGGCATCGGCCCGGTCGGCGGGCCCGCGCTGTCATGCAGTGTTCTAGAACGGCATCCCTGAACGGTTACTCTGTGTAACGTGTGTTTCTGCTACCCCAGGGGCTTCGGAAACATGCGCCATGATTTCTTTGTCGAGGAGCAACAAGGATAACGAGCACATCTGTACATCCTGCCACTTGAAACAAGCTCACATCACCTCCACATACTTCTACACATTCTTTCCACTTTCCCTTAGCAACTTTTGTGTCGAGTTGTGAACGGCTCGCAAGCTCTAATTTCTGACCCGGCAAATTATTGCTCTTCGCTTCTTGCTCTTACTTCCTCTATCTTCCCTGATTGAGGCTTTGGGACGGATAGAGAAACATATCCGCATCACTGCATTGTGTTGTAATACCTCTGTCGAATCCTGAGGACGAGATGTTTCTAGGTTGAGAATCTTAAACGACGATGAAGGATTGCACGCGGATTTGCTTGCTAGTTGCCTCTTTGTGTATCGCACTGGCAGCAAAGAAGGAGCTCAAGGAGGGATCAGTGCTTGATTCCGAGCAGGAACAGGCTTTGCCGGATCTCTCAGGTATCCAAGGGGTGGAATCAATTAACTGCGGTTCACTATTACTGCAGATGCCAATTCCTTGAGGGAGCTCAAGTGTGGAATTTGCCAAGGAATCGTGATGGACATGGCATATGCAATCAACAGAGATGAAACAAATCTAAAAAGAAAGCTTCGGGAAGTTGAGATTGTCGAGATACTTGAAAATGTGAGTGATCAAACGGAATTCCATGCGATATCTGAAGAAGTTCGTTGGCAGGTTTGCAGCCATAACATGAATGAGTATGGTCTTGTTCTCGATGAGAATTCGAATCCTACCAAGAAATGGTCGCGTGGCTCGCAAACTCTGCGCGCCAAGGGAGGATGGGTTACAAGAATTGCAGTGAATGCATGCTCGGACATTTACAACGAGTACGAAGAATATCTGGTCGATCGTGCACCAAAGTCTTGCTACATCGATCAAGAAAAGCAAACGAAGACCTGCGAGTATGTCAATTATTTGATGATAGGTGTTATCATGCTGACTTTTGAAACCAGCACCGGCCCGATCGTCTACGATATCTGTGTACAGGGATTCAACTGGTGTGCCGTTCCCCAGTCCGATGAGAACAAAACCGCAACGACTGAAACTACAAAACCCGTGAGTGAGGTTGTTAGGCAGTCTCAATATGATTTGCGTGGGTCGGCAGGTGGATGAAGGATCCAAAAATGAGCTATGAGAAGCTGCAGCTTGGCATATGACTTTTCAGTTTTTATCATGTTACTGTCTGTACTCGCTATTAAATGAGATGTTAGGATGCTTTCATGGGGTTGAATGTTGTGTCATGGCACATTCTCGTTCGCCAACAATTCTAGTGCCTTCCTGACGGGTGTTCTAGCCGATTCGCTGGCTTGTAACCACCATGGCTCTTGAGTTTCGTCATTCTGTTGTTCAGGACTCATGACCTTTCGAAACGGTGATACAGTGCAAGGTTCACCGGTTTCGATCGTGGAAGCCCAAAGTTCAGCCAAACAGTCGCTCGAAACCACAACTGTAGAAATGTGTACTCAGTCAAAGCCCTCCCTTGAGCTGAAATTACCCCCAGTGACGACTTCAAAAGTTGCCTGGTTTGCTGCGATGAGATAAATCCTGGAATCATAGTTAGATGCTGAATAATGGTGTTTGCCACAAGAATCACGATCAAAGTTTCTAAGAGCCTTGTGGTATCTAGATCTGAATGCGCTGGTAGCCATAGTCGACAGGACCTGCGCAAATGCATGACCACAATCGACATGTGAAAAACAAAGGAAAATTTGATCACCCGCAAAACTAATAGCTTCCGACGCAAGACTTGCTGATTGTGAGTGACTGCCCTCTGCTGTCTCGCTAGTGAATTGTAAGACTTTTTGTCTCCTGTTACAAGGAGCGAGTGAATTCATGTCATCAAAAATGGGTCGACTCACTGCAGGCAACTTCATCAAGCCGTCTGAGCATACGGTTCAGCATCACGACGTCCTGGTCTCTTTGTTGCAGAGAAATCCACAAGGATGCCTAGTATGAATTCAGATAGCAAGAAATCAAATTCAGCATGAATGCAGTTGTTCAACAGACCATTGAGTCTCTTTTCCCTTCCACTTGCCGACCCAGAGCCTGTGAAGTGGCTGATTCAGCCTCGAGAACCTCGCCCCGCAAGTTTGAAGGGCTATCCATCTCCATGGTGAACTCTTGAACAAGCCTGCCGCTAGGCATCTGCCCATGTTCCTTGCTGTGTTTGTTGAGGTCGTGCACAGCCTCTTCCAGTGTCTCCACCTTGATCGCAAGATTGTCCATGCACTTTCGGATCAGAACAAATTCCTCTTGAAAGCGCTGGATGATGCCGGTGCAGGAGCGCAAGGCTTCTTTCGCTGAGTGCCATGGATCCTGACATTCCTCTTGGATTTTGGTGCACAACTCCTGACCGAGGGTCTCCCTCGCAGAGACATCGGCTGCAGCCCTCGCTTCAGCAACAGCGTCTCTGAGCTCCTCTTCTTTCTTCTGGATGGTCGCCTCGAGGAGCTCGATCACAAAGTTGCATTTGTTGAGCAGGATCAGGTTCTTCCTGCAGTTCACGCAGGACGTGTCCTCGCTCGTCACCGCGTCGGAGGCAAGGGACATCGGACCTGACATGGGCAACACGTTACGGCACGAGCAGCCGGAGGATCGGCAACCTAACCACAACCTCGAGGAGGGGAGCAGGTACTCTAGTACTTCAGATCTTGACCGCTCTCATTCCCCACCGCTCCTTCTCCCCCTCCTTTACGCCCGGAGACCTGCTGCTAGAAAAGTGAGCCCTCTCTCGGACTCTCCCACGTGTATCCATGGAGATACTTTGCTAATGCGCACTGCTGCAGTGACGGTGCGCCCGATTCGCCGGGCCACTCGGTGACTCGTGAGCCGACTTATTCGATGATCGGATCACGGTATCCGAGGCTGGCCGCGGGGTGGTGGCCGGGAGAGTCAGTAAGGCCCCGCCAAGTGTGAGCTTCACTGCTAGACCCTGACAGGCTGTCGCGTGTGGCGGCCGCCACGTCGGACAGACTCTGAGAGAGACTTATGCGCAGCGAGAGAAGCGATGGTCTTCTCTGACAGCCACGAAGGCAGATCTAAGCGGACGCACAAGGGGTGCTCGCTGTGACAGGCTCGTGCGTGAGGAGTCTCACCACCCCTGGTAGTTCCCCTCGACTATACTATGATAAAAGGATCGTCAACGACTGCACACTAAGGTGGTCTGTCCTTCTCCTTGAGCATTCGCTGTATAGAGGTCTATACTGCAGTTCACGTAGCGACACTGAAACTATAGTGGGCAGGTGACAGGGTCAATGCTGCCAGTGAGACGAGCCTGACCCATCTGGTTACATGTCTTGGGTGAAAGAGCATGAGATGATGACTGCTGTCCGCCTTATCTTCCAAACAGATACATGCTGAATCTATTGATCATGAGACCAGGTCAACGCTGGATGATATGATGCACGGTGGTTTGCTTGAGTTTGTTCATCATGGGATCGACTACCGACATTGCAGGGTCTTCAGGACATCTACAAGTTGATGGCTCGGACGAGGATGACATAAACTTTTAATTTGTAGCAGATAAAGCATGAAGCACTACGCCCATCACATCGAGCGATGCTTTGTTGTAAAAATGACATGAATCGATCGAATCAACAATAATATGTTTCATTCATCCGTCGTCCACCCTCTTGCACATTCTAGCGCCATGCCATCGAGACTTCCTCCCGCGCTTCTTTGCTGGTCGTGAATGTATTGTATCGAGCTGCCTAAACTTGTTAAAGCGCGTTGCTTCCATACTGATAGCTTGTTCCACTGATGCTCGGATATACCCAGCTCAGATGCAGTTGTAGCGTTCCAGTTCATAACCGCGGGATTGCTTCGGCTGGCTGTTTCATGTTCTAAGGTGACGAGATTGGAAGGAGATGTTGTATTCGCAGCAAGGGATGAGATGTCTGCGCTGATTTCTGCTCCAGTGTGTCCGAGAATCTCTCCCATAGCTCACAGAGTTTGGTAGCAACCGCTTGAGAGTGCAGATCAAAGGGCTTGTGTCCCCTGTTGCCTGTAGTAAAAACTGTCACGACATCCAAGTCAAAGATTGAAATCACATCTTTTCGGTGTTTCCATTACCAATTTTTTCGTTTCTATTCCCGATGGCTATTTTTTTTTCCGGGAGTACCCCACATGCACCCTACCCGTTCAGATTCTCGGGCAGGGGTAGGGTGGCGCGCAGGGGCTGGCGCAGGGGGAAGTTGACCGTCTCAAAAAGTTTGTTGGCTCTTTCAACCCCATCGGTTCGCATGAGATTTCAAACCGCTCGTGTTCGGTCACTCGGTGCTCCGTGAGAGTCGGATTGCCGCGTAAAGTAAGTTTTCGTAGTAGGCCCCCGGCGGGCCCGGAACTTGCGGTCGGTGCACTGTAGTGACCGGGCCTTGGCCCGGGCCCGGAGGCCGTGACGCCGATGTCCCTTGGCCATGCAGTTGCGGGAAGCAGGGGAGGAGGGAGGGAGAGCAGAGGGAGCAGAGAGGGAGGGAGGGAAGGGAAGGAGGAGCGCATCAACCTGTGAGCTTTGTGCGCTTGTGAACAAATGCTGATGCTTGCTTCCTTCAGATCGCGGGACATGAAGGGTTGACAGTAGACGGAGTTATTGGACGAAGCAGTCTATGGAGTTAGAGCTGCACTCATGTCCAACGTCAACGTGAACTTCTTCGGTGGACATGCCAATCATTTCCCTATCAAGATATCAAGTCACACGTCCGAAGAATCCTTTGAGATTGTCTGCAGGCATGAAAAGAACAGCATAGCCAAGGAAAGCTCCATCAGCATAGCCAAGGAAAGCTCCATCCCCTTCTTGAACATCTCGATCGGAACTCCTCCATCCTCCTCCTCCCCATCCTCCAAGGAGAATGATAACAGTCCGGGCAAGCATCTCGACCCCCTGCTGAAAAACTTGACCGACTCAAACATCATGGAGGATGTGAAGCTGTGGACAAAGCCGCTCACTGACTCCCTTTCAGAGGCGACAGAGAGCATGCACTCTTCCTGGATCAAGATCACCTCTCCTAACTCGCTCGTGAAGGTGGCAGAACCGAGGAGGAGCATGGTCGAGCTCGAGACGTACACGACCGAAGCCTCGTCGCCCTTGTCAGACTATCTGCTGTCCCCGCAGGGAGGGGCCGTGGGGCTGAAGAACCTGGGCAACACCTGCTTCCTCAACGCTGTCGTGCAGTGTCTCGCTCACGTGCTTCCCTTCGTGGAGGATATGCTCTTCAACCTCGAGCAGCCTGAGCGAGCACAAGAAGACGAAGGTGGACAGGGAAGTGCGTCGGACAATCAAGAGCTGGTGGCCTCCTTCAAGGTGCTTCTTGGCCATGTCTGGAGCGGCAGCCGGCGCGACTTCCTCGAGCCCGGGACCCTCCTCAAGGTGCTGAAGAGCGACAAGCGCAGCGCTGTCCTGTTCAACCACAAGCAGCAGGTCGGTTGATGCTGGTGGCCTGCTGGACATAACGATCTTGCAGGACGCGCACGAGTGCCTGTGCATCCTCTTGGACGTGCTGCACCAGGACACCAACGGCCTTCTGCATGGGGAGGAAGGAGGCAGACACCATCCTCTCAGACCTTCGTTGGAAGCGCAGGCGGAGGCCGCACATGAGGAATGGGTTGACGTGACGCACGAGCAAGCTTCGTCGCCGGACAAGTCGCCGCGAGAGGAGGAAAGCCTGACGCAGATTCACTCGGTAGTGAGCAAGCACATGGGGGGGAGGTACACGAGCGAAGTTCGATGCATGTCATGTGGGTTTTCCACTAAGGTGCACCAGCCGTTGGGAGGGAGAGGGAGGAGTGACCCCCTTGCAGAAGCATGAAACTTTCTTCTCCTTGTCTCTGCCCCTTCCTCCCCCCAGGATCTCCAGGACGAACCAGGTGTTCCTTCTGCCGATATCCCTTGGGCTGCTGACCCGCGTACAGATCACTCTTGAGGAATGCATGCAGCTGCTGGAGACGGAGGAGACTGGGCTGCCATGGACGTGCGAGCGATGCAAGGCGAGGAATGCATCGAAGAGGCTGCACGTAGCTTCCTTCCCTTCGGTCCTCGTGCTTCACCTGGAGCGGTTTGGATTCCGTGGCGGGTAAGATGCTCCTTCTCGCACGTGGGGCGGTGACAAAGGGCAGGAGGAGGTACAAGCGTAACGACGACATTTCCTTTCCTCGAACCCTCCAAGTCCGCAGGCAGGACGGTAGTGCTGCGATCTTTCACCTCCTCGCATGGACGGAGCATCTTGGAGCTGAGGAGAGCTCAGGGCACTACGTTGCCTGTGCTGTACATCCCGACGGCGTCTTCCGCAGGTAAACAAAGAGGGAGGAGCGAGAACAGCAGGAGAGGAGCGGTATGGGGGAACACGGAGAGATGGAAGGAAAGCTGGAACAAGGAAAGGATTGAAGGAGGCGAGAGAAGAGGAGGTGACAAGGTTCTGACAGGACCTTGCAGGTTCGACGACGTGAGGGTGCAGAAGCTCCCGAGCCCTCTGAAGCCGATCCTCGTTAGCCCTTACGTCTACATCCTCTTCTACCAGCAGAGCTGCTAGAGTAAGGCAACGGGTGTTTTCTAGGGAGGAGAGAGGAGGGACGACTGGGAGGGTGTGAGCAAGGGAGGGAGGTGAAGAGGGTATTCTTGTAACATAGGATGCGCTGGGAAGCGCGGTGGGAGATTTTTATTCTTCATTCATTAGACATGCTCGTTTACGAGTCCATGCTCTGCATCCACGCAGGAAGTCCATTGAAGTAAGGGAGAATATCGACACTCGACACCCACACGTCGCCTGCATCATCAAACTCAGTCATCTTTCCCTTCTCGCTGCCTTTCCCCCCACAGCCCTCCCGGCTTGCTTGCTCCTCTCCGCCTCCTCCTCCTTCTCCCCTGCCTCCTTCTACCTGGGTTGAGCACGACTGGCTCGCAGATCACGCCATGCTCAATGCAGACGAAGTTCTTGTATCTTAAGCATCAAGTGAGCGACAAAAGTCCACGCCTGTTCTTCTCACCCCATCTTCTCCTCTCCGTAAGGATTCCAAATGGCGATGTCCTTCCACTGTTGCAAAGAGTTACATCAGGGCAGGGCAGGGCAGGGCAGAAGGGTCGATTGCTAACCCCTTGAGAGCTTCTGATGACGACTTCCTTGTCACCATCCTTGAGGCGGATATCATCAGTACAATCCGAGTAGATCCTAAGACAAGTCTCAACGCTAGGCCCTCCGAGGCAAGATGAAAGCTCTTGTCTACCTCTCGGTGAATGAAGAAATCCGCAGCTCGTCCTCTGCGCAACACACCCCTCACATAAACCCAACGTTTCTCTCTACTCGCTACCCGTCTCCGTCTTCTCTGCAGGAGGCGACAGAGTTTTGTCCAGATATTTCTTCCCCTTGAACCCGCCTGCCGACGGCATCAAATTCTGACATCTCTGCATCTCCTCCTCCCTTCACCTTGGATCGCGATCTTGTCAATATCGTCAACCGCAAAGTAAGTGTGCAGAGCTCCAGTGAACGAGAAGGCTTTTTTACCCTGGAACACCATTCATCAATCTATCATGATTGAGATCTTCATCACTGTCATCATCACTACCATCGACAACTTCTTCATCATCGTCACCACCACCACCATGATCCATTTCATCATCACCATCACCATTGTCATGAGCCATCATCATCATGGTGACCAGCATTTCAATCATCGTCGTCATTCATCACCTTGTTCTGCACCCGCAGCTCAAGGTTCAGGTTTCCAGAGTTGAGGTCAATCTGATAGCGGCAATTGAACGAGTTCGGCCACATCTTCCTAGTCTCCTGCGTCCAGCGGTCAACCCAACGGTCCACCCCACTCGTCAGCTTCACATTGTTCGGGACGAGCTCGTAGATGGCTCTACTTCCCTCCCGCAACCAGGAGCTCATCAGCTAGTCAGCAGCAGCACCTCCTTACAGCAAAGAATGTACAGAGATCGGCTCCCTGCTGCGTTTTCCTCCCGCACATCCACACAGACCCTGTGGCGTAACCGTCAGAGCCGATAGAGGAGCTCAGTACAAGGAGACGAGCGGCTGCTCAAAGAAGGAAACGAAAGAGGCAGGCCAGGAGATGAGCAGGCAGGTCTCACCACTTCATGTTCCGAGCAAATCCATGCTGCTGAATTTCGCCTGGTCCGAATTGGGGGAAGCAGATGGGGACCCCTCCTGAGACATTTGCACGTCATGGAGAGAGAACACTTGACGAGAAGAGAACAAGAGAACAGGAGAAGAGGACAACAGGAGAACAAGAGGTGATAACATATGGCCATCAAACGATTCGATTCTTTGTCACCGGAGATCGGTTTGCTTCCATCAAGAACAGCATCAGGTCGAACGAAGAAGACCTGGCGCACAAGATGAGTATCAAGAAGGAGATGGAAGGTATTCACGTCGCACATCATAATCAGGTGTCTTGTAGCTGGTAACGCAGGCGCCATTCTTGTAGATGGACACCTCTTCCTGATCGAGGAATCGTAAGCGCAGTCGTGAGCCGGGCAACTCAACCTTGGTGATTGTGTTTGTCAACTTCACGGGATCTCTCAGGATCATCGCATCGGCCTGAGCCGATTCTTGCTTTTTAAGAAACTCCTTGTCTGGCACAAAACTTGCCACGATACCTGTCGCCTTTCTCCTCCTAATCCAGCTCTGATCTGCCCTGCCACGTTGGGCGAGCACCCGATGGGCCGGAGAAGTGGTCCTTGTGGAGGGAGAGAGGAACGAAGACGATGAGGACAGCAAAGAAGATGAAAGAGAAGATGAGGAGAGCAGTGGGGAGGAAGACATTGTGAACGCCTCTCCTCCTGCCACCATGGCTGCCAGGACTATCGCTATGCGCATCGCGGCCTCCCCTTACCCCCGCAAATTGACCACCCTCACCATCCACATTCTTTTCCGACCCCTCTCTCTTCAGTGAGTACCCTACCATTTTACTCATAAATTGCCTATCATGTAGGGGTTATTGGAGACCTACACCCCTTTCCATTATTTTACACCCGCCTGCTTGCTCAACCCTCACATCAATTAGCGGATACGAGAGTAGGGGTGGGTAGGTATTAACTAAACTATCTCCTCACTGTCCGGGGCCCGGCGGAGTCAAGCCGACTGAGTGATCGACACTCAAGTTTGACACTAGTCAGTCCTGAGTAGGGGGATGAGGGTCAGGCCGTTACGAACGGAAGTCCGGGTCCCCCCCTTTGACTCTAAAAGCTAGAGGGGGTAGGGACCCTACCATACTTTTTCACGCGAGAAAATCAGATGCAAGCACCGGTGATGATAATGAAAAAGAACGGTAGCTACCCCACCTCGGATCTTTGTCTCCTATAGGATTATCCTGGCATGCCGGAGGAAGAATGGCTTGGGGGCGAAGGTGGAGGGAGAGGAAGGAGGAGAGAGGAAGAGAGGAAGAAGAGACGAGTAGGTGCTGAACGTCCGGCCGAAGATGCTGACATGCTCAGCCTGGATGATCTAGAAAGCGAGCCCAGGTCGTGGACGAGAGGGAGAGAGAACGACAGCGGGGAGGAAGAGGAGCGGGCGATCAGGCTCAGTTCTACCGACCATAAGGACGAACAGGCGAGTAACGGTCAGCACCGGCAAGATCGCGAGAGACCCTTGAGTGCTGGGATCATGCTGAAGCCGTTCTCTTCGGAGATCGCAAGCCTCTCGACGTTCAGCTCAGCTGGTCTCGGTCGTATTCTGAGCCGAGGAGATACGATCCTCGCAGTCGACGGCATTCACCGCACTTGGAAGGAGACAGCCTCGTTGCTCGAACGATGCGGCGACCCGATCGGAGAGACCATGAGCCTCCTTGTCGCGAGGCAGAACGAGCACATCCAGGCAAACATCATCCTGTCGCCGAAAGATCGGCATGAAGCGCTGATGAAGTTGTTCGACAAGCTTGAGCTGCTGAGGACTTTGCAACTGATTCAAGTATCTTCAACAGTCAAGTTCGCCTATGATGCCATCGGAAAGATTGTGGTTGAGAAGGTTTCTGACAAGACAAGCGCTATAGACTGCAGCGAGGTCCCCGCGTGCTTTGTTTGCCTCAGTCTTGCTCAGGGAGTGGCAGATCTTGAAGAATGACAAAGTCGTGTCGATCAACGATATGAGTGTAGATGGACTGGCGCTTGAGAGAGTGAAACGAATCTTCCAAGAGAGGTCATCGGCTGTTGAGGGGTGATGCTTCACCAATCTGACATGATGAGAAACAGTATCGATGTAGTGTGTCATCTGGTGTTAGAGAGAGGTGAGTCATGGATGCGTAGCAAACTCGCAGATCGACAGCTGAATGTTGTTTTCAGATGGAAATATGATTGAGGCAAGCATCAAGGTGGTGCTTTGATGAGAGATGAGAAGGGAAGTGAATTGAGTGCTTGCAGCGATCACCGCAGTACACTCAAAAGACAATCAACGAGATATGCGATATGATTGAGAACATTGAAAAAGAGAGGTTTTCTGATCTCTTCCAACATTTTTCAAGCTCCAGGTAAGTGTTTGCATGTCTTGATACGACATTGGTGACGATTAAAACAAGGAATTATGCCGAAAAGAAGAAAGGAGGGTCCGAATTCGCAACGGAAGAGCCATTCGCTCACTCCCAGCAGAACGGCCAGAAGATTTCTTCTGCATTTTCATTCAAGACTCCCTCGAAAAGTGTTCGATCTGGCAACCTGAAGGATTCAAAGCAAGGATTTAGCCAATCCAAAGGTGAGGGATACACTTTGTGTTGTGTAGCATGCGGTGAATAGTTTTCAGGCAAGATTGTTCAATCACTTCATGTTGAGCTGGAATGTGAAAATCGCAGACAGATAAATCTTCGTAGCCTCATTCTGTCGGTTTTGAAAGATTGGCATTGGTTCACTCAGACTTCCTTTCGATGGAAGTTGGCAGCTTACAAGATCGTCGACACTCGATGCAAGAAGTTGTTGAAACATTCATTCGAACGATTCTACTTCACTTCCTCCAATCAGGTCATGATACACAGACATGTCAGTATGGGCTGAGATGTGACTGCAGCGTGTTCATAAACATAACTCCAAGAAAGCGTACTCGTACGCGCGACGTCAGGGCATCAAGCAAGCTTTCGCGCCATGGAAAGACTTTCACATTCAGGTGCTTGACTCTGTCTTGAGAAGCACCATCTGACCGATGCGATAGAACCTTCTGCGGTACAAGGAGACGCAATGGATATCCTACACTTCGGTAGAGGAGGAAGGGGGGGGGGGCTTGAGAGCTCAGTCTGCTGCCGTCAGGTCAAGGTGTCACGGGCCCTGAGCAAGTTCAAGATCATCAGAAGCTTCTCGACGTGGGCGGGGCTGGTGCATCAGCAGAGGAGGGCGATGAAGATCTCCTATCACCTAGCGAACAGACGAGACCGCATCCTGCTGCTGTCAGTCCTCCGAGAGATCGCCGACCACATCTCACGAGTGAAGGCCAAGTATCATGCCGCCTACCTGCTGCACGTCCTGTGGACCAAGAGAAAGATGAGAGCGCTGTTCGAAGCCTTTCGGGTCCCCTGCCCTGAAGTGAAGCAGAGACATGCAGTGACCAGTGAGGAGGTGATGATCTCGAGAGGCTTCGAGGCGCTCAGGGGGAGGAACGATTTTCTCTTCACCGGGCTCGGCAGGAAAGTTTCTCAACGCATGTGGGAGGCGATGGTGATCAGGCGCAGCCAGCAGCAGCTGAAGGGCTACATCGCTAAGGTGAACCTGAAGCTGAATGCTGACCTGATGCGCCGGATGATGCTTCTGTGGTACCATCACACCTTCGCCGCCGTCCGGCTGAGCTTCAAACTGAACTCCTTCCTGGGGCTGCGAATGAAGAGGGAGCTGCTCTCGATCTTGACGAGCTGGAGGGAGATGTCAACGGCCAAGGATCGCCTTGTGGGTCGGATCCGTCAGCTGGACCTCAGGAGGAGGGTGCGAGTCAAGTCGAGGGTGATGTTTCTGTGAGTGAGGCCCGTCTTCTCTTGGTACTTCTGACCTGCTTGCCAGCTTCAGAGCAAGACTTGACATCAAGACGCTTCTCTTCGACCCGCCGGTGATCTAGAGCCTCACTTGACAAGTCCTTGTCAACACTGATGCCTCTTGCTGCAGCCCGTCACTGCTCCTGGCCAGCACAACCCCGACGAGGGACAGGTCAAGTTGCGAACGTTTGACAGCTGGAAGGACAGAGCTGGCAGGACAAGGAGGTACATGTTCCTTGACAAGCTGCTGGAGGCGAGCACGAGGACGAGGATCCTGCTGGTTCTGTTCCGCTGGAAGTTTGCGGTCTTCACCGCCTTCGCCTCGGAGGGGCTGATCTCTCACCAGCACAAGTCCAGTAGGATGTCGAAGGCCTTCTTCCGTTGGTTTGCGCACACGAGAATCACTCTGTCGCAGCTCTACCAGGCCAACAAGGAGGAGGAGGAGGAGGAGGAGGAGCGGGGGCCTGACCTGCCATGGAGCGCTATCCTCCGACGGGCGTACGCGGAAGACAGCACGTTAGTGTCGGAGAATGTGATACAAAGGCTGCAAGACTTCGAGGAAAGGAAGCTTCAGTTCAGAGCTCAAATCATGGAGTACGGGCAGTACTGACAAGGTTGTTTTACAGATATGATGTACATGTGAAGATGTAAAGTAAAGTATAAACAGAAACTTGGCGGCAGGGGTGGGATGGGATCAATCGCTATCGCTCCAGTTGTCCACATCCACCTCCACCTCCTCCTCTCCGTCAAGAAACCTTGAGATCCGGTCAGTTCCTGCAGGGCATACAAGTGCAACTTGCCTGTCGTTGGGGGTCCAGACTAGAATGTTTGCGTCCTGATCGCCGCTGAACAAGTCCTCTCCCCGCGGCTTCGCAACCTGACGCGACTCATCGTCATCCTCCTCCCTCCATCGCAGCCGGCCGCTCTCACGCAGCACTTGACGGTGCCGACATGCCCGCGAAGCCTCGAGATCCTGGCAGGGCCTTCAGAGCTGAGAAGAGAGACACCCGGGCCTGACCTGTTGCCGCTGGCCAGGTCACAGACGACCACCTCGTTCTGGCAGGGATGAAACAGCAGCTTCCCGCTCCACGACACGTCAAATTGCACCTGGACTTCAGCTCAGGTCCCCCCTACCCGCCACCTCTCACACCTTCTTGTAGGCAGCAGCTCGAGCTTGCGGGAAGGCGCCGTAGTTGACGATCTCCAGCTCGCAGCTCACAGGGTTCCACAGCCTGACCCTCTCGTCCCCCCCGCTCGATAGAAGGTATCTGCTCCTGCTGGTCAGCCCCCCGTGCCAGGCCCGCTGCCTCCTTACCTTCCGTCTGGAGTGAATCGCAGGCAGGACACGCCCTTGGCATGAGCGAGAAGCGCTGGAGGAGGAGTGAGGAGGAGCAAGGCTCGCAGATGCCGCACCTGCTTCGTCTCCCTTGGAGGATGAAGATGCAGTGCCGTCATGCTCCGTCCTCCGTCTCTTCCTGCATGTCTTGTGAGGGAGCGCAGGCAGCGCGAGAAATGCTCGCCTTGACGTCCAGGGTTTTCCCTCCGGACTGAGAAACGCGAGACAAGAAGCTCCTTGCCGGACGTCCCATAGCCTCTTCTTCACAGGTGACAAAAAGGTCTTTGCTGATTGCATTCTTACCACCGTCCCATCAGAGCCGCCGGAGAAGAGCTGGTACTGCTCGCAGACCGACCAAGCGACTGGCGAAGACGTCAAGAACGGTTTGACACCCTGGCGCTTTGAGACCGCAGTTGACGGTGCCTTGATGCCCCCGCAGACTGTGCTGCCTGAGCCCTGAAAGCAGAAGATTGTTCATCGGCTCGCGCTGTCATAAGAGCATGAAAGCTCAACCTGAGTTCGCGTCGTAGAGACTGACGACATGGCCGCTGAGAGGTAACGGTCAGGACGAGCTGAGGAAGGAGACAGCTTGTTACTTGGCAGCTGCGACCAGATTATGAAGAGTTGACGTCTTGTGTACATCGATGTCATAAACCTAAATCGCATGCATTTCAGACCTCCAACTCCTCTGCCGACCCTTCTCCCCCCAGTCACCTTCCCTTTTGTTTTGTACTCTATCGCTACTTCCGCCTTGTTTGTGTCCCAAATCTGCAGCTCGTTGTGATGGGCGAGACTTTCAGACTTGCTCGTCTTACTTTCACAACCTCATCAAACCCGCCACTGACAAACAGCCCTGTATCCTATCACATCTACCGTCAGCACATGGCTGATCGCGCAACGGAGCTTGTTATCACCCTGGTATACCATGCGAGGGAAGTGACACCGAAGTCATGCGCTTGCCCTTGCGGAATTCTCAGAGCACATTCAAATCTGCAGCAGAAGATGTGTCAGTGCGTCAAGATTGCTCTTCGTGGTACAACTTTTTGTCCTTCACTGTCTCCTCCGACACGTCTATGATAGCCACGCCCCCGTTCGCATACCCAACAAGCATGTATCTGCGTTCATGCTTCATCACGTGAACGACCAGTCATGATCTGCTCAACCTGTCCTCCACATGATCCACTGACATGCTCATGATCTGCCTTCGAGCATCAGTACAGGTGATAGCGAACTGGCGGCACTAACCGCAGATTGGAAGGGTGGATCAATCGTCCTGTCATCACAGAGCTGCATGTGCTTCCCTCTTGTCTCCAGCAGAGCTCTCTGAAACACCATCACTTCAACCAGACACGAAACTCAGCACAAGGAAGTACTTGCAAGGACTGTGGGTGAAGAACTCCGCACCGTCGCTCCCCTTCACTCATCCTTGTCAGTCCCTCCCCCGTGCTCTTACACATGAGTACACGTAAAATCACCTCCTCTACAACACTGTAGCCGTTTCCTGCCATCATCTCGCGCTTGCACCTCTTTTCTCGTCTCATTTCTCACCTTGCTCCAGTTTCTCGTAACTCCTCGATCCAATCTTTCTGCCCCTCCTCCGTCTCCTCTCACTCCCATCCTACTCTACCCTCCTCTCTCTCTCTCTCTCTCTTCCTCACGTCTCCTCCTCCTCCTCCTCCTCCTCCTCCTCCCTCCTTCCTCTTCATCCCTCACCAAGTAGCTCGAAGACACTCGCCTTGCCTGCCATGCCGATTTCTCACCAAGGAACCCCACTGTATTTCAGTTTCCGACCACCCTCCCAAATTCATACCACCCACCCCCTTGAGACCAGATATTCCTTTAAGTGTGATGGAAATTCTGGGGTACATCAAGTACCCCTCACCTTTCGTCTCAATACAACCCACCCTAGTCTTTGTCAGTTGAAGGTACCCCTCGTCCAGAATTCTTTCCACGCTCTCACTGGCGGGCTATGTCGCAGACTCCGCAGCTCGGCGCCGCCAAGGCAAGCATGCGCCTCTTGCTCTTGCTCCTGCTCCTGCTCCTGCTCCTGCTCCTGCTCCTGCTCCTCCTACTACCACTACAATACTACTACTGCTTCTGCTCCCGCTCCCGCTCCCACTCCCGCTCCAGCACCCTTCTCCATACCTGCCTCTACACTCATGCTGCTCACTGGTTTTGACCTCCATGCATTCCTGCTTAGTTTTCTTCAATCTCTCCTCACTCCTCAGCTTTTCCCGCCCTTCATCCATTACCCTCGTCTCGCTCCCCTCTTCGGCTTCCTGTTCCATCCACCCTCGTTCATATGAGATTTCTCCTTTGGCGCTGCATGACAAATCATCATTCTTGATCAGTCCGCTCATCATTATGTGCACCAGTACTACTGCCTCTAGTTCTGAATCTTGCATCCAGGGAAATGAAATCAATCGGATTCTCGAGCTGCAGAGGAAACGAGAGGACGAGGTGAAGAAACTAGAAGAAACCAAGAAGAAAATCCAAGAGCAGAATCGTGTCGATGTGACTGGTTTCAACACGAAGTTTGGAACAAGCAAGGTAGGCCTCTGCTTGCTCCCTCCACACGCTCCTGATGCCTGACGGCAATCTTACTACTTGTCAACAGGGCGACGTCATCCAGGACGAACTTGGGAAAGTGACTGTGGGCCTTGTGACGCTGGAGCAACTGAAGAAGCACAAAGAGGAACTGGCAAAGAAGGAGCAGATCCTCGAACACCTGCAGCGCAAAGAGGAGATTGAGAATGAGAAGCTGAAGAGAGAGGCAGACAGGAAAAACCGCAAGTCGAAGCTGACCAAGTCGACCCTGTCCTTCGGAGATGAGGCTGAGGAGCTGGAGGAAGAGGATGTAGAGCCTGTGGCGAAGAAGAAGGTAGTCAAGAACCCCACTGTCGACACCTCGTTCTTGCCAGACAAGGATAGAGAGCTGCGGGAGATAGAGGAGCGCAGGAAGCTCACTCAGGAATGGCATGAGGAGCAGGAGAGGAAGAAGGCAGAGGTGAGAGCGAGTGCGAGGATGGGCGAATGCTGACTGGTCACCGTCACGTCAGGTGATCGAGGTGACGTACAGCTACTGGGACGGGTCAGGGCATCGGCGGGCCCTCAAGTGTACCAAGGGAATGACGGTCGGGCAGTTCCTGGAGATGGCGAGGAAGAATCTGCAGGTGAAGGGAGGAGGAGGAGAGGGTGTAGGAGGTGAAGGGAAGCGCAGGACGAGTTCAGGGAGCTGCGGGGGACGTCGTGCGACAACCTCATCTACGTGAAGGAGGATCTCATTATTCCCCATGACATGACGTTCCATGTCCTGATCGAGGTCAGTCGGTCCCTTGCCGCTCTTGACAGCTGGTGACCCTCTGCGCATCGCAGACCAAGGCCCGGGGGAAGTCGGGGCCCTTGTTCCACTTCGATGTGCACGAGGACGTGCGCACGGTCAACGACGCCAGGATCGAGAAGGACGAGTCGCATGCAGGGAAGGTGGTGGAGCGACACTGGTGATGTGCTGCTGCCGCTGCCGCTGCTGCCGCTCAAGTTGAGGCTGTCTTGTAGGTACGAGAGGAACAAGCACATCTTCCCCGCCTCCCGCTGGGAACCCTTCGATCCCGAGAAGAAGTGGGAGAAGTACACCATCCACGGGGACTAGGAGGAGACGCTGACGTGCTATGAGCACACTGTACAAAGATGAAAGAGGAGGAGGAGGAGGAGGAGGCCTAGAGTAAATGAAGAGACTGTCTCACTTCCTGACAAAGAACCGCAGGATGCCTTCTTTGTCCTGCAAGAAGGTCGTGACGTCACGACCAGCGGGCAAGCAGTATCATCTCACCTTGTGCAGGACGGGTTTCTTCGCCGATGACTGAAGCTCACGAGCTCGCACCTCACTTGCACACAATTTCTTCGAGGGGCTTGACTCCTTCTTCTCCTCCGCTTGCTTCTGCTCCCCCTCCCTCCTCGGTGATCTCCCTCCCTCTTCATCCAGACTCTTCACCTTCAAGTCCTCCCTCGGGCTCGGGGCTGCTGGGTCCTCAACCTCAGGCTTCCTATGCCCTGCTGGCTTCTCTTCCTCCTCCAGGGTCTCCTCCTCCTTGATCTTCTTCCTTGATCCCACCTCCTGAGTATCCTCCTGCTTCCTCTTCGCTGGAGCCTTGAGAAACGACAGCAAGCCTCCTTTCTTGGTGTTCTCCTCGTCCACGCATTTCTTCCAGTCGAAGTGAAGGTCCTTGGCCTGCCATGCCATCATCTCTTGCTCGCTGTAATCTCTCGGTGGTCACCGCTGCCATGAGATTCTTCGCGTTCTGCATCGGCTGGTCTTCATGATCCGTTCCCCACAGGAAGAAGATGCCGCCTGAGCGACGAGCTGATCAGGAACGACTAGCAACAGGATCGTTGACACACCTTGCAGGCTGTTCTCGGAGGTGATAGTTTGCAATCTCACGACCCAATCAGCAATCTCTTGTTGAGAGATCACTCTCTGTGTCCCCTGCCTCCTGCTCCAGGGTCTCACTTCTCACTTCCTTCCACCGGGGCAGACCTATGGAGCCGGATGTAGACACCCTTGGAAGGAGCCGAGACGAGGAGAGGGATGGGTAGAATTTCTAGCGCAAGGTTGAGATACGAGTGACCGATTGGGTTGGGGAACGACCTCGTTCTTCAGCGCAGACGTTTGAGTTGAGGTACACTTCGTGCCTGCAAGAGGGATCAGGCTCTGTGACAAGGAAGGCCATCCTTGTGAACACTTGAGATCATCACAAAGCACCAGGACGATGTTGTTTGCTGCAAGAAATTCCTTCGTCCAGGATAGGAAACTTTCGGAAAACCAGTTCCTGAAGCATTTTCCTCTTATCATTCCCCATCTTTAAGAACTTCCCACCTGTCACGGAATTCGACAGCCATATCGAACCTAGCGTCAAGTTTTTTTCTGTTTCACTGCTATCAGCATGACACTAAGGAGAGTAGTCTGATTCTGACCTGCACTCTAAAACATGTAGCTTGCTCTCTTCACACGGTTTGAAACTGATTCTACTGTCAACCATTTCTCGCGGTTCTCAAACCTTGTTACCTGAGCTGAAACTGGAACACCACGAATCCGAGTTTGCTCTGATGAAAGTCAGGTTGGAGATCACTTCTCCTCCAAACACACCTCAGAGAAGACTTCGAGGCACACTTCGTTGAAGCGATTCCATATGCCTTGCAGACAATCTTTTCCCGTCAACTCCGTGCGAACGCAGGCGAACAGTGCACCTGGTGGAAGTTCACTCGCGGTTGTTTTCTGAGACGAGCTCGCTCGTGTCTTGTTGAACTCCTGCAGACTTGTGAGACAACAAGTCTTGATCACAAAGACCATCTACGATGAAGGAAGATGATTCACGAACAACTCTCGGAATGGATGTGAGCGGAACTGAAGGTCTCCCGTCACGCAAACTCATCCTCTCATGGTGATCCACCACCGGATTGTGCAGTAAAGATGGAGAAAGCTTTCATGTGAATCAGGAAGCCAAGTGGCACCTGGCACGCCAGTCATTCTGAAAGATGACAACCCCTCGAACCTGCTTGCACCACAACCGAACCATGGACACTGACGGGATCGCATAGGCTGAACTGTCCACCTCTACACAGCTACAGACAGACACTGAGATCCGATGATAATACGGTTTTCTAGTGAGGACCTGAAGAATGGCGTGCGAGAGTAATGTGACAGCAGTTCACCACTCTGTATCACTGCGACGGAACGGTTGAGATCGGCCAATACCATGAGCATGCAAACCTGATTGGGGATAGAACTTCTTGCACTTCAACAATGTAGCTGGTTGAATGAAGTCAAAGGAGGACATCTGACAGTACCTCGTCCTCCTAGTCCTACTACCGTCCTCATTCTTCTACCACCAGCCGCAATTCTCATACACAACCTTTTTATCGGCACATCCTGCTCCATCTCCTCCTGCTACTCCTGCTCCTCCTGCTCCGCCATCTCCTCCTTCTCCTCCTGCTCCTCCTGCTCGTTCTGCTCCTCCTGCTCCCTCTCTCTTCCTCTTCCTGCTCCTCTTTCTCACCATCGGTCCACCCACACGTCCCTTGCCGCAGCATTGTTCCCCGACAACCTGACCACATCCCCACTCAGCACGGTCATTCTAATATTTTACTTATCAAAGCTAATTATTGAGTTTTAAAAAGCGAGCTAAGAACCCTCTCTCTGCAGTACCCCATCTGATCTCTTGTATTTCGGGGGTACTAGAAGTGCACGGCAGCTGCTGCCATGCAGTTTTCTTGTCCCTGAGAGAACCACAGTACAGATAGAACACTGAAATGCGAAACTCAGACGGCGTGAAGGTCCAGCGAGGAGGACCAAGGGGGACAGGTGGTGATACTGGACTCCCTCCTGCAAGCGTTTATTATTGCGGTCGAAGGATGAATCAATGTCGTTGTGGGAGCTGTGATGGCGTTTGTGGTCCAAACAATGGCTGCCCATGCAACTCTTGTCTCGCACTCTTGCAATCAGCGTCCTCTACACAATCATCTGCACAACAATCAATGCGAAACTCAGTCGGCGTGAAGGTCCAGCGAGGAGGACCAAGGGGGACAGGTGGTGATACTGGACTCCCTCCTGCAAGCGTTTATTATTGCGGTCGAAGGATGAATCAATGTCGTTGTGGGAGCTGTGATGGCGTTTGTGGTCCAAACAATGGCTGCCCATGCAACTCTTGTCTCGCACTCTTGCAATCAGCGTCCTCTATGCAATCATCTGCACAACAATCAATTCACTCACAGGAACAATCGATTTCAAATCGAACTTCAACTCTTCCAGACCAATTCTCTTCCTTGACTCTGTCCGATTTAGGAAACGACGCCGTTTCTTGTATTGTTTGTATGGATCGTCCGAAAAATGCAACGTTCATCCATGGAAGAACGGGCCATACCTGTTGTTGTCTTCAATGTGCCGATAAAATTCATCGAAAAGGGTTGCCTTGTCCAATTTGCAGAAATTCGATTACAGCTGTGATTGAAAATTTCACTGCATGATTCATCGGATAAACTTAATTACAATGGAATTTGCATGTGGCTGTTCGAAATTGAAACTCTGCCTGAAAGCGCGCAGTCAGGGATCGGACGGAGCTACGGGTGGGTTCCCTTTCTCGACGGATACTTATGAGCGATGCAACAAAGAATTCAAAAGTCTCATCTCCAACGCTGGTATTCAAGTTCCGAGTCATCAACAGCGCGTTCATGGGACGCGTCGGAATTTTCTTCAGCATGTACCGGAGGATCATGTTCTGGGCGAGCTTAACGCGAGCTTGATATTGTACCGCGTCGGGCGGGATTGAGCATTGATTTCAGCATGTCACCTCTGCATGATGCTCATGGGCAACCTTGTGGAGCTCGCCCGAAGCTTAAGCCATGCGTAAAGTCAATACACATGGCCTTCGCACGATTGCTACTTCTGCACCATGATGCATGACTTTTTCTGTGGTTTCTAGGTGAACAGCTGACGAGCAAGGAAACAGCGAATGCGGATGGATCGTCAGGGAGATCCCAGCTTTTAGCGCCTTCGGTCCTGGCACAACAGGAACCCCTCAAGGCTGCTTTGTCGATATGCCCAAAACGGCAGGAGCTTTTCGCAATGCTTCTCATTCCTTGGGTGGGAAAGGATTCACCAGCACCAGCACAGTGCGGAATCAAAGCTTAAGGTGGTGTTAGCCGATGAGGGAGGACAGCCGCATCCTGACGGTAGCAGAGCTAGCACTCTGCGTCAGGGTTCGTTTCTCTCTCAGTTTTCGAAATTAGTCCACATGTCGCCTCTGGTGCATGTTTGCCCTTGCAACGTATGAGTAAAACTGCACATTCAGAAAGTCCAGCTATCAGGCCAGCTATCATCCCCAACACCGCCCTCCCCTTCTGTGCACTACGGTTGCCACACTAAGTCACTCCGTTGCCAGAGTTGCTGAACTAAAACACCTGCTAAAACACGCATACTGCGTTGGACTGTATGAGGGCCAATTCAGTGCTGAATGAGGGCCATCGATGAGTCGCCCCGATGCCTTCATGGCGGTGGGTTGCGATCCTGGCGATTCTTGTGGCGGCTGAGGGAGGCGGAGGAGGAGGTGGGGGAGGAGGCGGAGGAGCTGACGCACAGAAAGATGAGCTTCTTGCTGAGCTTCTGAAGCCCTCTGATGGCGAAGTGTGGAGAAGACAGAGCGTTGAAGTTGAGTTTAGGGCTGGGGGATTCGGAGGCGGGTAAGAGAACAAGAGAGCGGAGGAGCTCCGGATGTGCCTGCTCGCTGTGCTCGCACCTGATGCAGGTCCTAGGTTCGGGATCCTCGAGCTTGATGGTAGACAGATCCATCGCGTCAAGGAAGGACACATGTCCCTTATCCTCTCCGATGAGAAGGTCATGGCTGACGGCATACACACGCTGCGCCTGACTCTCTTCGACTCGCTGGGCACTCCCCTGGTACTCCTTGCAAGGCCCTCGCCTTCTTCCTGTTCTCATATCATAGGACAGGGTGTCAATGCCTCCTCGACCTTCCAGCTTGCGCGGAGCTTTCAGGCATCTTCCTTCAATCACACTGAGGTGAGGTTTATCGAGTATGCTGGAGGTAAGGAGGGGCGCGAGCATGAGATCTTGTATTGTCAAGGTGTTCTTCATCCATCCACGTGATGGGCAGCTCCTCTCCTTGGGTGCGCATCCGGTTGTCGATGTTGTTGAGGACCTCTGCAGTCCTAACTCCCCACAGGCACAAGCCCAGGTCCGAGTGTACAACGTGCCTCCTGCGGGCGGCTGGCTGCAGATGATGTCCGCATGGTAGCTGAGCTCCTCCATCCGGCTGAAGCTCCTGCTCTCAGATTGGACGGGGAGACCGTTGAGGAGAAGGAGTTGACTCCCGCGGAGGGAGCCCCCCGAAGCACGCAGGAGAACGTCAGTTTTTGAGATGTTCTCGACCTGCATGTTGATATCTCTCTCTTTCAAGGTCTTCATGGAGCTGCCCGTGATGCCTGATGGTCAACACTACCTGGAGGTGACCTTCACGTCCCAAGGGTTGTGCTTCTTTCAGTCTCTAGCGCGAGCGCTGAAGCGACCTGTTGCAGGGGAGAGGAGGAGGTGTTCTGTGAGTCAAATATTTGGGTCGAGGTGCAAACGCACAACAACGCAGGGAGTTCGTCAGCTGGTATGTGGAGCTGAGATGGCAGCATGAGTCGATTCTGACTGGCATGTAGATGTTGATGGGCTGAGACTGAGAGACATCGCGTTCGGTATCCTTGTAAGGATCAACTCCTGCTCTTGTTTTGACCTTGAGCCTGTCCCCCTTCGTGACTCGATGACAAGCATGCTGGTGAAGGTCTCCTCGGGCCCATGGACCCTCGCGCGCACTCTCACGTCATACAAGAAGAGAAGTCAGTCCGTTCGTGTGCCGTCAGTTGTCGTGACGTTGAACAGACCTGCTGGTGGAGCTGGGGCAGCTGATCGTGTTTGTCCAAGTGAGCAAGGCAGATTTGATCTGTCAAAGAAGCTGAGATGGCAAGCTTGCAGGAGAGAGATGAGCTGCTGATGGAGATTGCTCGGAGATTCACTCCGCATGTCTTTGGCTTTCCAAGGAGGATAGGTAGCTGGAATGTTACTGACCTTGCGGCTGACTGGTCGCAGGGAAGGGAAACGCATGGTTGTACATGGCATCTGTCTGCACCACGCCCTTCATTGTCCTAGTGATGCACAGCATGCACCAGTTGTTCGCTCAGTTGACGTGGAGGTGACGCAGATTGAAGAAGACTTCGCGCTTGTGGAGGAGCTGGAACGAGCGTCAGTGAGCTTTCTTGGTTGACTGCCCTCCATCAACATCTTACTTTGTCATCAGGCCATTCTCCGCAGCTCTATGGCGTTGCTGTCTCAGGTATCTCGCAATCAGTGCATTCTTCCTCTTCCTCGCTCGTCTCATGCTCCCCCTGCCCTCTCCTCACCAACTCAACCTCTCACCCTTGTGTGTGCAGGACAACACGTCCATGTCGGAGGGTCAAGTCCGTGCAGTCAGACTTCGGCATCGCAAGATGTTCTCTTGCGCGGTTGTCTCGTTACTTTCTCACCTCCTCCTCTTGTGGGCAGGCCCGGGGAGCCTCTCTGGGTAGAGAGGTCCCACTACTCTGCAGGTCAGTAGTTGCCCCTGCCTCCCTTGCGGCCTGAAAGGAGCGCAGGACGGCACCTCGTCGGAGACGTGGACCTGACGCACCTGCTGCACTACCTCCACTTTTCTAATGACATCGAGATCCGGTTCCCTGGGAGAGTCAAGGTGAGCATGAATCGGTTTCATGGCTCCTCTCCTCCTGACTTCCTCTTTACTTCCTCCTTTCTCGCTTCTGACTTCCTCTTCACTTCCTCCTCACTTCTCTCCTCCTTGTCTTGTTCCAGTCTTCTCCTCATCTTCTGCTCTTCTCTCCTTGTGTGCTCCTTGCCTCCTGCTTGTCTCCACCTCATGCTGTCGAAAAAACTCACACGGATACTTCAGGATTGCTCTCCGACAGGCTCTGCTGATCAACACGTCAAGTTCTACTGCAGCAAAGTACAACATGCCGAGGTGACATAATCTCCATGTGCTGTGAAAACGTTTGAAGGGAAAGGGCAGTACACCAACAACCCTTGCATGTACAAGAGAGACTGGCTTACAGGCCCGCTGGGAAGACATCTTGAGTGGGACGATTACAACACCATGGAGCGGAGGGTTGCGTCGTGGTGGTCACGGCAGGTGACGCTATGACTGCACGATCATCTCGATTTCGTTCCAATTGAGATTCTGCTGTTCTCCCTCCTCTCGTGAGATGACTTGCTTGCTTCCCACTGCCTCTCGTCTCTCTTCAGCTCTGCTTCATTTCCCAATCCCTTGTTCTCTCGCCATCTCCTCCTCCTTCTATCGCTACCATCTCTCATCTCAGCTGCTGCCCCACTTTCTCACCTCCTCTGACATGTCTCCAGGATTTCTCTGTCGCTCAAGGGGATGGCCTCTTCCTGCATGAGAGAGTCGACGGGATGCGCATCGGGCAGGTGTCTGCTCTGCAGTGGGGTGGAGACAGTGGAAGGAGGACGAGGACGAGACGAGGACGAGGACGAGGACGAAGGGAGGACGAGGATGAGGACGAGGACGAGGACGAGGACGAGGACGAGGACGAGGACGAGGACGAGGACGAGGAGGGTGCACTGACTGTGTACAGGCGGGGTCCGGGGTGATAGATGAGGAGGAGGAGGATGATGTATGGACAAGAGATTTCGAATCAGCTCTGGAATCCACTCGAGTGGTTGAAGTTCCCGTATTCCGCCCTGGGATCGCCCTGTTTGGTAGGTTTGGTTGCTGGGAGGAGGTGAAGGTGCTGACGTGGCATACGTAATATCGCAGTTCATGGAAGAGTCGACGCTCGTGTCAGGTCGCACATCGAAGATCTTGACTTGACGTTCGAAAGCTGCCAGTGAAAGCGTTCATGTAGTGTGATTTGCAGAGCAGGTTCTTCCGACACGTACACCTCGTCTTCTTGAGTGGAGGAGCTGCTGCTGAGGGGCAGGGGGAGGGGCAGGGAAGGGGAGAGGAGGAGGAGGCGATGGCATGGAGGGCGTTTGCTGGGTCAAAAAATTTCACATTCACACGTCTGAGCCCGCGGGAGGAATTTGAAAGTTTCCTCGCGGTCACGGACAGTTGCGACGTGATTCATCTATGGAGCGACTCGCCGCTGTGGGTGCGATGGTTGGAGGGAGTCAGGTGGGCTCCTGCTGGGGTCCTGCGAGTATGACTGTTCTCTCCAGAGGTGCTGAGGTTGTAGACAAGGAGATTCTCGGCTTCTTCTCGACTTCAGTCGTCTTGAGCCTTCCGTTCCCGAGGCCCGGCGACCCTCCTGTACTTGCCTTGTCATCGCGTTGTCAGAATCCTCACCAATGACAGGAGGCTCAGTCGCAGGCACGCGCTATAGGAAAGCTGTATGCTGTCTTTGTTTGCCTGCCCCAGGTTGAGGGGTAATGCTGCTGGGCGCTGCTGATGTTGATGCAGGGAGAGGAGGAGCGGAGGAGAGAGGCGGCGGGGCTGCTGGGAGCTGTGGAGGGAGGATGCGACGATGGCTACTCACGCGTGCTGGAGGAGGCGGCCAAGATGAGGAGGAGGAAGCTGAGGTAAGGAGAAGGGGAAGGACGTTAACTATCAGATTCAATGAAATGATAAGACGAGAACAGACAAGATAAGACGAGATGAGGTAAGATCATGTAAGATGAGATATCAGATGTCGACGTGTCAAGGAGGCTTATGAATGAGATTGGAGAGAGTTTCGACCTGTTGTCAACTTGTTACTTACATCTCCTCCTCCACCACCACCTCTTCCTCCTCCTCTCTCACCATCTTATCAATGCGCGATATCCGCTCGATGAAGAGAGCGGCACGAGCCAAAGAGGCGAAGTACTTCTTCTTGCCGCGATGTTTGGCTAGCGTCCTCTGAGGAAGAGGTTGAGAACGGAGATGGGGAGAGAGGGGGAGAGAGGAGGGAGAGGTGCTGACGAATGAGGGAGGGAGCGAGGAGAAGAGGAAGAGAAGAGAGGGGGGGGGGGACTTCAAGTACAACGAGATCGGAGGAGAGGAGGAGGAGGGGAAGACGGGGAAGGGGGATGTACCATGGCCTGAACTGCTTGCATGAGCAGGATGATGTTCTTCCAGTTGGGTGGCTGCAGGGGAAACTTTTCGTCAGAGCAGAGAGCAGTGGAGGGAGACGGAGCAAAGAGGTGAAGGAGAGGGAGGAGACATGCTAGGGTCCTTTCCTAGAGGAGATACAGGAGGTGCGAGGGAGGAAGGAGAGGAGGAGACGAAGGTGCGGAGAGAGGTGGGAGGGAGGAGAACTAGATCAATTTCACCTCATAATCCATCTGAACATCGGCATTGTGCCTGTCAAGAACAAAAAGACGTCACGACGCAACTCCTCTCCTCTCCTCTCCTCTTTCCCCCCTATGCGCTCCTCTCCCCTCCTCTTTCTTTCCTCTCCCTCTCCCTCTACCTCTACCTCTCCCTCTCCTCTCCCTCTCCCTTTCCTCCTGCTCTCCTCTCCTCTCCTCTCCTCTCCTCTCCTCTCCTCCTCTCACCTAGTCGGCGATCGCATGAGCTTGCTCTCCATGATCACGTTCTCTGCTATCTTGCTTCCGAACGCGATCATCCCGTCCTCTGAGCTCAGCCGCCTCCCGAAGCTGCTCGGGAGCCGGCAGAAGGCGGAGGAGTCAGGGAAGGAGACATGCCTGCTGGCCATCTGCAAGTTCCGCATCCTCCTCTTCTGCTCCTTCTCATTGAGAAAGGAGAGGACGCCATCGCTGCCGTTGATCACTCCTGCGTCCTGGAGCTTGCTCAGCGCCTCGTTGCAGTCTCTGCTCCTGATCGCAGCCTGCAGCACTCTCTTCATCACGCTCGTTATGTCCTCCCGCTGCTTGTTCAGCTGCAGAACGGCGTCGAGCCCCGTCCTGAGCTGCTCCGACTGCAGCTTGGTCCTGTCAGCATGCCAGCTCTCTAGCTCCCGCAGCATCGTCGACCCGTCCTGCTTCCTATGGAAGAGCCAGTCAAAGTTGCTCTCCCACGACTCCTCGGACTGCAGTTGTGCCATCCTCATCAGCCGGGATATTCTCGACTTCTTCATCTCCTTGCTGCTCGACAGCGCATCCTTGATCGCTGCCGACGTGGTTGCCTTACTTGCCTGCTTGCTCGCCTCGTACGAGCGCAGCCTGGACCACTCGGGGATCGCGCTCTCCTTCTTGTTGCCGCAGAAGCGATGGGTTAAGAGCAGGAACGTCTGCGATACTTCTTCCTCATGCGGCTGGCACCGCTGGACCAGTCGCTCGATCCAGTCGAGGAGGAGGGGGTCATGGAAGTGAGTGAAGACCTCCTGCTGACGGGATACGATCTCCAACGCCTTGAGGCTGGGGAGGATGATGTCCGAGGACAAGGAGCCTTCGCCGCTGCCTCCTCCCACCTGGTCCAGCTGATCGAGGGAGTCCTTGATGAGGAAGAGGAGGCCAGGGCACGTCAGCTTCCGGAACAAGATGGTGCGCGTCCGGTTGTCGCGGATGAGATGGGACAACAGCTCGAGCATGGTCAGGTTGCACGTCTGATGTGCGATCGCCATGCTCAGCTTCTTGGCGATGCAGGAGGAGAGGAGGTCTGAAAGGTCGATGCTGCCCTCCTCGCCCTCCTCCTTCTCTCCCCTCCGCTTCCTCTGGGACGCGGCCACCTCTCCCCTGACCTCGTGGGAGGACAAGATCTTCAGCAGCGCCAGCTCAGCGTTCTTGGAGATGGAGGAGGAGGAGGAGAAGAGCAGGTTCATCAGAGGCACCATGAATCCCCTCCTAACCGCAAACAGAGCGTTGTCGGGGAGCTGGGAAGCGTTCGCCAGCAGCACGCATGCCGAGCTCTGGACCTCGTCGTCTGTTTTGAGTTGCTCCTCGAACTTGCTGACCTTGGGCATTCGGTGAAGGAGGACTTGGAGGACGCGGACGAGACAGCCTTGAAGGCAGAAGATCCCCCTCCTGCTCTGCGCCTGCAGAACTTCCCCCCTCCCACAGCTGAACACAGCGTCCTTGCTCCTGTTCGGGTGCAGACCCTCTTTCTTCATCTTCCTCAGCACCTTCAACTTCACCTGCCTCGATGAGAACTGGGCGAGGGAGAGGAGGAAGGAGGACAGCGAGATCTCTAGGATTTCTGCCTCCTCCTGCACCAGAAGGGTGGCGTTCCTGGGCTCCCCCTGCATCATGCTCGACCTGCCGAAGAGCGCTCCTCCCTTGAGCGTCGTGAGCTCGTTCATCTTGGTGGAGCTCTTGACAGAGGAGATGACCCGCACGCTCCCCGAGACAATCAGAAAGCAGCTGGTCTCCTCGTCCTCCTGCCTGGCCAGGATGCTGTTCGCCTCCTTCCTCTGGAAACGGCAGGAGCGAATCATCTGCAGGAGCGCCTCCTCCTCGAGCCAACAGAAGGGCTCTGCATGCTGCTCGCTCTTGAGCATGTGCATGACGATGGGAATCTTGCTGGAGTCGACCAGGTCGGTCCCCATCACGGAAAGCGCCTGGCTCATTCTCGACAGGCAGCGGAGGGAGAGGACGTCGTCTTCCTCGATGATCTCCCCCTCCCTCTCCTGCAGGACCTCCGACAAGACCTGCAGGGCAGTTCAGGGGAGGGAGAAGAGCGTCGACAGGGGAGGATGAGGAGGGGGAAGGAGATCAGGGAGGGACAGGGAGGAGAAGAGAGCAGTTGATACAGGACCAAAGTTGTTGTGAGGGAGGGAAGGAGAATGAGGGGGAGAACAGGAGAGGATGGAAGAGCGGAAGAGGGAAGGAGGAGGGTGAAGATATAAGAGCACAAACACTCGCATCCTATCACCTCGTGTGCCCCGTCTCTTACGAGCCCCTCAACGCACGTCCGCTGGTTGTCGTTGGATGGTGCCATCAAGGCCCAGAGGGCGAGGAGGAGGTTGCGACCGATGGAGGAGCTGGAGTCTCGTTCCGTGCTGTCGTACTTCATGCTGTGGTAGAGGATCGTTTTCTCCGAGCACGGATCGAAGACCCAGGGCAGGCGGAAGCAGCGCAGGAGCATCTTCATCCCTGAGTGCTCGTCCTCCTCCAGAGCGATCTCGTGTCTCTCCCCCTCCGCCCTCAGAGCTTCCCACGTCTCTGCCATCCCCACCGCCGACCTCGTCAGTCGCATCAGGAGGATGGAGCTCTTGGCGGCGTGCGGGTTGTCGTTGAGACTGGCAAACTTCACAATCCCCTTGAGGTTCCGCTCGCTGAATCGATCGCCCACGTCGGCGGAGGAGGAGGAAGAGAGTAAGACTCCTTCGAGGAGGTCGAGGGCGGAGGAGCAGGCAGGGCTGCTGTCCTGGTGGAAGGAGAAGCAGAGCTCGAGCCCCTTCCTCTCCACGAAGTCCTCGCACGCTCTCCTGCTCGTCCTTACGAGCTGCGAGAGCGCGTCGAAGCAGTCAAGCATGATCTCCTTGTCGCGCCCCCTCAGCATCCCCACCAGTACCTGCACCACTCCGTTCTCCTGCATGATCCCGCTGCTCTCCTCCGACGACGACAGAGCCGCAATCGGCTTCGCCACCAGCTTGCGGATCTGAACGTTGGGGCTGGTGGGCGCGTACAGAAGGAGGGAGCCGATCTCGCTCTGCCTGAGGAAGGGAACCGGCTTCCCGCTAGTCTGTGGCCTCTTGGGAGCAGAGCGGGAGGGAGGGGGCGAAGCGAGAGAGGAGGAGGCGGTCCTGTTGTGAGTCCTGTCTGTCTGAGAGCCACTCGGGAGATGCTTTCGCTCTCCACTCTTCCTCGCTGAGTTCAGCCTTGAGGAAGGGAGGCTGGAGCTGGTCGCCTCCTGGGGTAGAGCTGGAAATCCCCCCAACCTCTCCGCATGCTCCTCCCGCAGACGGTCTGTGAGCGTCTTGCTCCTTGAGGCCCGCCGGGAGCTCAGTCGGTCGTACTGCCCTGAAGGCGTGCGGAGGAGGAAGCTCCTCCTGGGAGACACAGCGGTGGAGGAGCGAGGAGCGAGGGAATCGGAGGTTTGCTGCTCCAGCGGCGCGTTCTTGTCGAACTTCTTCTCGTTCCTATCGTGGATGAAGGAGACGACTTGACGCATGCTCTCTTCAAACTGCTCCCTCCTCAGTTTCGATGTGCCCAAGGCAACCTCAACCCCCTTCTCCTTCACCCCCGCCTTGAACGCGGAGACTGCCTCCTCCCTCGAAATCTTCAGCGTCCTCTCCTGCTCCGGGATCAGCTCCGAAAGCTCGTCTTGCCCGCTGGACGAGATTTGGTCCAGGATGCCGCAGTAGGAGAGGATGTTGAGGAAAACCTGAAGGCTGATATCATGATCCCTCCTCCTCACGCTCGACTTAATCTCGTTGCGGCAGTCTACGGTCTTGTAGTCGCAGAACAGGTCCATGGCCGTCTGCTGCAGCCGCAGCAGGCCACGCTGGAAGCGAGGGACGAACTTGTTCGGAGTCTGCAGCTCATTTCCTCCGTTGCTGGCGTTCCTCGCCATTTTCCTCAGCCTCGTCGACACCAGGTTTTCGTCCTTGATCCTCTCAACCCCAAGGGTCACCCTCCCCAGCTCTGGACGCTCACCACCGTTCTCCTCCTCTTCCTGTTCCTCTTCTTCTCCCTCTTCCTCCTTCCCCTTCTTCTTCAGGCTGAGGGTGACTCTTCCTATCCTAGAGGAGCGCTGGCAAGAGTTGCTAACCTCCTCAAGGTCGAGCTTGACCCTCCCGATCTCTTTCCTCCCTCCTCCCTTGCCCTTGCCGGATTTCTGCATGTCGAAGAGCACGAGGACGGCAGGAGCGACGCCGGCGGGAAAGCTCAGCCTGAGCATACGCTGAAAGACAGGAGCCTGCGACCGGACCACCACCTCCGACCCCCACGCCTCGGCCCACTTCCTCTCCAGCAGGGAGTAGACGAGCAGGGTACATGACGTGTCCGGCGGCTTCCCAGCTGAGTTCAGCGGGAGATCCTCGCAGCTGATGGCGACCTCGAGCAGGCGGCTGCCTCCTCTCTCCGGCGTCTTCAGCCCAGCACGTGCGAGCCGCTGCCCAAGGGACACGGGAGGATCGAAGATGTAGCTGCCGTGCAGCGCATGATGGAACCTGTCCTCCGAGTTGCAGAGCTGGTCGGCATCTTTGGAGTTGAGCTTTGACCAGTCCAGGGGAGGGCAGGAGGGGGAGTAGGCGTCGTGGAGGGAGGCAACGGAGCCGGAGGTGGAGGGACGCGGGGAGAGTTTTCTCTTCAACTCCTTCCCTGCTCCCGTCTCGATCAAGTCGAGCTTGTCCAGGTAGACGTTGAGGTGCGAGGACCAGATCGACTGCTCCTTCCAGTTGGAGCCGAAGGGGAGAGGGGACAGCGATACGGTGCTGTCATCGGAGGAAGCGTCGAGAGAGTCGTCCATGACGGCGGCGAACGGGTTGTTCCTTCCTACTTGTTGACTTCATCCAGCTCTCGTCCCTCTCCTCCCTCGTCTCTTGTATGTTTGACTCGTCGCTGTCTCTTGCTCTGTCTCTTGTTCATGTTGATTTACCTGCTACGTAGATTAATTCAAAGCTTGAGTTCACAGCATGAGAGTTGAACTCTGTACTGTAAACCCTCTCCCTCCCTCAAACTTTGTCGACTGATTGTCCGGAACCCTCGCAACCCTCTTGCTGTATCTATCCCATGGTCGAAACAAAAGTAATGCGAGTGAATTTGCATTGAAAAACTTCATCGCTGCACCTTCCTTTCTTACCACCGTGTCGTCTACAATCTCCTAGTCTCCTTCTCTCATCTTCCGATCCCTTCAGTGCTCGACTTCTCTCTCCTTGCTAACCTGACCTGACCTGACCTGACCTGACCTGACCTGACCTGACCTGACCTGACCTGACCTGACCTGACCTGACCTGACCTGACCTGACCTGACCTGACCTGACCTGACCTGACCTGACCTGACCTGACCTGACCTGACCTGACCTGACCTGACCTGACCTGACCTCTTGCAAGTGTCTGATCTGCTCCTCTTCCTCCCCTGCCCCTCCTCTCTTCCTCCCCTTGCAGGCTCCTACAGCCCTGCCGTCGTCCCGGCATGCTCGCCTTGCTCACTAGTCAACTCAACGGCTGCCATATGGGAAAGGCCGTTCCAGTGGGTAGGGGTAAAATAGATCATGGATATGTACGGGTACTTTGGTAGTCAAATAAGTGGGTAAGGGTCCATGAAATGACGGTATGACGTAGGGGTAGGGGTGGAACAAAGTAGGAAATCGAAGCAATGCGTACGCAGGCGAACGGAGGGACGAGAGGAGGGAGGGAGAGAGGAAGAGCAGCAAGGAGTAGAGAGAAGAGAAGGGAGGGAGAAGGGAGGGAGAAGGGAGGGAGAAGGGAGGGAGAGGAGGGAGAGGAGGGAGAGGAGGGAGAGGAGGACGATAAAGGCAGGAGGAACGAGAGATGAGGGCGTGGAACTACTCGGACAAGAACAAGAAGGGTGTTCGGAAGACTTCAGATGATGAAGATGTGCAGACAAAGAAAGGAAGGGGGGAGACGAGAGTTTGAAGGATGATTGAACAAAAGGATGATAAGACAAAATTATGATTGAACAGGATTTACTGTCCGTTCTGACCATCAACCTGCAGCCAATATGGCGCAACCGTCAATAGACGACAAGCGGAAGGCTAAAGAAGCCAGCGATTACTTCAATGCTGGTAAAAATCACTTCAGGAACAAGGACATGAGCGCGGCTGTGGAAGCCTTCACACAGGCGATCATGTTGAAGCCTGAGAAAGCAGAGTACTTCTACAACAGAGGGAACTGCTACAACAAGATGGGGGAAACGCAGAAAGCACTGCTGGACTACTCGATGGCCATACGAATAGACAACAAGTCAGCAGCGTATTATGAGCACAGAGGTCCTTGACTTGCTTGATGTCAGTGCACAAGATGACAGATGCTGCAGGGATGTGTTACAAGAAACTGGGGAATTACGAGGAGAGTGTAAAGGATTACACCAACGCCATAAAGCTCGACACCAAGAACGGGAACTTCTACTACAACCGAGCCATCTCCTACATGTGCCTGACCCCCCCTGACTACGAGAAGGCGCTGGACGACTACAATCACGCCGTAGAGTTCTCGCAGGTACCTGAAGCCTCCCGTCCCTGACCTCGTCCGTCTGCCTTCTGACGGGACCTGCTGCTTGCCAGGCCAAGTACAGGCCGCTGTTCAACCGAGGGAACTGCCTGCGCAAGATGGGGAAGATAGTGGAGAGCATCAACGACCTGAAGCAAGCTGTGGAGCTGGAGCCGGGCAAGTCAGAGTCGCACAACAACTTGGGGTTGTCGTACCTGGAGATCGGGAAGCTGGAAGACGCGGTGGAGCAATTCACAGCAGCGATCCAGCTCGACCAGGTGAGCCCTTGATGCGATGCCGATGCTGCCTGATGACACACCGTTGCTCCTGCTCCAACTGACCCCTACCTGGCTCCTCTCTCCCTCACGCTCTTTCTCCCTTCCTGCTTTGCTTTCCACTCCTTCTTTTCTCTCCTCCCCTCTCCTCTCCTCCCCTCTCTCCCCTGCCCTGCTGTCCTTCTCTCCTCATCCAGGGAGTGGACACCGCCATCTACTACAACAACCGGGGGCTCGCGTACCTTCGCATGGAGAACTACGAGAGTTGCTTCCAGGACTTCGATGTTGCTACCCAGCTCAACCCCAACGACCCCAACTACTTCTTCAACCGCGGGAACGCCTACCTTACCATCCGCAACGTAGAGCAGGCTCTTTCCGATCTCGACGAGGCCATCTCCCTGGCCCAGTCGATCCCTGCCTACTACCACAGCAAGGGAGTTGCGTTCCAGGCGCTGGGACGGAAGGCTGGGGCGATCGAGATGTTTGACAAGGCGCTTGCACTGAACCCCAAGGTCGTGCCTTGCCTGACTAAACCCCTTATATGCTCCTCCCTCCCTCCCTCCCTCCCTCCCTCCCTCCCTCCCTGCGAAGCGCCCATTTACACACTGCTCTTGGGCCTGCC